CACCGACCAGTTCCTAGAAGTGCAAACGTTATGTACGAGGCCTGTCGACTCCCAAGTATTCTACGAGGATGCTACCGAGCATGGCTTGGCATACGGAGAGGCATTCCAAGTTATAGAAGACATTCGGTGGGATGGCAAGGCAAACACTATCGCTCGCGTCGACATGTCAAAGTGGAAGACGACGAGCCTCGTTCATCCTGTGGTTCTGGACTCTGCTTTCCATGCTCTGCGAGTCAGTACTACTCTAGGCTTGGACTTATCCAATGCTACAAACGTTCCCGTACGTTTAGTAGATGGATGGTTTTCGCAGACTGGATGGCAACAACCTGAGACGTCTTCGGTCAAGTGGTTCGCGACGTCCGAAGTCAAAGGTGGCCGAGAAAGTGACGAGGGTTCTATTTACGCGTTAGCAGATAACGGGTCTGTGTTGTGCACAATGCGAAGACTAGTCACCGGAGTTGTGTCGAGAAAAAACGACGGGACCCAGGCTGCCAAGAAGCTGTTGTACAGCATCGACTGGAAACCTCAACTAAGCTTGATCGAACCGAAGCAGCTCGAATCTGCAGTCGACGCCGATACTTTCGTCAGGGATGAGAACACGATGCTACTTCACCATCAGAAGCTGACCTTCGTCCTGGACAAAGTCGTCTCCAAGACCTTGAAACTGCTGTCTGGAGAGAAGGGTCAGAAGGTCCCCGATTCTCAGAAGAGGCATATAGAGTGGCTTGAACACCACATCAAGTCGGTCCCTGCCGAACGGATAGCTGAAGATATAAGCGAAACGGAACTCGAGGTTCTCCTACAAGAAGTCGAAGCCCTTCATCCGCCTTGGAAGCTACACACAACAGTAGTACGTCGTCTAACTGATATTCTGACGGGCGAAGTAGACCCGTTAGAGGTTATCTTTGATTCAAACTTGGCCGATGTGTTCTACGCGGACATGTTTGAGCACGTGTGCGACGATAGAATGTTGAAGTTCCTGGATCTCGCTACCCACGAGAACCCTAAACTCCGCATCCTCGAAGTTGGTGCCGGAACCGGTGGTATGACATCCCGTGTCATTTCCGCTTTAAAGGAACTCGAAAAGAAGAGTGGCGCACTCAAGTTCGCAGAATACACGTATACTGACGTCTCGCCTGCTTTCTTTGAGAAGGCGACAGCACGGTGGGAAGACTACAAGGAAAGGATGACTTTCAAGACGTTTGATATGAAGCGTAGCGCTGAAAGCCAAGGCTTCGAGCCGGGCTCTTATGACCTGGTCGTCGCCGGAAGTGTTCTACACGCTACAGAGGATTTGGTGGCTACGATGAAGAACGTGCGCACCACCCTTAAGCCGACTGGACACCTCTTACTCCTCGAGGTTATTGCGCCTCAGGATGTCGTCACAAACTTCACATTCGGTCTCGTACCCGGATGGTGGGGTCGTCGTGAAGAGTGGCGAGGTCTATCCCCTGCGATACCCGAGAAGCAGTGGGATGACGTCTTGAAATGGACAGGATTTAGCGGAAACGACCTTGTCCTCAGAGACTACAAGAGTGAAGCTTGCCATATCTTCAGTATCATCGTATCGAAGGCTGCGGAAGAAGTCCAAGAGGCGGCCTCCAACAAGTCGGGACTTGTTCTTGTTGTCGATAGCCAGTCGGACGAGCAGAACGAGCAGGCTAACTTGATCCACACCAGCATTGTTAAGTCGCAAGATCAACAGGCTCGGATCGTGGCTCTCGACCAGGTCGCAACGGCAGGTCTATCCAAGGATGATACTGTAGTCTGCATTGCTGAGATGAGCAAGCCTTTCCTCGCGACGCTGTCTGAAGATAAGTTCAAGTTGCTTCAAGGACTCTTGAAACACGCACAGACCTTGCTATGGGTCACGTCGACGAGCTTAGAAGATGAACAGTACTCACAGTATGGTGTTATGAGCGGATTCTTGCGGTCTATCCGACACGAAGAAAGCGAAAAGCACATCGTCACGGTCGCGATTGAGGCTCAGGGAGAGACTAAGGCAGATTATGCTCAATATGTCGCCAAGGCCTACAAGGCGGCGTTTGAATCGCAAACCGGGGAGCTAGAATACATTGTCCGCAACGGCCAACTCACTACGGGTAGGGTCGCTGAGGATATCTCCGGTAACGATACGCTCCGGTCTCTTCTGTATCCGCAATTGAAGCAAAAGCCTTTCTCGGAAGGGCCGTCACTAAAACTTTCCGTTGGCGAGACTGGAACCCTAGACTCATTACAACTTGTAGAAGATGTCGCGCAGCAAGCTGAGCTTCTCCCGCACGAAGTAGAGATCGAGGCCAAATCGTGGGGTCTGAATTTCAGAGATGTCCTGTGCGCTTTGGGTCGCTTGGAAGACAACGAATTAGGTGTTGACTGTGCCGGTGTCGTGACCAGAGTAGGACCCGACACCAACCCGGAGATCCAACCAGGTGACAGGGTCTGCATGGTTTCGATAGACTGCATGCGAACACACCCACGAGCTTCAGACAAGGCCGTTCTAAAGATTCCTGATAACCTGTCTTTCGAGGCCGCTGCATCGATCTTAGTTCCTGGTATGACAGCCTACTATTCTATGATCGAACTTGGCCGTGTTCGCAAGGGCGACAAGGTTCTCATCCACTCTGCCGCTGGTAGCACTGGTCAAATGGCAATTTGGATGGCGAAGTCGAAGGGCGCCGAAATATTCGCTACTGTTGGGTCTGATGAAAAGAGGCAATTCCTCAAGGACACCTTCGCTATCCCCGATGATCACATCTTCAACAGCAGAAATACCTCATTTGCCCAAGGAGTCTTGCGAGTGACCAACGGATATGGTGTCGACGTAGTCCTTAACTCACTTTCAGGAGATAGCCTGAGGTCGACTTGGGAGTGCATGGCGCCATTTGGTCGCTTTGTGGAGATTGGTGTAATTGATATCAAGGCCAACTCATCGCTACCCATGGCCGGTTTCGCCAGGAACGTCAGCTACTCAGCTGTTGACTTGCGCTATGTCATCCTCAAGAACCCAGAGCTAACCTACGACCTTCTGAAAACCACTATTGGTCTCTTGAACGAGGGTACTGTACAACACCCTGGCCCGCTACACCCCTACCCCGTGTCGAAGGTCGAACAGGCGTTCCGATACCTCCAGAGCGGAAAGAATATCGGACGTATCATTCTAAATGTTGAGCCCACTGACGTGGTTCCGGTAAGCATTCTATACAATAAAGCACTTGGAAGAAAAAGCAAACTAACGTGCAATCTAGCAACTCCTTCTGGAACGACGATCGTGGAGATTCGACGAGAATGCATCTTACGTGATTGCCGGAGGATCCGGTGGTCTTGGTCGCGCCATTATCAAATGGATGGCCGACCGAGGCGCAAAGCACCTAATCGTGCCATCAAGATCAGGTAGCTCGAAGCCCGTGCTCGCCGAAGTCATCTCGGACTTGGCAAAACGCGGCGTTAATGTCTTCGCACCTGCATGTGATGTATCTTCATCCGAATCCGTTGCTAAGGTACTCGAGGAAGCTGGACGCACGATGCCGCCCGTCAAGGGTTGCATCAATGCTGCCATGGTCCTTCAAGACGCCGTGTTCGAGAACATGACTTTCGCCCAGTGGGATCTCACGATTAAGTCGAAGGTTCAATCAGCATTAAGCTTACATGAACTACTACCCAAGAACCTAGACTTCTTTATCCTCCTATCTTCACTTAACGGTGTGTGCGGAGCGTTGGCACAGTCTAATTATGCGGGTGGTTGCTCGTTCCAAGATGCTCTCGCAAGGTACCGCGTTGCGCACGGCCAAAAGGGAGTCTCGATTGATATCGGCTGGATGAGGAATATCGGTATCGTCGCAGAGACGGAGGCATACCAACGTCAAAGAAAGAGCTGGGACGATATGCAGAAGATTGACGACAAGGAGCTTTTGGCCCTTCTTAGTGTGCTCTGTGATCCTTCGGAGCCTGTCCCGTCGCCCACCGGTAGCCAAGTCCTTTTCGGTCTGCGCACACCGGCTGATTTCCTGGTCAAGGGTCAGACACCTCCGTCTCTGCTAACCAGGCCCTTATTTTCTCCGTTCTCCCACGTTGTTGGAGAGGCCAAGAGCGCCTCGAAGGATGCAGGCGTAGATTCGGCCGCTCTCTTCAGATCTACGGCGGATGCTAGCGAACGCATCCAGATAGTCATTAGCGCGTTGACCCAAAAGCTGGCACGCTCCATGGCCATCTCGGCTGACGATGTAGAGCTGAACAAGCCGCTTTCTAGTTACGGTGTCGACTCCCTGATGGCGGTCGAGCTGCGTAACTGGATCGGAAGGGACTTCCAAGCCAGCGTGGCTGTTTTCGATATCATGGGTAATGTGCCTGTTTCAGCTATCGGAGACTTGGTTGTAGCTAAGAGCACTATTGGGAAAAGTTAGTAGTGTATGAAAGGATGGTGATGAAACTTTGGGATACCAGGATGGTGTATGTTAGCTATTGCTCATAGCGTGTTCAATTATACCTATTTATCTGTTTGTTGTTAACTTCAAGCTTCAAGCCTATCTTAAACCTGGATGAGTCGGCCACTTTGACGCTTTTCCCCATTTCCGTATTAGGAATGTTACCCCAGGATTCCGATCTCCGATTGGCTCTAGTTCTAAGGATAGGTAGGTAGAGTTTAGAGTTTATGACTTAGAAGCTTACCTTGAAGTTAAAGTATCACAAGCCCGAATAGTGGGGTCAACACTGATGATTCAACGCCTGAGGGCTTTCTAGTGAATATGTTCCACCAGTAAAACATCTGGGAGCGATCTGATAAGGCAGGAGCCGGGCATCTGATAATAGGATTCTATTCCCGGAATTTTTTTGTCGGAGTGGGTGTGGATACTAATATGCAGTGTCACCAACAGACTAGAGCAACTGACATGCAAACTCGGAGTTACGACGGAATACGAGTAATTCCGATTTTTTAGTATGAATATATATTAGTAGTATTCAATATTCACGGCGCCGAGATCGCACCTGGGGGTCGTCGTTACGTGGTCAACCCAAGATTCGATCCCTATTCACTAATAGACAGAAAAGACGTATGTTGAATCTTGTTCCAACATATCTCAGGTCACTTGCTTGATGATTTCGACCAGAACCTGATAGGGAGTCTCGATAGGGGTACCTCTATTCGGGTGTTCAATGTATGGCAGGGGGGCGATTGTAAATTTCACTAATGCAGTCAGCTGTTAGGTACTATACCTTGGACTGCCTGCACTAACATCCAAGCGAGATATATAATGATATGTATAATGGCAATGCAGCTGTGCCTGTCGCTTAAGACCCTTTCCTCTTATCCTTGGGATTCCATATAATGGGTCCCCTTGGCCGTGCTTCAAATACATGGTCTCCTCTCGCACGGGGTTGACTAATTCTCGAGCATCGTATACAGCATGACTCCCCAAGACACTGAGAAATACCCGGCCAACACCGAATCCGTAGAGCCGGTTGCCGACTCGGCGCAGGTAGAGGTAGATACGTTATTCGTAAGTTGACTACCTAATGTTCCTAAATGAAGGAGAAAAGAGACAGAAAGGCGACATCAGCCTCGAGGTATGGGATCGAAAGACGATAGAGATACTTTATAGAATGTTCGTGGCAATAATCACTAAACCATTAATAGGTAACCTGGAACGGCGATGATGATCCTGAGCACCCTTATAATTGGTCCCTGACGCGCAAGTGGATAATCACTATCCTCCTCTCTAATGGAGGCTTGGTGACTCTTATGTCTGGTGCGATGCTGGCTCCGGCCCTAAAGAGCATCGCAGCAGACCTCGAGACAGACGAGGAAGAGGCTCAAATATTCCTCTCTATCTTTGTATTGGCCTTCGCGTTTGGTCCTATGGTCCTGTCGCCCCTTGCCGAGGTTTTCGGACGCCGGCCGGTATGGATGCTATCGAGTTGCTTCTACATCCTATGGAATACCGTCGCTGGCTTTAGCCAGACGCCAGGTCTTCTTATTGCAAGTCGTATTCTTTCGGGCATCGGGGCTAGCGCCGAGTTCGCCATTAGCAATCCTGTTCTAGCAGACACTTGGATACCTGCAGAATGCGGAACTTCATTTGCCATTTCCACATTTATTCCTCTTCTAGGACCAGCACTCGGACCTATCATAGGAGGTGCTGTCTCGCAATCAATTGGGTGGCGGTGGACATTTTGGATCCTCTCTATATACGATGGTCTTCTCGTGATTATAGCGTTCTTTGTATTCTCGGAGACATACGAAGTCATCTTGCTCAACAGAAGAGCGGCTAAGTTACGGAACAGTACGGGGAGACCCTACTATACCGCGACACAAGCTGCGTCTGAGACTTTGAGAAGCAGGCTATCTGTTTCTCTGACCCGGCCTCTGCGACTACTTATAACCCAGCCCATTCTACAAGTTGTTGCGATATTTCTAGCCTACAATTTCGGAATGCTCTATCTTGTCCTGTCGACATTTGCAACCCTCTGGATCGAGCGATACGGGCAAAGCGAGACACAGAGTGGACTTAACTATATCGCTCTTGTCATCGGTTATACCATTGCCGCGCAGGCTGGTGGCAGAGTGATGGATCGCTTATGGGCGTACCTAAAATCCAAGGCCGGTAATGACACGGCACCGGAATATCGCGTGCCACTCATGATTCCCGGAGCTGTCCTCATCCCACTCGGCCTGTTAATATATGGATGGACAGCAGAGAGGCATTTACCCTGGATAGTCCCCGACGTCGGCATTGCCATTCTCGGTTGCGGCATCATCAACAATACACAGTCGATGCAGGCGTACGTGATGGACGCCTATCGTCAGTATGTCGCATCTGCGTCGGCAGCTTCGCAGTTCCTGCGTAGTATTGCCGGATTCGCGTTCCCTATCTTCGCCCCGGCGATGTATCAGAACTTAGGGTATGGTTGGGGTAACAGCGTCCTTGCGCTCACGTTCGTTGTAATTGGGTGGCCTGCCCCTTTTCTTCTATGGACATATGGTGCCAAGCTAAGGGCAATGGGAAAGCCACAGAAATAAGCAGTCAAGTGTTGGTAGAACTATGGTATTAATCAAGAGGAGCTAAGTAGTCTGATAATGAAGCACCAAACCACCAAAGCGCCGAAGCTCGCATCCTAAATATACAATATAAATTTATATGTTATTTCAAGGGTTATTTCAGTAACGTCCGGCGAACGAGTGGGCCCCTGAAAATTGGAAAGGGGGGCATTATTAGGTAGTAATAGAATTGCTCGACTTAAATGTTGTAAAGAGAATATAAACACAACCAATCTCTAACGAATGTCTCTAATATCAATTTTCGCTAATCTGGGCAGGTTCAAAGTAGCCGCCAAGTAAATACCTATTACTAGATGCCTAGGTAGGTAGGTAAGTAGGGAGGTACAGTATAAAACCATCCTATCACTATTTATTTCTGCTACGCGTATATAGAAGCCTTTGTAGGATAGGCATATGAATTTATATCTTACCTGATATAACAGGTATCCTTTAGTTGTCTTTGTTTACTAATATCTTAAGCTCCAGCAGTCTAAAGTGTACTAGATTTAGTCTCTGGGTGCATTTAACTATCTCGTGATTCATGGAACATTTTTCAAACTTTGTTTGCCCTCTGATGCCGTCTGTCATGCCGTGCGTCGCTCTGGAAAAACTTTGCTCGTCATTATCCATCGTAACTTCCTCGTCAACGATGCACACACCACCTCATGGTGGTCCATGCAAAATGGTTCCACGCAGGACTCGACTCGAGACTCAACAAGAATCTTGAGTGCTTGTGTAGGTTACCTAGGTACCTACCTAGGTACGTGTTAAGGTACGTCCTTAAACTAAAAGGTAAGTATGCGTCATTTGAGTCCAGAAATAAGCTGTTACTGCCATCTTAGGTACGTTTGTCACAGTTCTCACCCGTACCATACCTTCGTAGTGCACCTCCCCATTGTCCAAATACCGTGAATCACTAGACTAAGCACGACCAAAACAAATATCTAGGTATTTAATCCTCAAGCCAGAAACAAAACCCAACCTTAATCTTCCTTTGAGCAACAGACAATTCAAACAAAGTTCTTGTCCAAAACAATTCTTTAATTTCCCTCCCCATACTCCCCGGGCTTGGGTATAATATAAAACTATTCACCCCCCTACCTTCTCATAACCACACGCACATTTCTATTCGACACATAGATTCAAGGAACAGTTGAATTCAACTCTTAAAACTACAGAAATCGGAACAGCTGGCCCAAAATCTAAAACAAAATGAAGATCCAGGAGCAAATGGCTTCGCTCCAACTCGGGGAGCTCGAATTCATGGAAGCTGTAAGTTTCCTCAACCAGCCCAAGAAAGACGCGGCGCCTAAGGAAATGATTATCTCCACGGTCAAGAAGGTTCCAACATTTACTCCTAAAACAACCTTCTTTTCGCTACCACTGGAGGTACGGCAAATGATTTACGAGGAAGTCTATGAGGGTGAATGGCCCTCCGACGGTATACTCGACTGGGCCCAGATAGGTCTATACTATTACAAGGACTACAAGACCTCATTTCCAAACATTGGACTCAGTCGAGTGTGCAGACAAATGTACAGCGAGGTTACTCCGTACATCTATAAGAAAGTGAGAATGGGTCTTCCTCTCGACGACTGGCATAGATTCTTCTGCGATATTGGCCCTCACAATATATGCCATATCCAAGAACTCACGATCGAGTACAAGTGTTCGTTGTGGGGAGGTGCCTGGGACTGTTGGGGACGGGATGCATACAAAGACAACTACAGCAAATGGGAAGGAATATTTCGGAATCTTTCTCTCGGAAAAATCAAGCCTAAAAGAGTCACGATTTATTTCGACCCTTGCGAAGAATACTCCACAACAGAAGACGGCACGCCGGTGGACGGTTATCAATACCGCCGCTGCCAAGTTTACGAAGACAAGTGGTTCTTCGTCAAGGGTATCGTTCGGTGCTTTTGGCAAGCCTGGAAGATAGAACTGCGTGGCAAATTCAATCCTCGCTGGGGACATACCTTACGCAGACGTCTCAAATTCATCCTTAAACGTGACGGCGACGAGCGGATGACACTATTCAATCCGGATTTTATCCGCCACTCTGTCGACCTAAAGGATTGTATCAAAACTTCCAACGGCCTCTATGATATGATACAGAAGCCATTGCCTGAGCTAACCTGGTGAAGGAAAGCTCGCAGAGGTTCGGCTTTTAGTGCTGGATATCATGGATGAATAGTGAACGGGGAGACGTTATGCGGAAATTTCATGGAGGGACTTGGCGTGGAGCGCCATGGATTAGGCGGGATGGACTACGATCATATGTCCTTGGACCAAGGCGATGCCATGCGGTGATTTAGGGGGAATGCTTATTGCCTGTTACCAAATTGTGATGCAGGATAAAGGAGTTATTAGGTTCTATTTCAGGGTTCTCTTCTCTATTGTAATAAAACTTATACCATAAACCCCTTTGTCTTGTACAATCCATTGTGTCTGTCATGCTTATTTCCTTGAGTAAATGTCTTTGTATTTTAATATGATGGTATTCCTTTATCTCGTAGATGGTGAATGCTGAGTTCTACGGTACTGAGACCCAGGTAAATAATACTAGAAAGTTTAGTACAGGTTTAAAAATAGAGTTAGGTATCTGGTTTATTATAAAAGCATTTCCGATATAGACGCTCGGCTTGTTGGGTAACTATGGGAGTCTACAGTCATTAAGATTAGACTTTGGCACCTCATGATTCTATACTTTATAATTACTCTTGAGCAAAAGGTGTCCTGTTTACAACTTAGAGCTTAGTGATTATCAAATGTCTAAGTTGCATTTAGGTTTAATAGCGACTTGACAAGCCGCAATTCACTACATAACTACGATCACTATCAGAGGGGCTTATTTTACAACCTTTAATTTCAATTCTCTAGTTACGGCTAATATACGTATGTAGGTAGGTATTTCGTTATTCGATGGCAACACTAGAAAATAATTTAACATAGAATATTAACCAACTTTTACGACAAGCTTGCGTTTCTTATACGATGCTTATCTTGATTCTTCTCGCCGCATAGAACTTGAAAGAGTTTAAATCTTGAACACTAGCTGCGTTACCCGTTCGCGCAAGCGCTTACGGGGAGTGCCTAGCTTCAAAAGTGCCTTTTACGCCACATATAAGTCTGGCCTTTCTGATTGGCTAGCCACACCTCAACGCACGTCCGATGAATTTTTTGTAAAATCAATTAAATAGCCTTGATATTGTTTAAAAAGTTTAATAATTAATATTATTAAATAAAGCTCGTTTTATATAACTTTTTTATATTATTTACATTATTTGTAAATTTTATACGATAAAATGGTAAAAGGAAAAATCGTTAATTACGGGGCAATTTTAAAAATTTAATTAGTTGGGAAAATTGTAACAGTATTAATAAAATATAAAAGAGTTAATATATCGCATTAAACATGTACGGATGACTTTTTTAAAAGTTTTGTTTATAAAAAGATTTTTATTGTTTACCACGTAATTATAACCATTTAACACGCCACTTAGCAATTTAACGATAATTTCCACTTGTTAACATTAAATAAACTTATTATATAATAAATTACATGATGTTACACGTTATTTAACATATAAGTTTTAAACTTTTAAAATATATTAATAAATAATTTTAAAATTAAAAATTATTATAATATATTTAAAAATAATTAAAGTTATTTTAAATAGTTTTAAATTTATATAAAAAGTAGTTTTATTTTATTTATATTTTATAATATTTAATGTTATTTTTTTATTTATTTTTATAATAATTTATATAAATATTATTATTAAAACCGTTATTATTATTTTTAAATTTTTATATGTTAATAAAAACAATAAAAAGGTTAAAAAATTAATAAGTTTTAATTTTTATACGTGTAATAAAATTTATAATTATATTATTAAACGTAATTTTAACTTTAATTTACGTTTTTTTGTTTTTAAAGTTAAATATTTATAAAATGTTTTATGTAATAACCGTTTTATTATTTAAAATAAAGTTATTATAAATTAAATTATCGATAAAATAATTAAAAATTATTATAATTAAAAGAAAAATTATAAGTAATTAACGGTTAAGTTTTAATAAAAAAACGTTAAAATATCAAATATTATAATTTAAAAAGTTTTAAAAAAACTGGTTATAATAAAATAAAATTAACGAAAAAACCAAGTTTTTAAAAAAAAATAAAATAAAAAAAATTAACTTAATGTAAAATCTATGAAAATTAAACTTTAAAAAACTAAAAAAACGTTATATAATTTAATAAAACGTTTATTATTTTACTTTATTATTAAAAAAGTTATAAAATATAACGATTACTTTTTAAAACCGTCATTAAATTTTATATTTATAAACGTTAAAAAAGTTATTTTAAATTTATATTTTAAAATTATTTTTTATACGATAAAAAAAGCTTTTACCATTATTAATCTTTTAAATTAACGGCCGAAAAAAAAAAGGTTAAAATTAAAATTAAAACTTTAAATAAAAAATTTAAACTTTATTATTATACGGAATAAAAGTTTAATATAATTATAAATTAATTAAAGTTACATATAAAGTTTAATCGTAAATTTAAATAAAAATTTACTAAAAAAATAAGTAAATTAATTCAAAAAAGTAAAAGAAAAGTTAACTGGTATTATTATCGCAAAAAAATTATTTTTTTAAAAATAATCCCATTTATAAAAAAATATATAAAAACAAAATTTAATACGATAATTTAAAAAAATAACGTTTTAACATATACGCATTAAATATAATTAAAAACTTATAATTTACATTAAATTATATGTATATTATAATATGTTAATTTGTTAAATTTAAATGTAATTAAATGGTGTTAATTTTACATAAAAAAATTTATTACGAAAAAAAAAACCTTAAAAAATTGCGTTAAAACTATAAAAGTTTAAAAAAAATATTAAAAATAATTACTTTAAAATTTAATTTAATAATAAATTAAAAAAATCTTTATTTATATAAAAAAAATCATTAAATTAAAAGGAAATAATAAATATAAAAAAAGTAAAAATTTAAAAAAATAATATATTAAAAAAACCGTTATTAAATTAAATTTATAATTACCAAATAAAAAAGTTAATTAAATTAATATTAAAAATAATTTAAATATTTAATTAATTTTATTAAATTAATTATAATATTTTAAATACATAATGTCATTTTAACGTTTTAATAATAAAGTTGTTAAAATGTTAATTAGTCATTATTTTAAGATGCTATTACGTAAGGATAGTCACGTGGTAACACGTGACTTATCCACACACAAAACCCCAATCTTTACAAATAACACCCACATTATCTCAGGTGACCTCAGACCAGAATTTCGATTTTTAGTTCGGGGGGATGTACCCCCCACAGCCACACCACTCCCCAACCAATCACAACCCGTACAACCCCCCCAAAAAAAAATCGAAACTCTGGTCTGAGGTCATCCTGGACACGTCCCTCCCAAAAAATCGTCTTGCGGGGAACAATATCAACATTATTTAATTAATAAGATCATTAAAAACAATAACGCCAACGCGTTATTATAGTAAGTAATTATTAGTTATATAATTGTATTAACTTTATTATTAGATCTATCGATTAAATCCACGTATTTTAAGTCTTTCGGGGTGTTGAAAGTGGCTACAACGGTCGCAACCGGTTGTAACACCAATTGCAATAATAGCCGCAACACCGGTCGCAACGGTAGCCGCAATACGCAACGCGCAACAAAGCTATACGGGTATAAAAAAGGCGAGAAGGATTAGGCAATAGTATTGTTGCTTCCGAGTATAAAATAGACTATTTTATACGTGGTTGTGGCCGTGGTTGTGGGTATTGTTGCGGGTGTGAATCTCGGTGCAACGTATCAATTGCAACAACGGCAGCAACACCGGTCGCAACGGTAGCCGCAACAGACGTTAAAGCCTAGTATTAAAAGGCGGGAGGGCTTAGGTTATTAAACTAAGGTTAAAATAGATGGCATCTTATATTTATACGTGGTGTTGGCTGTGGTGTTGATTGTGGTGGTAACTAGTGGTGACTGGTATCACCCACTGCAAAAGAAATTTGACGTTTAAGGCCACGATATAAAAACGCAACGTTGTATAAATATGCAAAAAGTTTAAGCAGATAGATACAATATATTACTAGCCCTGAGTCATTTAAATTGAAGCTATTTTATACGTTGTTATATTGTATTAAATCATCGTAAATATAATATTTAAATTTTATTACCAAAATCTCCACCGCAACAGGCGCTCGGGCCCAGGCCAGCCTCAGACCACGTTTCGTAAAATAGTATGCCCGTGACCCACAGATACAAACACACGGGCCATGCGTTTTCGAGGCGCCTGTGGCGCCGTGCGGGCGCAGCCCGCGCCCTTACGAAATGTGGTCTGAGTCTACTGAGATAACACCCACACACACAATTCATCATCAGGTCAATAACAGTCATCGTGATAACCTCGTTTTATATTGTGTTTTATTTCCTTATTTAATGTACACCACCACCCATACCTTGTCATACCAACAAAAGTCATATAATTTTAATAATAAATTTATCAGTCTTTACAATTGTAAATAAGTATTAACAGCTGTTTTTAACAGGTGACAAGGATTTGCCTATAAACAAAACTTTTGAAAAGGTCATCCGTATCTGGCCGTTAAAAAGGGGGGATGTATTTAAGTACCTAACCCGGTATCTAAGTACCTCGGTACTCTCCGAGTCTAGGTTCATTTTAAGTGCATGCGGGGATTGCATCATCCCGCATTTGCCATTTGGTAAGCACGGAGACGTGCTAAAGTTAATAGGCTTGATAAGGTAATCGATAGGTCCATACGAGGCGGGCTATCTTTCAAAAAATCAACATCGCTGGTGAACACCGATATTCCGTCTTTGCCGAACTTCATCGATACCCAATCCTTAATCCACCACTCAACTCTGGAAATATAAGCAACTCATATCCGGTCATGTCTGCCGACGACCAGCAGTTTTTGGACTTGGTTAGTGCCCTATAGTTCAATATCCTCGGCTCGCTTGGCACTTTGTTGCGCATCTAAATGAATAGAGGAAAAAGGCTAACGGAGGAGACATGTGATAGCTCTCGTCCATCCCCAACCACATCCGGCGATACTCCGGAGAGGTTGCCGACTATGTTGACAAAACAGTCGACAAAGTTGCGGATGAGATCAGGGATACCCTATCGTCGGCGGAATGGGTACCCGAGTACGTGCGACCAAAAGCTACTGCTCGACCACCGCCCGTCGAGATCGTGCCGGTGACTACATACGAGAGTATACAAAATTGGATTTCTCGTCATAAGATACTTTGCGGCGTGGTGGTCGTCACTGCTGGATATATAACATACAGGACAATACGATATACCAAACAGCTCCGTAAACCTCGTCGGGCGAGGCGTGCTCGAAATGGTGGCAGACTCGAGGTCGTCGTCATCGCCGGATCACCAACGTTACCACTGACCAAGGCTCTATCCTTGGATTTGGAGAGGAGGGGCTTTATCGTATATATTGTTTGCAATACTATCGAAGACGAAGTCACCGTGCAGAGCCTCTCACGACCTGACATTAGATCCTTAGGTATCGATATAACCGACGTAAGTATTCCAAGTTGAAAAAAAATAGCATCTCGATGTATCTCGTGTCTAACATGTTGATATAGCCACCGAAAGCCGGCCGAGCTATTGAACGATTCGCCGCCTATCTCCAAACCCCGCATGCCGCGGTCCCGCGAGCGAAGCCGACCTATCTAGTGTTGAAGGCGGTTATCCTGATCCCCTCGCTCAACTACCAAACCTCCCCCATCGCTACGATTCCTCCCTCGAGCTTTGCCGACCTCTTCAATACCCATCTCCTCCACCCCATCCTCACGATCCAGTCATTCCTACCTCTCCTTACATCTCGAATAACGCCCCAAGGAGAGACCACCGCAGCACCCCGAGTCCTCGTCTTCACACCATCAATCATCTCCTCGATCAACCCGCCGTTCCACGCCCCCGAAGCAACCGTGTGCTCCGCCCTCTCCGCCTTTACGGAGGTTCTAACAGCAGAACTGAGCCCCCTCGCCATCCCCGTAACGCACATGCAACTCGGCACCTTCGACTTCGCGGGGTTCACGCCGGTCCGTGCAGGCCCCGCTGGAGTAAACGCAACAGCTCCCCCGACGACAGGTCTGCACCCGCTGTTACCGCCGGCGCCAGTCGAGACGCTTCAGTGGCCAGAGTCCGCACGCAACGCATATGGTCGTAACTTTATGTCGCAGTCGTCGTCCGCCATCTCAGCTGGTCGCATCCGCGGACTACGCGGTAGCTCCCTGCGGGAACTGCATAACGCTGTGTTCGACGTAATCGACGGTTCGAACCAGAGCGACGTGGTGCGCGTAGGCCTCGGCGCCGGTCTCTACGGGTTCGTCGGCCGCTGGGCCCCGCGTAGTCTAGTGGCTTGGATGATGGGAATCCGCAAGGTGGATGAGCTCAGCGCCTGGGAGGGAGGCCTGCGCCCGGATAGTGCTAGTGGCAGCAGTAGTAGCGAGAAGAGCGCTGGGAGCGAGATTGGTGAGGGCAGTGAGTTTATTGCCGTTGCGAAGGAACATGATGGGCATAACGTCTGGAAATCATAGCAATATTGAGAAATCGACGAGGGTTTAAGGTTAGGTTAAGGGAGGGGCCAGGCGGTTTGCTTTTTGGCTGGCGTCGCGTCGTGATGACTGATGAATAGGGCAACGGGATTTACGAAGGCTGTACATTCGGCAGGTGATGAGACTGGATGGCATGGCCCTCTTCAATGCTTGGATATATCTCGCTTCTCTTTTACGTGGATATTGGCTTATATAGCTCGTTTAGTTCACACGAATGCATAGATGGTTTATAACAAACTGGCAGTCTTGTTTGATTGACGTCGTTGGTAACGACTGCTTGATTGCTATACCTATTAATAGTATATCTTGGGGTATCCTATGTCCAGTCCTCTCTCATCGTCTTTCCCCTTGGTCTTCTTTATAGTGGCTAGCCACTACTGCTATCATCGTAGACGATAAGTCCTAAAAATTCCAATTTGGGACTATTCCATGCTCGGAAGCATTGGGTTTGTGAGTATCCGCCTATGGTAACTAGCTCGATTGCATCGAATGCCTCGAAGGTTACGAGCCTTGTTGTAAAAACGAGTCAACCAAGGCGAGCAAAATGTTTGCGTATGGGCGGAAATTGGTGGCAATAAACCCCCACCTGTTCGAGCCTAGGCGGTATATCGAGACGTGTTACGGTATAGCAACCGTTCCATCTGCTTGCCCGTATATATGTATGCCAAGACGCATCATCTCTAGTGATGACCTCTTCCACGCCCGAACTTCCTATCGCCTCTTCCTCTCCACCGACCGCCACGCCCGCCACCAAATCTATCGCCCCGGCCCCCCCTATTATCCCTATCTTGTCTTCCGAAATCTCTTTGATCCTCATCCATAAAACCGTCGTCTCTTCTGATAGGCTCCTCAGGTATGACGTCGGCCTTAGCGATAGGTTTCTCGAGATTCTTATCCCACCTCGGGTGAGCACCCTCCTTACAGGTCTTTCCGTCGGGACAGAAGCCGGCTAAGTAGTAGGGACATAATTTGCGGCGGACATGCTTCTTGGAACAGTTGGGGCCCAGGGGACAGAAGCCCCGGTCGTAGTGTGGGCAGGGAGGTAATTTGGATTGGGGGTCGATGTGTAGGTAAAGGCACTCGTCGCCATTGGAACAGTACCCGTTGCGCACAAAGAAGTTACACTCGGGCATCTTACGCAGGTTATACTCGTGAAGGAACTCGCAACTCTCGCCCTTCTTGCACAGAGCTCGCAGCCAATGCTTGCATACCAGGGAGTTGTAGCTGGCGTTGGTGCTGCTGGCCGCGTTGGGCGCGACGTGCCGGTCGGGACATGATGTACCTAATGGACAGTGCCCTGCTACAAATGCTTTGCATACGGGTCTGTTTGGCGGGAATCCGTGGCCGTAGTTAGAACGTAGGAATGGTGAGAAGCTGAAGGTGTAGCTGGGCGCCTTATGCTCGAGGATCTGCTTCGCGAGTTCGGAAGGCGGCAGAGGTGCCGTTGTCGAAGCCATGGTGGGGGGTTGATATGCGATTGTATTTGGCTATACTTGATCGCTTTCTCTCATGGATTGATACTGTTTGCAATAGTATACCTATTCTTGGGTGACGTCGGACCGGCAATAATAAGATGTGATTGAATTGAATTATTTAGAGGTGATGATGTTTTAGTACAAGGATGGAATGTCGGGAATTGCGAAATGCGAAATACGAAATACGAAATACAATAAGCTAACAGTAAAAGCTTATGTGGGGCGAAGTTAAGGCATTTGTAATACTAGACTATATGCTATAAACACATAAGTATAGATAAACTGCGGGGTATGCAACTATATACACTTTGTCCGCCCGCGGACTTCAAAAAGCAATATCGGTCGTATTTATCGGTGGTATTCTGGCATTCCGCAGACTGCCGGTCTGCTGAGCAAGACAAAAAGAGCTTTTTTAAAGCTTAGATGCGTCCCCGGATGGATCGACATTGCATAAGAATGCGGGGATTTTGAGATCATAACTGTTTTTTGGAGTTATTCTACATCTTGTTCACCGACTACATTTGTCTTTGCAATTATTCTAGTGATGCAACAACAGCAATTCATGTCATCCTTGTGAAGGGATGGCATTTTTGATACAGGTACCCAACCAAGCCATGACTTCGTAACAGCCTGCGTAGAAACTATTCGTTTGGAGATACATCATAGCTATCTAACCTTAGGTACCTAGGTTTACATCAAATCATTATCCGGTTTTATTATTCAACTACCTGAGTGCAAGCTCTGGAAGGATTCTAGAGCTACTTCCCTACCTTATAGGATCTACCTACGTAGGTGGGGGTAGTTAGTCATACTAACAGACTCAACATGACGATACTCAGTTCTATAAGTCGGTGGCTTCCGCCCAGTCGGAGTGGTACCACGTATACTATCGCCGAACAATCCGCCGACTCTCTCAGTCTTGACCCATTTCTCATGTCATTTATAGTCCGGCTTGATTCCTGGTATGATCAATTAAACATCGCTTCTCGTCTGCTCCTGTTTTCAAGTCTTGTTTCATCATTTGCAATCACATGGAGTTGGTGTTCTGGAAGATTAAATAGGGGAGCAATGATTCGATATATCATGCTGCTGTTGGCGACTCTACTGTCACTGTCGAGCCTCGTTCCAGGGCAGCCGACATCGACCATCAACAAATATGCTCTGAGCTCCGAAGATGACCCCGATCCTAATCCAGACGTTGGTCAACCTATCATCCCTAATATCGTTGATCCCCAAGCCATCAACCCCCAAACTGTTTGTCCAGGCTATGTAGCTTCTAATGTGAAGAACACGAGTAATGGCTTTACGGCAGATCTCACTTTGGCTGGAGAAGCTTGTAATGTTTACGGCACCGACATCGAAGCTCTGAGCCTAACCGTCGAGTATCAAGCGGTGGATCGACTGCACGTCGAGATACTGCCCCGCTACATCGGCACTGAGAATTATACTTGGTTTATCCTCCCTGAAGAATTGATCCCAAAGCCTCAGATCGAAGAAAATTTTGACTCCTCGGATAGTGATCTAGACTTCACTTGGAGCAACGAGCCTACATTTTCATTTAAAGTCACTAGAAGAAGCACTAGCGATGTCTTGTTTACCACGGAAGGCTCCCAATTAGTTTATGAAAATCAGTTCATCGAATTTGGCTCGTCTTTGCCTGAGAATTACAACTTGTACGGCCTTGGTGAGGTGATCCATGGATTCAGACTTGGAAACAACTTTACTCGTATAGTATCCCTATTTTTCTTAGATTCTAGCATGTGCTAACCAATATTAGGGACCTTCTTCGCAGCTGACGTAGGCGATAATATCGATGCCAATATCTATGGAAACCATCCTATTTACCTTGATACTCGTTATTTTGAGGTAGACAAAGGTACTGGGGCTCTAACATACGCTCCGGATGCTACAGATAAGTCGACTCAGTATAAGTCATATACCCACGGTGTTTTTCAACGCAGCGCCCATATCCAGGAAGTCTTGCTACGAGAAACCAACATTACGTGGAGAGCGCTCGGCGGCAGTATCGATCTCTACTTCTACGAAGGTCCTACTCAGGATAAAATTACCAAGTCATACCAAAAGAGTGCGATCGGATTACCTGCGATGCAGCAGTACTGGACCTTTGGTTACCACCAATGCAGATGGGGTTACAACAACTGGACTGACCTCCAAAACGTTATTGAAAACTTTGCTAAATCCGAAATTCCTCTCGAGACAATCTGGTGTAAGTCATTATACCGTTCTTTAACTGGAATCCTCAGTAGTTATGAATAGTTTATCATTAACACCTCGTAGCCGACATCGACTACATGAAAGCGTACAGAGATTTTGAAAACGACCCAGATCGCTTTAGCTATGATGAAGGGGCCGAATTCCTGTCGCGCCTACATCAAAATGATCAACATTACGTGCCTATCATCGATTCGGCCATATATGTGCCGGATCCCACTAATTCCAGCGATGCATATACCCCTTTTAATCGAGGTGTTGAGCAAGATGCCTTTCTACTCAACCCTGACGGATCTATCTACGTCGGAGAAGTTTGGCCCGGTTTCACTGGTATGTGTCTTTAAATACTATCCCCCCGTAGCTATGCTGATGGATCTAGTTTTCCCTGACTGGATTGGTGCTCTATTTAATGGCACTGGAGCCAACAGGTGGTGGATATCCGAGGTTGCCGAGTATTACAGTAAGATCAAGTTCGACGGTATCTGGATCGATATGTCAGAAGTCTCGTCATTCTGCGTGGGCAGCTGCGGCAGTGATGAACGGAACATGGATCTTCCAAGGGAGTCCAGAAATGAGATCCGGCAGTTCCCTGAGATTGTCGATCCAACCAATGTTAGGAAAGTAGCTATTGAAGCCCGGGAAGATCCTACTCCGACCTCATATCTTCGTACTACCCCGACTCCGGGCGTTCGGAACGTCAACTGGCCCCCGTACGCTGTCAACAATTTCAACGGCGATCTTGCCGTCCATGCCGTCAGCCCCAATGCGACACACCACGGTGGGATCATAGAGTACGACGTCCATAACGTATACGGACATCAAATTCTGAACGCTACCTATCATGCCCTTTTGAATGTCTTCCCTGAGAAGCGACCGTTCATTATCGGACGATCTCAATTTGCAGGCTCTGGAAAATGGGCTGGTCATTGGGGGTAAGATAGTTCCATTTGATCTGCCAACTCTTAAAGCATAGCTCACCGCAAAAATAGGGGCGATAACTATTCTCTCTGGGCGTTCTTATTTTTCTCCATCCCACAGGGCCTGTCTTTCTCCCTTTTCGGTATCCCCATGTTCGGCGTCGACACTTGTGGTTTCGCCGACGATGTTGATGAAGAGTTGTGTTCACGCTGGATGCAATTGTCTGCTTTCTTCCCGTTCTACCGAAATCACAATACGCAAGGGGCTGCTAGCCAGGAGCCGTACCTTTGGCCGTCTGTAGCAGAAGCTTCTAGGGCGGCCATGAAGATCCGATACGCGCTGCTGCCATATATCTACACGACTTTCTATCTCAGCCATTCTACTGGTTCAACGGCCCTCCGTGCTCTGGCCTGGGAATTTCCGGATGAGCCATGGCTAGCTAATGCCGATAGGCAGTTCCTTCTCGGTGATGCGGTCTTAGTTACTCCTTGCTTAGTTCAGGGTGCTACGACCGTCGACGGTGTTTTCCCTGGCGTAGGTTCTGGTACCGTCTGGTATGATTGGTACAACAAGACGTCGATCACAGGAGTTGCGTCCGGGCAAAACGTCACTATTGATGCGCCACTAGGTCATATCCCGGTTTACGTGCGAGGCGGGAAAGTTATACCTCTGCAAGAGCCAGGTCTAACCACCGCAGCCGTTAGAGCCAGTCCCTGGAGTCTCCTTGTCGCATTAGATGGTGACGGACATGCTAGTGGAGGACTATACCTCGACGATGGAGAGAGCCTTGTGCCTAATAGTACTACATGGGTTGATGTAAGATTTTTTATTTTCTATTATTCACAAGTGGGTAAAATTGCTAATCTCTGTCAGTTCACCGTCGAAAATTCGTCTTTGAAGGCCACGCCTCGCGGAAATTTCGAAGACAAGAATGTGCTGGGCAATGTGACGATCCTAGGAGCTCAAGATCCCGTATCCAAAGTAGAGTTGAACGGGAAAGAGGTTCCTACTGGCGCGTGGAGCTTACAGGACTCGAGTAAAGTCCTAACGATTACAGATCTTGACACGTTGACGGCGGGTGGTGCTTGGTCGGGTGAATGGACTTTGAGTTGGTCGTGAATATAATTATAGTGGCCTGCTATTTAGTTGTAGTATTATCTTAACAACATCTTACTGAGATCCGCGATAGTCCTTGTGCTCAAATAAGCCAGCGTCGCCTCGAGTCAATAAAACCGTCAAATTTAACGCCGTTATTCCTAATTTTCTAGGAGTTTGGTGCCAAAGCCAAAGTCATGCTATCACCCCCCTTACCACATGGCAGCATACAACCCAAGGATACCAGCCGCAAGATTCACAACAGGTCTATACAGATTCCGCGTAGCCCACGAATCCACCAACTGGTGCGCGGTCTCGGACTCCGCATCCAGAATCATAATCCTCTCCTCCATCTCACGGTTCAGCGGGGTAATCGCGAAATGCGTCCACGGCAACGTGCTGAGTGTCAGAGTAGCCGCAATAGCGTACACGCGCGCCTTTCCAGGTACTAGGTATGCTAGGTACGCGTGCAGGATGCCCGGAAGTATTAGCGGGATCGTCAATCGTCGCCGGGCGGAGGACATAGTGCGCAGGAATTGTCCTACCATGAGGGGTGTGGGGGACTCCATGAGCCGCGGGACTAGGAAGATGGAGAGGCTTGCGCTAGCTCCGGCGGTAGTGGTGAGGAGTGCTATGCTGATGGCTTGGAGGGCGCGGATGGAATTGGGTGTTGGGGTTAGCATTGTATTAGATAGATTAGACATGATTTGAAGTTGTGAGGATATGTTCAGCTGTAGGAAGATTTAATGTAGTTAGGAATATGGTAAATACCATTTGGTGAAGGTTTTACATGGTGTTTTGTAGTGTACGATTCTGAGGAGGATATAAGGTTAGGTATTTAGGTCATGAGTTGGGGGAGATCAGATGATGACGTCACGCATCTCATATAAGAAGTTAAATAATTAAATCTAAGCTGTTATCGCTTTGACCTTTTCTTACTTGTCGTATGAGAATGAAGCGGTCATTTATATAAGCCGATAAGCCAATACCTTTTTTAGCATATTCCTTCTTAGCTACCTAACACTTTCAATAAAGTGAAGCTATATTCACCTCCTACCGATCTACTTCTTCGCATGTGCATGTCTACGGTGGATATTATCAGGCAGCATGCAATTCCCTTGCCGCAAATATCCACAAGACATAAAAGAAACCACATTCACAGCTTCCTCGCCAACACCCTCAACCTCACATACCCCAGATGAAACCCACCGCTCGGATTCTTACACACAAACTCCAAAACATCCACCACCTCCTTAATACACTCCTCCCTCTCCTCCCCCTCCTTCAGCGCCTCAAAAAACTGCGCCCCAAATAACCTCACCCACCCCTCCACACCACCCGCATCAGCCCGCGTAGGACGATACTCGCGCTCCGCCCTCTCGACCTTCCACCCCCCGACTTTATTCTCCAGCATATCCGTGGCCCACGCCTCGTCGGGGAAGAACCACGGGTCATGCTCGATTGCCGTAGACAACCCGACGCGTCGCGTTACCGCTCCTAGGAGCGCGGCCCGGATCTCGGCTACGTTACCGAGGCCGCCCATCTCGAACGCGAAGATGCCGCCGGGAGCTAGGGCGTCTCGTGCTGCGCGGAATACGGAGGCTTGGCGCTCTACGTCGCCTCTAGAGGACCCGAACACCCAGTGGAGTGCTGCGTTGGAGAAGATCTTGGTGAAGTGCCCGCGCTGTAAGTGTTGCGCCTGCGCTAGTTGGAGGGCGTCGACGACTAGGTTTGTGTTAGTCGTATAAGTTTGCTACTAAGGCAAGGATGGGCTTGCTTACCTTCGAATGTACACTTTGAAGCACCGGCCTTGCTAGCTGCTTGTGTCGCTGCCTCGATCATAGCCGGCGATGAGTCCGTGCCGTGAATGCTGCCGTTACCCTGGGCCAGGATGTCTTGCAGCTGGATGTTTAGCACGCCGTCTGAATTATAGATGCGGTAAGCATAATAGCCAACTAGTCTCAAGATAAAGTAGTAGTGTAAGTATGTTTATAAAAGGAAACCTTACCACCACAGCCGATATCTAGGATCACATCGTCCTTCTGTGGATCGAGCCACTGTAAAATCTTTGTGGCGAGCTTCGGCACGAAGGAGGCTGAGTGTTGATACGCCTGGATTGTGTAGTCTTGTTAGAATGTATATATAAGAATATCTTATACCTAACTAGCAGATCTCGTTTGACCTACCTCGGTGGACCAATGGTCTTTCTTCTCCGCCATTATGAGGGTGAGGAGGTTCTCAGGATAGGAGCCGGTCGCTGCGTGAGTAACTTTTTATTATTCTATTATAAGATATAACGTTTATGAGTTAATATTCTTCAATTGACTTCATAGTATGTTTAGTCCGAGTCTATTCCGAGTCTAGGGAGACTTTATATGAGGGACTCGACCCGTACCAACCGGCCGTAAGGTCGCCCGAGATCGGAGTCCTCCCTACCTCATAGCAATGCACCATCTCCAACGTGTCCAGGGGTGATGTGCACATGATTCCACCAAAGCTTTGGAAAAGCAAGTAGCAATTCGTTAAATTCTACCTGTCTTGCTTGAGTGACTTGTCTAATAATAAAGCTGCCGTGGAACCGCTGCAAGCAGGGTATCTTGTAAAATCATCGGACCTACAACAATGTCCCGGTTGGAAAAAATCAATCTATATCGAGCAGCTGGTACTTGTCGTCGCCGAGTGCATCTTCGACTCTCTTCATAATGGCAAGTACCTTCTCCTCTTCTAACCTTCGTCCAACAACCTGGACACCTACTGGTAGTCCGTGCATCGCCTCGGCGTCATAAAGTTTGTATGCACCTTGAGCAACACCATTCAGTTTCTTGATGTTGAAGGTCGGCGGTAGCTTGTCGAGGGCCTTATCGACATGTGTCACTGGAATGATGCCGCAAGTATAATCGACCTATGGTTGTTTAGCATGGCCAAAGTAAACGTGGATCCAGGAGTTCACTTACAATATTGAACAGGAACGTGTAGCCGCAACTGCTCACAGCTTCCTTCATACCGTCGTGAGGTACGGCTGGTGTCGCGTTAGGAGGTGTGATCAAGAAGTCGATATACGCATTATTCCACCATTCAAAAAATTTGCCCCTATAAGCCTCGCGCTGAGCAACCAATTGCCACTGTTCGTACGCGCTCTTCTCGTGCCAATCTTTGACAAGGCCAGCCCAGATATCATCTCTCCGGACGTACTTAACCCATAGGTAATAGAGATATTTGAACGGGCGCGGAAGCCGTATAAACCAATCCATCTGGTGAGCTCCCGGGTCGTTCCATTCACCGGAGCGGAAAAAGGACTTGAACACCTTGCAGCCGTCGGCGTTCAATAGGAGAGCACCAATTTTAAGTGCTTCGTATGGCGACGGTACGTCGACCTCGACAATCTCGTGGCCGGCTTCCTTCAAGGCAGCTTCTACCTTTTCTAGTGCTCGCACGCATGCAGGACTAGGATCAACCACACCATCGGTCCTCATTACGCCCACGCGGAATTTGCTTTTTGTCGCATACTCTTCTTCCACGTCGGATCTCCACGGTATAGGATGAACAGAGTGGTCGTACTTCCACGGTTGCATACCAATTACAGCACGGGTGAAATACGTCAGGTCATTCAAGGTTCTGGTCATAGGGCTGTATACACTTGGCACGCCTTCTTGGCCAGGCATACTTGTCGCAAAGCCTGCTTTCGGCCATCGTCCAGTTGAGCATTTCAGACTGTAGATACCGGAGAAATGGGCCGGGGCTCGAACACTGCCAGCGACATCGCTTCCGATTCCAATTCGTCCACCCAACGCTAATAGGGCTGCTTCGCCACCGGTCGATCCTCCAGGAGAGTATTTGCTGTTATGCGGATTGGTACATCGTCCCCAAACATCATTCGTAGATTCAAAACTGAGCAATGTAATTGGTAGGTTGGTTTTGACGTAAGGAACAGCACCAGCGTCTTTGAGTAGTCTAACAGTGGCGCCATCTTGCGGCTGTTTGTTACCAACGAAGCTGCTGTAGCCGACAGTCGAATCAAACCCGCCAACATTAATTGTATCTTTTAAACTGATCGGAATACCAGCAAGTGGACCTTTGGTGTTGATGGAGCCGTCCGCAATCCAACGTTCAGCATCAGAGATCATAACCTCAGTTACGCAATTCGTCTTCTCATGTGCCTTGAGCGCAACCTTGCCGTACGTATTAAGTAGGTCAATGGGCTTAAGCTCACCCTTATGTACATCTTCGACCAATTCCTCGATGGGCTTGTTGATGATATCCCGATCTAGAGGAAGAAAGGGGCCACGATAGTTGGTCAAGGCCCGAAGCCTCTCTGCACGCTCATTCTGCTTAAACTTGCTATTTTACTGTGAGAAATAGACTTCTTATTTTGAGTTTCCGAAGTCGGTTATTTAATGACGGATCATTGGTAGAAAATTAGGAATGGTGGGAATGAAATGCTTACCAGTCTTTCTTATGTTGGATGTAGTCGAGGAAGAAGACCATCTTGTTAGTTGAACCTGAGAGGTAGACACCTGTTTTTTTAACGACGACTTGGATGTGACGTCAAAAAGACAATATATCACTTAGGTAGTATGGAAGCTGAAGAAAGCTCTAGGATGGGAATTTGAGTTATTATTAATGTACCTCACGCCTTCCTTATGTACGTGGCAACTGGAATGCCGGAGAAGGAGTGAAAGATAAGGTCAGCTCATTCGCGCCCTCTTACACGAACCGGATAGAGCTCGGTATCCCCCGCATTTCTTCGCATAGGTACCTTCTTAGTATGTAGCTCACCTTCTTCACCGGCCGCTGATAACCGGCTACAACTTCCGCACACGGAATAGAGTTTGTGTACTACTTTCTTCCGATAAGACATGTATGGACGTAATTCAATAGTGGTAGAAGTGTGTTACACATCGACTAAAAGTAAATATACATAGAAATACATAAATACATATCTATTAGTTCAGCTCATGTCGATATAAGAGCTATCAATTTGAACTCTTCCCCCACTTCTCCAAGTCTCCGGGGAGTTATCCCCCACTAATGCACCCCGCAGAACTTCCAAATAATGTTACTATTTTCAAATACCCCTATGACATCTATATATGTCTTTCATATTTATAGAATCTGGAGATACAAATTGGAACCTGCCCTCTAGGTAGATATACCGTAAGCTTAAAGGAGAAAATCTCAAATTCGAAACCAACGATAATCCGTATAAGTGTATCGAGCATTAGGGAATAGCCAATACATCTAGACATGGCATCCAGTGAACCCGCATATGATCCTAAGAGGACAGGATCATGGCTCATCTGCACAGCTTGCGGGACACAATTTCCCACCGCGAACAGGCTAGAGTTGAAAACGTGCTTTATCTGTGACGACCCTCGTCAATTCACGCTACCAACTGGTCAAGCTTTCACCACTCTTAATGATATTCGTACAATTGCCGAAAACGTATGGACACCCTTCGAAAGTGACGACAGGTTCACATCTATCCATACGGAGCCCAAGATAGGCATCGGTCAGCGGGCCATCCTGATCAAAACTCTAAATGGTAACGTCCTTTGGGATTGTCTCACTCTCATCGATGACGAGACCATCAACAAGATTAAAGGTTTAGGTGGTCTGAAAGCTATCGTCATCTCTCATCCGCACTATTACTCGACACACGTAGAATGGGCCCGCGCTTTCAACTGTCCTGTCTACCTAGCTACCGAGGATAAGCAATGGACGACGCAGAGCTCATCGTACCAGGTCTTTGTGGAGGAAACAGAGCTTGACTTACAGATCGATGGCAAGTCTTCCGGGGTCAAAGCCATCAAGCTTGGCGGTCACTTCCCAGGATCTTTTGTGGCATTATACAAGGAACACCTACTCATCGCCGACACACTAGTCACAACGCCTTCGGGGCTAGGCAGCTGGGATACGGATGCCGTAGGAGCTGCGCGGACCCGGCCAGCGGGTCTGAATAGCTATTCGTTCATGTGGAGTATTCCGAACATGATCCCTTTGGCCCCGGACGAGCTGCAGCGGATGTGGAGTATACTTAAGAAATACGACTTCAGCTCTACGCATGGTGCGTTCCTCAAGATGGATATTTTGAAGACCGTGCCCGAGATGAAGCGTAGGGTGCTGGAGAGCATGCAGATCCAGATTAAGTATATGGGTTATGGCAACCATGCGTTTCTAAAGGAAACCATATCATAGAGGAAAAGGGGAGAAGCAGCTTGAATTAATCTGGACTTCAACTTGTAATTAGACACGGAGAGTTTAGTGAGCACTAAGAAGGACATTCTAATGATATCAATAAATCTAGATGTCCAAAATTGAGAATAAGCAAATGAATGCCTTCTAAATGATCAAATAAAGCGCCTGTATAATACCCCACCACCCGCCCATCAAAGTGCCTGCATTGTTTGCGATGTGTGAGAGCTACGGTTGACCAAACAAGCCATTGTGCCAAAATGAAAAAAATCGGTGAGTTTAATTTAAAAGGGTAGTTAGCCATTATTTCAGTGAACTCAGACCAGTGACGCGAATTTCGTTGTACCCCTCCCGCCACACCTTTTTTTTAACCAATCATATTTCCAACCTATCCTCCTCACGAATTTCGCATCTTTGGTCTAAGGTAACTTAGGCGATTTTTGCCACACCAAATTGTTTAGTATTAAAAATAACATTAAAAATAATATTAAAAATAACATTAAAAATAATAATATTAACGCGTTTAAAGTAAATTTTAATTAATTTAAAATATTTATTAATTTTATTATTAATAAATATATACGTTTTAAAGTTTTTTAAAGTGTTAAAATTAATTATAATATTAGTTATAACATTATAATTTCGGTTATAATATCGGTTATAACGTTTTTGGGAATATATTATTAATTTAAACGTTAAAGTTTATAATATTATAACGTAATACCGTATAAACATGTAAAAAAAATAAAAGATTTAAAAAACTATTATATTAATTTTAAATAAAAAAAATAAAATATATTATATATTATTATAAATATATATATAAATGTAAGTATTGTTTTAATATATTATTATATGTTTTTAAACGTTAAAACTTAAAATATTATAACGTAATATTGTATAAATATGTAAAAAAAATAAAAAAGTAAAAAAAATAAAACATTAATTTTAAATTATAAAAATAAAAGTTATTTTATATGTTATTATTAAATATAAAATTATTGTAAATATAAGGTTTAATTTTTAAAAAAATTTGTTTTAACGTGGTTAAAAACGCTTAAGTTATTTTAAATTAAAATTCGTTAAAACTTATACTTTATATTGCTTTTTTAAGTTTATAAATCCATAAATATAATGACACGGGCCAAGCGTTACGTGGCGTTTATAACGCTTGTATTAACGGGTGCAACCCGTTAATTTAACAAATTTTAATTTAAATATATTAAAATAAATTAACCATAAATTAACGCAATTAACTTAAATTATTATAATATTTCGTATTTTTATATAAAAAAAAAAGTTATTTTTTATAAATATATATATTATAATGTTATATATAATATATTTTAATAAAGTATATTTATTTTTACGATTTTTTAATTAATTAAATCGTATTTTTAAATCGGATTTTTTTATATTTTATATATTTTAACAATTATTTATTATAATATAATAATCCACTCTTTTTTACTATTTATTACAACTTTTATATATTATTTTTAATTGATAAAATAACACCATTTTGTTTATTTTATTTTTTTAATTTTTTTTTAATATTAATTAATAAAAATTGTAAAAAATTTTTATAATTTATCGATATTTATTACCTAAAATATTTTATTTTAAATTTATTATTTAATTTAAATATGTTTAATAATAATAATATTTATTATATAATAATATATTACATTTATTATATTATAATTAAAAATGTATAAAAATTAAAAAAAAAAAAAAATAAAAATAAAAAAAAACTTTTTTTATTTTTAACCCAAAAATTTAAACCTATTATAATATTAAATAATAATATTTTGCAAAATAAATAATATTATTTTTACGTTTTTAATTTTAAATATATTAATTATAAATATATTTTTTTTAATTTTTTACTTTATATTAATTTATATTAATTAAATTATATTTATAAATTACTATTTTATTATTTTATTTTTTAATTATTAAAACTTTTTTAAAAATTTATTAATATTTTAATAATTTTTTAAACCGTTAATTATTTTTACAAATTAAAATTAATAAATTTAAAAAAGTAAAATAATTATTAAAAAAACTATTAAAAAGTTTTTTAATACATTATTTTAAAAAAACCCTTTTTTTATTATAATATATTATATTAAAGCTTATTAAATTATTAATCATTTAAATAAACTTAATTTTATTTATATTATATTTAAAACTTTTAAATAATAGTTTAAAATAAATTTTATATATAAATATTTATTATTAAATATTATATATAACAATTTTTTAAACAATTTGCTTAACTTTATCTTTTTTTATATAAATTTTCATTATTTTTTAAATAAAAACTAATTTATTTTAATTTTAAAATTAAACTTAAAAACCAGGTTTATTATTATTTACTTTTATACTTTAATATTGCATATACTTTAACCGTTTAATAAATTAAATAAAATTAATTTTAAAATAATTTTATATTATTATAATTTTAAAGTTTATACATTTATTAAAAATTTTATTAAATATCTTTTTGCTTATTTTACGTAGTTTTTTTTTAACAATATTATTATATTATTTTTTTAAAACAAAAATACAAAAAAAACGATATTTTTCGTTATAATATTTAAAAAATTAAAAAATAACCAAAAATATAACTATATATACCGGAAATTTAAAAAAAATCTACTTTTACCAAAATTTAAAATTTAAAAAAAACGGTATAATATTAAACATCTTTTATCTAACATAAATAATAATATTAATAATATTAAATTTATAAACTTTTTTAATTTTACCTTTTATAACGCAATTTTTAAAAATATATATAATTAATATAATAATAATAATATATATTATTTAAAAAAACGCTTCCAATTATTAAATTTTAATAATAATAAATATATCGATTATAATTTTAATATTAATTATAATTTTAAATTTATAAAATAACTTACGTTTTATACCACAATTAAATTAAATAACAATAAATAAAAACTTTTAACTAAACTATTTTTTAAACCTTAAAATATTAAAAATAATAATATAAATAGTTTTAATAAAATAAATTTAATTAAAAATATATATGGCTTTTATAATATTAAACGTTTTAATTTTTAATAAAAATTAAATAATATTACAATTATTAAATATATATTTTTAATAATTTTTATTTTTTTATTTAAATATATTATATAAAAATATATATTATATTATTTAAAAATAAATATTATATTAATAATAACCTTTATTATTTTATTATATATTAAATAAATAAATATTTATTTATTTAAATATATATTTTAATAAATAATAAATAAAATATTATTTTTTAATATATAAATATATTAAATACCTATATTTATTTATTTTATATATTATAAAAAAAGGTTTAAATTTTTTTTTTTTTATTTTTTACTTTTATATTATATATATACAATATAATACGAAAATTTATTAATTTTAAGTTATATAAAAAATATATTATTACTTAATTTTATATAAATTTTTTAATTAAAAAGATTTAATAAAATATTTTTAAAAAATATTATTAAAAACTTTTATTAAAAACTTTTAATTGTATATTTTGCAAATAAAAATTATAAAAGTAATATTGCGTATAAAATTAATAGGATATTTTAAATAAATTAAAAAAATATTTTTTAATTATTTTTTTTAAATTTACTTTTTTAATACTAAAATTAGCAAATTTTTATATTAAAAAAAGTTTTAAATTTTTTTATTATAAATAAAACGGATTTAGTACAATTTAAGTTTTAAATATTGTTAAGTAATTTTAAAAGATAAGTAATAATAAATTAATAAAATTAAGGTTATTTTAACAAAAAAATTTATTATATTTAAATGTTTAAATAAATTTAAATAAAGTTATATTTATAATAATGTATTAAATTTTAAAAAAAATAAATTTTTTTGGTATATATTAATTTTAATTATTATTATTATTATATATATTAATAATATTTAAGTAAAAATTTATAAAAGTTTATTAAAAATTTTTTTTTTTAATTATTTATTATTATATATAACAAGTTAAAAAGTAAAAAAAAAATTTATTATATATAAACTTAATTAAGTTTAAAATATTAACGGTTATAATAAACTTAAACGCTAAAAGATTTATATATATATTAAAATTAATAAATATTTAAAATATTTAATTTAATATTATATTAATTGGTTTAAAAGTATTATTATTTTTACTTTTATTTAATATTTATACGTTATACGTAACTTAAAATAAACATTTTATATTATCCGAATAAATAAAAGAAAAAAGGTTTTTTTATTTATAATAATATATTAAATTTTTATATAAAAAGTTTATTTAAATAAAAATAATTTAACTATTAAATTTAATAATTGTTTTTATTATAACTGTAATATAAATAATATAAAGATTAAATATTGGTGGGAATAATTTAAAAAGTTTTACTTTAAATATTAAAAAATAAGTTAAAATATTTATATAAAATAAAAAATAAAAAAATATTAATTTTTAATTTTTATAAAATATTTTTATTTAAATAAAATATATAAAATTTTAAATTTAAAATAACCTAGCTTATAAAATTACCTTTTTTATTATATATATGCCAATTATACAAAAAAAAGTTTAAATTTTTATTAAAAAATAAAATAAATATTTTATTAAGAAATAATTTAACCGCGTTAATTTTATATAAAATAAATTATAAGAAAATTATTTTTTGTTAAATTTTAATTATATATTATAATAAAGGTTAAAAATTAATATAAAATTTTTAATTAATATTAAAACTATATTATTAAATAAAAATATTAACTAATATTTTTTAAAAATTATTTACAAATAATGTAAAATGTTTTTTATTTAAATAAGTTTAAATCGTATAAAAAAAAATAATTATAATTGGTTTTTTATAAATGTTTATAATTAATTTTATATAATAATTTAAATAAAATTAAATAACGGTAATCTTTATAAATTATTTTTAATTTTAATTTTTTTAATAAAAAGATTAAAAGAATTGTAAAAAAAATTAATTTAAATTAACCGTTTCCTTTTAAAAAATAAATTTAATAATATTATATAAAAGGTAAATATCCGAAACGAAAAAATTAATAAAATATTTAACTTTTTTAACGCCATATTTTATATAAATATTATAATTAAAAGTAAAAAAAAAAATAATAATATTATTAATATAAAAAATTAACGGAATATTAAATAAAAAAACTTTTTAAATAAAAAAAATTTTAATTAAATTAAAAATTATATATAAATTATATATAATTATTATAAACAATTAAACCCACCTTTTTTAATAAATTTAATTATTATAATTATAATATAAATTAAATATATTTTTATTTCTTATATATATAAAAAAAATTTTATAATTTTATAATATTAATATTTATAAAAAATATTTTTTTTAAAAATACTTACATATATAAAAAAAAAGTAATTATTAAATAATGGTAATTAATTTATATTTTATTTTAATAATAAAGTATTATATAAATATAAAAATTTTTATAATTTTAAATATATATAATAATATTATAAACATTATTATATATTTAAATTCTTTTAATATTTATATAATAATTTAAATTTAAATAATTATTTAATTTATATTATTATAAAAAACCGTATTATAAAAGGTTAAATAAAAATTTAACTAAAATATTAATTATTTATAAAATAATAATTTAATTATTAAATTAAAAAATAAAAATAACTTTTATAATATAAGTAAAAATTTATATAAATATTATTTTTATTTTTTTATTATTAAAAGTTTTGTTATTTATAACTTTGTTATCCATGGTTTTACCATTTATAACTTTATTATTTACGGCTTTATTATTTATAATTTTATATAATTTAAAAGGTTTTATATATAAAGCTATTCCTAAAGTTAATATGAAAAAAGTTATTAAATAAAATGTTAACATATAAAATATTAACGTATAAAATATTAGTTTAAAAAGTAAATTATTATTTTTTTTACGAAAATAATTTTATAATAATTTTAAATTATTTATATTATTAACGTTATTTAAGCGTTTAATAATATAAAAAGTAAAAGAATTTATAACTTTATATTTATATCCTTTTTTTAATTTAATTTTAATAAGTTTATTTTTAATATTATTTTTTATTTCCTTTTTTATATAAGTTTTAAAAATATTATTAATATTATTTCGAAAAATAATTTTTATATTTTGGTAATATATAAAAATTTTGCAATATTTTTTTTTATTTACCTTTATTTTATTAAAATTAAAGTTAATTTAAATTATACAAATATTTTTAATATTTATTATTTATATATTAATATTGGTAAAAAAAAAAGTAATAAAATTTTTATAAAAGGTTTTAAATAAATAAACTTTATTTAATTTAATTTTTTAAATAAAAAATATATTAATAAACTTTTTTTACTAATTAATAATGTTAATAATTAATATTTTTTAAATTGTAATTTTATAATTATAAAATATTTTATACAATTTAACCATATAAATAAAAATAAATAAGCAATTATTTTTATTTAAAATTTATTTACCACGGTAAATTATAATATTAAAATAGTAAAATTAAATATTTAAATTATTAAATGGATTATTATTAGTTAATTTATTTTATATAATATTAAAATGATGTATTATATTAAAAGAAAATTTAATAATTAATTTTTAATTAATTTTAAATAAAGTTAAAATATATATTACCTTAATAATTAAAGTAAACTTTTTTTTTTATAAGAAAAAAAAGTATAAAATATTATAAAATACGGACGTATTTATTTATTTTGGAAAAATTGTTATTATTAGTATTATATAATGTTAATTTTTTTTTAAACCTTTTATTAAATTTTTAAAAATTATAATTAATAATATTAAAAATATTATTATTATTAATAATAATTGTTTTAATAAATTTAGTTTTTATATAAAAATAATAAAGTTTTAAAAATTATTTGTAAAATTAATAAAATTTCCCATTTAAATTAATATATAAAACGCTATTCGTTTTATAAGCCGTATAATTTATTTTAAATATAAATAATAAGTTAAAATTTAATTTATATAAATTTAAAAAAAAAAAAATTTTATTAAAATAATTATAATTATTTACCATATAAATAAATATTATATTAATTAAATAAATAATTTTATTATAATAAATCGTAATAAGGTTTAAAAATATATATTTAATATTTTTTAAATTGTAATAAATGACCTCTTATTAATTTTAATTTAATGTGCGATTATTTTTTTCATTTTGGTATAGTGGCTTATCTGGTCAACCGTAAGAGCTAATGAATCCTAACCAATATTATTCTCGAAATCTACAGCTTGCTCCCACCCTCTTGCGGAATCTTCACGACCACCTTACCCCATGTCTCCCTCCCCCCTAACGCAACCAAGGCGTCGGGAACGCTCTCGAGTCCAACGAACTCCTTATCCGAGAATACAGTACCCTTGAACTTGCCCTGCTCAACTAACTTGTTGATCCCATTCCACACCACGGGAATCCCCTCCTTCTGAAACTTCGCCCACGCACCCCAGTGAATACCGACTAAACTGATGTTCTTAAGCAGTACCTTATTCATAGCCACCTTCTCAATCGACCCGGCTGCAAACCCAACTACCAGAATGCGCCCATTCCACGCGACACACTTTGTGCTCTTGTCCACCAGGCCCACGGGGTCGTACACGATATCCACGCCGCGACCCTTCGGCGTCAACTTCTTCACTTGATCAGGCCAGTTCGGATCGCGATAATCCACAACATGGTCGGCACCAAAACGGCGCGCAACCTCCAGCTTATGCGGCGTTCCCGCTGTCGCAATGACAGTCGCTCCGAACGCCTTGGCGACCTGCACAGCAGCCAGCCCAACACCGCCCGCCGCCGCGTGCACGAGCACCCAGTCGCCGGCCTTTACATCTGCACGCAGGACTAGCGCGCTATAGCTCGTAGGCGCTGTGATGAATAGGCCCGCCGCGTCGGCAAACGACCATCCCTGCGGCACGGCTAGTAGCTCGTGCTCCGCAGCGCACACACGCGTCGCATAGGCGCCTTGGCTAGCGCCGAAGACGCGGCTGCCGACTGGGAATTTGGGCGATTTGGAGGTAGACGGCGTGGCGAGGACGATGCCTGAGAACTCGACGCCGGCGACCCAGGGGAATGCTTTAGTGAAGTGTTAGGATTCAATGATAAAACTAGGGCTAGGTTCTTGGTGTGAGCTTACGAGGCTGGTTTTGATACTTTCCCTGTATCTGTAAGATGTCGAAGAAGTTGGTGGCCGCGGCGTGCACCTCGATGAGGTACTGGTCTGGTTTTGGTGTTGGATCTGGGAGCTCGGTTACCTTGAGCTCTTTTGGGCCCTGTGAGGGTGTTAGTGATATTCAAAGCCGAAACTTGTTTGGTTTAATTGGGAATATTTATCTCTTCTCACCTTGACATATTGGCCGACTTGGATTCCCCGCATGGTGCTTCTAATTCGTTGTAGAGGCCTCGACTCTAAGAGATTCGCTAAGCCAGATAAGTTTATAGAGACGAGCCAATGATTAGTATTACACAACTTTTTAATAATTACAAGCAAAATGAAATATGCTTAAACACAATTTAAAAGATGAGACGCTTGTGCAGATATCTGAAATGTCTAAGCGGTGCTTTGAATGAACAGATGAATAATAAGGATTAGCAGCTTGCAGCTCGCCCCATGGGGAAATCGGTAATTATTGTAGTCTGGAGATGGAGATGCCGAGGTTCATATTGGAAATCCTTGGCTGGTTGCTTATGTAATAATACGTAGATCTTTATTATGCTGCCTTTATGGATTAGTCAAGTATGCATCCGGACTGTTGAGAAGTTTTACATTGCAATCATAGAAAAACACCCAATAAACAACGATTTACTTCAACCATAACATCTCAACGAAGAGCAGTTTCAAATTTTGATCAGACTACCTGTTTTAACCTGTATCAAATGTCAACTTATTCTGGTTGGTATAGTTTTGTGCTCCTCCTCTAGTTATTCCTTATGCACCCGCCAGTAGCTTTTTAAGATGATCATATTCAAGTTCAAGTTCCTTGTCTTCATCGCATAAATATGATATCTCGAAATCGATTAGAAATGCCTTTCCCCCTTGGACGAGGAAGTTATCCTTGTGAATGTCGCCATGCTTTATGTCTAGAGCATGTAGTCTTGATAAGACCTCTTGGCAGATAGTTAGATCTCGAGGTTCTGCTGGCCTGCTATTCATGATAATCTCTAAGATAAATCCGATGACCCCCCTACCCTCTTCCGTTACGTGGCCTAGGAACTTAGGGCTAATTCCTGTGCCTTGAAGCCGACTATACATCGTTGTTTCAGTCTCAATATACCCTATCTCACAAGGAAACGAAGCAAATTTGATGATTACTGGATGATGGAAGAAGGGGTGCGTGACTATGCGGACGTTCCGGCCTAGAGAACCAAGCCGCTCAAATTCTAAATGGTCGATCTGTGTCTGGTGCCATATATCCTCAACTCCTGGGACAATGTTATATGAGATAGAGGAGAAAGCTAAACTGCCTGTGTGTTGGTCCTTCGAAATGTGACCCCGATTCCAGTCACCAGGGGGAAATGAGAGAAAATTTATGAATGACCAATCACCCTTTGGCAAGATACCCGGTTCAACGGTTACGTATGCTACATGCTTGTCGTCGATTAGAAAGCGAAATTGGTTATCAAGAGTTCCCAGGTGCTGAATTTTCCTGTTAGTTTGAACCGCCATCATGACATTTGAGATCATAGCGAATTTTCCATATATTTAAGATTAATTCCTCTACTTATATACTTGTCATTCCGTGTTTCAATAATGTTTGGATTTTAAGAAAGGTAGCATGTCACATAGTGTATGTTAGTTGTCTTTACCCCCAAGCAACACAAACTATTTCAACATTTGTAACTCAAAGTCATATTAATTGGCTCTTATTGACTTATCATATTAAATCAGATGACTAATATATAAAAAGGGAATCAAAGGTTGGGGCCAAATGAGCAATTCTATAATTGGCAATCAAGTCTCAACATACGACAGAATAGAAGATAGAAAAGTCGCGCATAGGATAGGATAATTAACACCAATGCGTAAGGTAGTAATGTGTAATAAATAATACGTGTAATATCGAACTCGGTTTTTAACTTGGCGCCCCTTAATAAAGACATCGGGATGCTTGGAGCCTGGCTGCGTGACTCCGTCCGATAGGCAACCATATCATGATGTATGTGGTAAGGTTTAGGTATATTTAGGTAGGTGACTTTTTGAGCTTCTAGCGGAAGGCTATGGATGTCAAAAGAACGTTGAAAGAGCTAGCGTCGCATAAGTCACCAATGGAGGGGCTGTCCGCGAGGCTGATGGCGTACTTTACTATACATTATCAGCAGGTACAAGACGATTAGTAAGATTATATATTAAAATTGGGGGAAGTATAGGGTCTTATCTAGTACCCTAGATAATCGGACAATGCCGACTGCCCCACGTTGAGACCTAGACTACCTAGAACCTCAGTACTCATCAGGGTACTTTGGAAATACTTAGGACAATCATCAACCATCGCCAACCAACACTTCATCACCCAATCACACCTCGCCCGATCTAAACCATTGCCGCCTCCATCAACTCGTCAGGCTTTCTTACTATCCGATCTCCTGGCTTCCTAGCTACAGTAAAACAACTATCTTATTTACTTTGCTATTGAAATCGAAATCGCTCCCAAGACATCACTGTTAACATTACTGTTGTGCCTTCTCAACATTTCAATTGACGATCGATCCCGAAAATGGCCGAACCAACCGAGGGCGGCTCTGACCCTCAAGTCACCTTCAAGGTGAAGACGTCGGGCGATAAGCAGCATACTATCACCATGGCCGAGACTGCTACCGTTTCCGATTTGAAAAAGAAGCTTGCCGGTGCCGAATTCGAGGATATCCCTATTGACCGACAACGTCTGATCTACTCTGGCCGTGTCATGAAGAACGAGGAGCCCTTGAGCACGTATAGGATTAAGAACGGTAATACCGTTCACCTAGTCAAAAGCGCTGCGAGCAACCCGACGCCCGCCCCAGCCTCGTCATCGGCATCCTCTTCCACCCCTACAGCGCCCCAAATTCCCACCAATATGGCTGCAGGCACAGCAAACAACCCCTTAGCAGGTCTGACTGGTGCAAGATACGCCGGCCTAACCAATCTACCATCCGCAGATATGTTCGGTCCTGACGGCGGAGTGAGTTTTTTCACCATAGATATTCTTTATTACTAGAGCCGAAGACTGATATAAGCCTTGCTCAGATGGTCGGTTCCATGATGGACGAGGAGCAGCTAGCCAATATGCTCAGCAACCCGAACGTCGCTCAACAGATGAATGAGATGATGAACAACGATGCCTTCATTGATATGATGATTCAGTCGAATCCTATGTTGCGAAACAACCCCAACGCCCGAGAGATTGTGCGATCGCCGCTTTTCCGCCATATGATGACCAACCCTGACGCTTTACGAGGAGCCGCACGATTACAGCGGGCAATGGGAGGTCGCCAAGCTGCTCAGAATGCCTTTCCCATGCCTGGTGTGACTGACACCACTCCTGGCGATTTATCATCTAGTAGTGCATCGGATAACGCCAACAGCAATCCTAATAGTAACCAGAACGCCGGTGGCCAGTACAACCCGTTCGACCCAGCCACCTGGAGCAACATTCAAGTTCCAGGTGCCGGTGCCGGTGCTACCGCTAATCCTTTCGGCGCTTTCTTTAACCCGTTCGCAGCGGCTCAGCCAGCTCAAGGAGCAACTAGCCCGGGGGCGACCCAGACGACAGGTGGCGCACAAACCGAAAGCGGTAACACCAGTACTAACCGGGGTCAAGGAACCAGCACGGAAAATCCCTCAAGTCAGCCTCCCAACCCCTTCGCTAGTCTCTTTGGTGGAAGCGGTGCCTTTCCGGGTGTCGGCGCCGGTGCCGGTGCTGGAGCCGGTGCAGGCGCGGGCGCGGGCGCAAACCCTTTGGGCAACTTACCCCCTGTGACCCCTGAGATTTTACAGCAGATGGTCCAAGTTCTAGGTATGGGGTCGCCGTCAGGATCACCCGCTCCACCAGACAACCGACCTCCCGAGGAACGCTATGCGGAACAATTGAGACAACTGAACGACATGGGTTTCTATGACTTCGACAGAAACGTAGCCGCCCTGCGACGAAGCGGCGGGAGCGTACAAGGCGCCATTGAGCATCTATTAAACTCTTAACGGAGGATGAATTATTCGTGTCTCGTTACTTTATCGTGTCTTTAATGTAAACGCTGTTACGAGGTTAGGACGGGTATGGGCGATGAACCCCTCATATGGAAGGGGGCGGTAGTAGGTACTTAGCTAGAGACCAGCGGTTGGATTGAAGTCCATGGCTTGATAAATATCCTTTCTAAGCAAGCCCGATCGGAAATCTTGCTTGGGCATGAGTTGCTGCGACTAGAGGGTGGTGGTTTACCTTTGTAACGTCTTATAATAGCGATAAAAGAAGCAACACAATTCACCAGAGGCTTTTTACTTTACGGCGCAACGCCTAGATTCATTACATTTATAGATTAGAGGCTTAGTGAGGTATATGCTATCAGCCCGGCTCGATTATAATACTTAATGCTGTAAATGAAGTTGCGAGCGACAACTTTCCCTATGAAAATCCTCGTTTACAACCTAAACTCCTCTTCCTCACTTTTAAGAACGACTAATTGTAGGCGCTGTAAGAATTTGGTCTTCAGGTGAGGCTTTACCCTTCACTCATGAAGAAGCTCAGTTAGTCGATTAAGTTACACATGCCATTCACATAATATCTTTTCACTACTGTCTTCGACTAATTTAGGTACTGCCGGAGTCTTAGCCGCAGCCGTTACCGGGCTCACTCCGCACGTTCGGCGCATAAACGGATGCTTTGTAACCTGAATACAAATTAAATACAAGCCAATCCGTTCTCGGCTTCCAACGACGGGGGGGAAGAATTCTTGCCAAGTTGGATAGATCTTGGGATTTGTCAACGCGTAAGCAAATAGTGACAAAACAGCCCGGTTGCACGAACTATAACCTGACCAAGTTGGTTTACTTTGTCTAGGTAGCTCGGGGATTCCGTGGTATGTCAACAAACAGGATCAAAATGGCTGGATTGTTGTTGTATTCTGAGTAGGTAGATTTCTGTTCTGACTTTGGTGGATGGCGATATATATGGTATGATTGTTCGTCGATTTAGTAGTTGCCTGACGCGGGTTAACTATGTCGTAAGACAGTATGGTTTCTATCTTCTAGTTAGACAGTGTGAGAAGTGACGTGTTGGTTTTACTATTGCTGAAATTCATAACTTCCAGGTTAATAGGATTTCAAGTTCAGTATTAGATCTTAGGTAGGTAGTCAATATATCAGCTCATATTCATGAAGAAGACTTATCATTACCTTGAATAAGCTTAGTAAATGTGCACTCACTTTAGCTTGCTCTTATTATTAGAGATATTCCCTGCTTTTCTTTCGTTATTAGTCTATTTCCATCGTCCTCTGGCATTCATGCCCAATTCCTTGTACTCCGAAAGAGTCGTACATAATATAGTGTCTTGGCATATTGCGAAGATGAGCATGATTGTCGTTTCATAGAAGCTTTTTCTCGACGTATCTCTCAACTAACCTTCTCAACTCTACACCGACTTTGTCAGGAGGCGTAAATGCCTAATATCGCAAAGCGTTAGAGCTATAATACCGCCCAACTCTAGGTAAGAGAGATCCTAAAACTTACCGTGTCGTAAGGTATCAACTGCCAGAATTCAGGATTCCAAGCTCTGTATTACGCAACGAGGTGGCATGAGAAGGTTGATATTTATACGTGTGAGAATAGGGTTGGCGTATAAGAGGAGCTACGTGTTGTGGCAAATCTTCAACCTGATATCGGGATTATGATATCCAGAGTGTTCCTGTTAGGCTGCATTTGCATACAGTGCTGTATATGCAAGTTTTGTGATCTTCTGGTTATAGGTTTGTACGTATTCTATGAATGCCCAACTACGTTGCCTCACTTCTCTACGTATACGTGCCAATAATTTAGGATAACTTCTATAACACAGATAATGCATAACAATGGCACGTAAGCCTCATCATCTCCTGAATACTTGGCTACAGCAACCTAGTTGATACCACTAATAGGAATTTCAGGACAAGCACATGCTTTACGGCTTTGTTATGTAGGGCTAGATGGGGTGGAAGTGTCTGTATAATTCCGTACTATTATTGTCATAAAGTTCGTAACCCGATATGAACAGTATCGGAAATCAACGTAAGCCGAACATAATCTATGTCTAGTGGTACGATTTACCCCAGTTCTTATAATTTACATAATTATTGACGTCGTCGTTCAAACCTCCGGACCTCGTATCATTCGGCGATAGCACTTTATCACCTGCGGATCCCTCCCGCTTCCATTTCGTTGCCGAGTCCCACTTACACGGCATCATGTATGCACCATATGTAAATCCTTCGGCCATAGAAGCCTCGCTGGCGGCCGGCGGCTAACTGACACATTCGCCTGGCTAGCCGATCCGACGATCGCTATTACTCGATGTCACTTTGGCTCGCTTCACTATAGCCTCCCTAGACGCGCTGTTGATCAGGTTCAGGGATTGTCGCGCGGTAGTATGCGAATCAACATCGATCGCAACCACATGTTTTGTACGACGAGCAGACTTGTATGTGTGTGCATATATAGGTACGCAGAATACACTTACTTACCTAGGTACACAGTACCGACCTAGCAGCCGAAGCCCGCTGGATACAACTCACTTGGACCGGCCTGGGATGTATGCGGCACATGTGCATCAGCATAAGCGAATATCTCGGTAGCAGTATTCTGCAAAACTCTATTTCTTTCAAGAATCCTTTTCATTATTTTCTTCCACTCGGGTGCTTCCCTTTCCCTGCGAGGTAACTCGAAATAAGCGCTGCCGGACTTGCTCATGCAGCGTGATGCGAGACTGGACAAGACGTAGTAATGCTTTGTACGACCAGCCTATATCCGGAAGCTCGGGAAACGATCGTTGTAACAAGAGAAGCTAGAATCGGCGAATAACGCGTAATCCGTGGATGTACGACGCCGGCTATGGATATACATACATTAGATTAGGTATACTACATATATGTATTTTATACAATATTGAACTCCAAATTATGAGGCAACAGGCCATTATTTATCGACTGACACAAGCACATACATCAGTTCACGGCAGTATCCAACCATGGACCATGGTTATTTCTTATCACGCCTAGCCAATAGTTGTCTAGGTCGCATTTCCGTGTGGAGGCTCAACAAAATACGGCTAGGCCCGAATCGTGTTTATCCCATTGCTTGCGTTAGCGCCTCTCTTTTCCATTGGTAGTCGATGATCGTCGTCCGTAATACCTCCGGGTCAAGGGATCTTTTCTTCGACTCCATCCTTAGCTTCTATGTATGTCGATTAAAAATTTTCACCAAGGAGCTCCCCATCACAGTACGCAGCTATTGGCAAATACCGAGAAGTGTAGATTCGCTCTAATGATGCTCAAAGGCATGCATAGGTGTGCTAAAGAAATAAGGGGTATGTACACTAATCCGTACATCCTACACTTTTGACGCCATGCAGCAGCCATGTCTGGCCATATCCAAAATTTAGTCCGGGGTGGGACAATATTAACAATTCTCGGGGTTGACTGGTGAACGATACGCTGTAGACCTCGATTAATCAAGTTGAATGGTCTAGCATAATTCAGGCATCTGGTTCGCGCCGCCGTGCTGCGATGCTACTGTACTATGCAAGAGTCTATAAGACTCCTTCAGATATTAGCAATTCAACTTAACGGGGTATTACTACGGAGAAGAGGCCTGGCTTTCGGACATTCTCGACCTGACTTACCCAGGTTAAGCCTGTCTTGCTCGGTAAGGAGACCCATGTTTGTCTTGAGAGGAGACAGTCAACGATATCAAGTAAACCGAAAACTTCTTTGGATTTTCGGTGAGATCTATGGAGCTATGGCCTGTAATCCGATCCAACATCCGTCTGACCTATCACATTTGTGACATCTGGAGCAGGCAGTTTCTAGTTAGCGTGGTGCTGAGACGTCCCAGTGTTCTGGATAAAGAGCTAAGGAGTGCCAAGCGGATTCGGATCTTGCTCGCCGGGAAGCTGATGACGATATTGCGGACGCTCTAGCTACTTCTTACACTACGATCCTACATCAGATTTCTCTGAATTGTTTCTCCTAGGACAAATATCGGGAGCTTCTTCGTGGCACAAAGTTAGGTGAGGAAGTTGTGTTTCTATTGGAAATGATTTTCACCTTAGCTGCAGTTTCTATGGTTGGTTCCCCCACAGGACCACAGGAATAAAAAGCGGAGTTGATGTAATGATACTCTCCTTATGACAGGTAGATATGCCATCTCCACGAAAAGAAATTAAGAAGAAGAAAAAAGATATATATTTTGGAGCTCTTATGCTGGAATCTGCAGGTTCTGCAGTTCGCATTATCAGTTCGGTCGAGGGTCGAGGAGAAGTCGGAATCCCTCATCTCGGTCGTACCGACTTGGTTCCCTGCACCCCAGATGCGTCATTGTGATCTGTTACAGCTAGCCTACTTAGTTAGCTTGCCTAAAGGAGTCGAAGGCTACAGATATATCGCCAATCAGAGCCGTCATATACTCACGGACCGAGACAGGGGGAGTCTGTCCAAGGTTATTCCTTGACCTAGTCGACTCCCCTACTACCCTTATCCATGATTCTATATAACTACCTATCCTTGGGCGAGCGGGGCGACCTTCGAGAAGCTTTCCACATAGCGAATATGCACATCCCAAGCTGCCAGGCCTAGGTTGGCGTCAAGACTAAGGTATTGGAAATCAACCTGAATAGGCAAGTCGGAACTATTGTCTCACCGTCGCATACGAAAGGTCTCCATTTGATTCCTTTACATACGTAACCCAGATTCTTGATACTTCCACTGTCGTCTTTATAGCGGGACTGATATACGCCGGTCAACTGATCTTGCTTTCATGCGTATCTGCGAGATTCGCATTAGAAGAAGGCGTGATAGGTAGCATCCGAGAATAACTAACATTGGTTTGTTACATGTCTATAGGAACTTATAACTACCTACAATCGTGTTCGTTAAACATCCCAGGTGAGATATCCAAGGAGGCTGAACCAAAACCTCCGCAAATTACATCCTAGTTATCCATGGCAGCTAGTCTACTAGAGGAACTAACCTCCTTAGCTAGGTAGTTTTTTCTCCTTGGTCAGGGACCCCTAAACTAATTGATGACGTTTAAGGTTGAGGGTTTCGGTATTATCTCCGTATATGAAGATCAAAGAGCTAGAACGCCTCTTTTTCTACATCTAGGAATCTCACCTGAATCACTTTTAGCTAGCCCTCATCTTTAGAGACGATACATACTAGTTGGTCTAATCTAGGACAAGGGTTTGCTGAAATTTCTCCGGCATCCCGGTCCGCTGATATCCATCGGTTTCTGTTCGACTGATGATAGAGAGGGGGACTTCTGTCGAGACAACGCAGCGACAGGCTTGGTATACTACGTACCGCTTGGTTAACTGCATCCTCATACGTCTTGGCAACCAGGTCGTTTATCGAGCTTCTTACAGCATTTCCCTTTTCCATATACATGTTGGTGAGTCTCGCCTCGGTACATCTGTGATCCTCACTAGGGCTCGCCTAATGTTACATACTACGTTGTAGAAGCTTCGTTTGTATTCATCCCACGCTCCACAAGTCATCAATGCCCCGACTGGAAAGCTAGGCTGATTGGGTAGTTTCAATCCTAAACGGACGACTTAAGGCCACCAAAAAAGTAATCAAAAAGCGGAAGCCGGCTCGCAGGAGATTTGCCAGCCCATGGGTCAATTTGAAGTCGTGGCACCTTTCCACCACAGTGACCGATGTCCTTTGCGTGCCCGGCGAGGTCATGATCGGCTGACTTCCGCCAAGGAGAAGCATCCGCGTTTGTTGCTTGCTTGTGCTGTACGTACAAGATATGCAGACATATCATATCTAAATTCGTGACAGGCAACATTACCAACCATAGTAGATAGCGTCGCTCAGGGTCTTGTCCCATCTTTGACAACGATCTTTGACAACGACGTTCCCGAACCCCACCCTCTGTCAGAAGCCCATTGGGATCATCAGCCCGAAGACAGGCGGCCAATTCCTCCCCTTCGAGGCAGGTAATCAAACCCGGAGGGCCTTATTACTGTGATATGCGCCGTTACTAGTTTAGCAGACGGCCTAACCCCTTCCCCATAGCCAGCCCGCAACACGCTAGGCCTACAACACGCCGGTCCATATTCTTCTCCCCCTACCTACTTGCATGCCTAATCATATTATGTACCAACTAAGTAACTCTAGCTAGTCTCCTTCACCATTTATTTCATGAGCTGATGGAATTCCGACCACCAATCCCACTCTGTCCTTTCATTCGGGCCATGTCAAGCTGGCGACTGTTTACTACTGGCCTGCCCTCCTCCGCCTGAGCTGACCATATAGCGGCCCTATATCTGTACTGATCCCCGTCGCAATTATGTCATGCATGGATAGCTCAGCGAACGATCTCCGTAAGGGTATCCGAATACATATGTACCTAGATGGTCCCCCTTGAGGCGAAAAAAAAAGTTGATGATGTTGCGCTCTTCTCCACCGCTTCCGCGCTTGGGAGCTGATCAGGTCTCTCCCAAGCCTCTCATGTATAAAAGTTTCACACACAAGGTTGGCCGTTTCGGGCTCTAATAGTGGCTCTGAGACAACAAATACAAGCCATAACACTTCATAACTCGCCGAAGACAGGTACCCATTTATACCACGAAGGTAATTTCAACATGCGCCATCTTGAGTTCTCTCATCCTCTTAGTTATTGGTATCCCGGCTGTTGCTCCTCGACTTAAAAACGGAACTATCCCTTTTTGACTCCTTCGAATATTTCTTCAGAAAGCGTCCCAAGCAGACACAACGGCCTCGATAATTCACCTTCACAGTTATAATTTGTTGCCAGAAATAGTTACTCAATATGAGCTCTTCATCATCTCGATGGCGGAAGACTGCTGGCGCGTCCAATGTCATGCTCACGAACGCCGCCTATTTTCCAAATCACAAGATCTATAACGGCGCCTCGCCGGGTATGATGAACTATGGTTGCATTAACCATGTGTATTACGCTTTCGCTAACGTAGCGGCGGACGGTTCCGTGTTTGTAAGTTTCAAATTTATTTGCTTCAAGCTGCATACTCCAAAGTTACACGCGGTAGGAATCTAGACGTTAATATCTGGTTTAGCTGAGCGATGAGTGGGCAGATACCCAAGCCCCTTGCGACGGAGTCCAAGGTGGGCTTGGATCTTTGATGCATCTTAAGCAGAAGCATCCGCATCTGCAAGTCACTATATCGATCGGTGGCGGCACTTCGAGTGAGACATTCCCAGTCGTTGCCTCGAACGCTCTGCTGCGAGATAACTTTGCGCGATCAGCGCGAGGTTTAGTGGAGGCCTCCGGTATGGATGGTATTGATAGTATGAATCCTCCTTTCCCCTCCCCCCACCTCTCACCGGAAGGTTACATCATGTTACATTACAAATTTACTGATCTCCTGTAATTAGTAAACTGGGAATATCCCATGGACCCCCAGCAAGGGGCCGACTTCGTTGCGCTCCTGGCCGCCGTGCGGGTCCAACTTCCGGAGGAGCAGTTCTTCGTCACGGCAGCTCTCCCAGCAAGCCGCTCAGTTTTGCATAATATCGATATTGCGCAAGCTGCGTCCTATCTCGACTACGTAAATCTGATGGCGTATGACTTCTGCGGTTCGTGGTCACAACGAAGCGGGCACCAGGCCCAATTGTACTCGATGAGCAAGGACGAGACATCAGGATCGTCTGGTGTCTCGTACCTTGTGGGCCACGGCTGTCCAACTAGAAAAATTTTGCTGGGTATTCCCCTCTACGGACGGAGCTTTCTCGGGGTTAGCGGACCAGGACATCGAAACAAGGGCGCAGGAGGCGAAGACGGCGTATTCGAATACAGCACGTTGCCAAGAAAACATGCCAAAGAATCTGTGGATAAACGGATAGGGGCCGCGAGTTGCGTCGGAGGGGATGGAGGGTTTGTCACCTACGATAACCCGGACACCGTCAAGATGAAGGCAGCATACTGCAAACAGAAAGGTCTCGGGGTAAGTTTCTGTTCTTCCTTTCGTAAACCCTTTAATTACCGATGCTACCGAATCAACTTTACGATACTACCCAGAATATTTCTAACTTGGATAATGTAGGGCTTGTTCTATTGGTCCGGACCCGCTGACTCCCGAGAAAAATCTCGAAGCTTGATCGCGGCCGGATTCCGAGCGTTGCATAGTTCATAAACGAATCGACATTTTAGGCTTTTATCACAGCTGGTGAACGGAGTTGAGGCGGTCACTACGACTGTTTGCATTTTCATGGCGTTAAATTCCTATTTATAGGGTAGATGCATTAAGATTTGGCTTTCCTGGAGACAGCATATCATGCTTGTATTGCATCACTCAAGAGCTGGAGTTGTTTAAGGAGATACACTGATGGCCTTCTGCATTTTCGACCTGGCGATATCAGTATACCTACCTACCTAGGTAACAGGTAGGTATACACCATTTAACAGACAAAAATGGGTGCGGGGTTTATATTAAAGATACCAGAGATACCAGAAGCGCTTCCTTGAAGTTACAAGATCATTGTGAATAGACGGAGGCATAAAGGAGGATTGCATGATGCATTAAGGGGGATTGGGGCGGAATCTGTCGGGAGATGGCTGAGACTTGATAGGTTAGGAAAGAAAGAAAGAATTTTAAATATTCTCACAAAATACCTAAACATGTGCTTGATTGCAATGCAATAATTTAGAAAATAGTTGGACTTGAATTCCATGGACCTTCGGTGAATGAAAGGAACTAATTAGGCACCTTTCTAAAAAGAGTAAGTGAAGTTATAGTGCATTCATCTCTGATTGGACCGGATCTTCCCGTCTGTGCAGAGTGGGGGAGGTGAGCTAAGGTGAACAAAGGTGAACCAAAACAAACAAGGTGAGGGCCGGTTTTATCGATAAACCAAATGACACGTGATTATTATGATACTGGATTCATCTTTAATGCATAACCTTATGTGTTAGCGGCGTCATTGTACGAAGTATAAGCTAAGACAAGCTACAACGATATCTAAGACTTGTGGAATACTTGTGGAATACTTCGTACTTCCAAACTACATATCACGTATGACCCAATGCGACTCACCAAAATTGGATTTCGTTGCTTAAGATGAACGGCATCACATCTGAGCCGCCGTCATTAGACGCAGGTCAGTTCATTTTATAAGTTCTTATGATCTTTGACTTGGACACTTGGATATATATAGATATACGAGAAAGGGGCTCGCTGACTAGCTAACACATAAGACTAGCCGACTATGATCCAATTCAGCACCTCAACCTACTTTTCTCTCATCCTTCTACCGTATCATCCATAACCCGAGTATCGTCAACTCTCCAATCCCACCATAATGACCTCTCAGCCGAAATATCAAGCCTCCAGACGGCCCAGGCTTACGGACCTAACTCTTCCCTCGAACGCATGCAATCCGCCCAGGCCGAACTCGCTGGTCTCTTCAAGAAGATCGAAACGGTACGCTCACGTGCTATTCAGACTGAGCAGAACATTACTTCCATGACTGCCGATATTAAGCGACTCGATGGCACGAAACGAAACTTGACCCTATCTATGACGGCCCTTAAGCGGTTACAGATGTTGACTACGGCATATGAACAGCTGAGAGGACTAGCTAAGACGAGACAATACAGAGAATGCGCGAGTCTTCTACAGGCGGTACTACAACTTATGCGCCACTTCAACAGTTACAGAAGTATAGACCAGATCGCTACACTCAGCCGAGGTGTGGGCGAGTTACAGAGGGAACTTCTGGAGCAAGTATGCGAGGACTTCGAGATAGCGTTCGCTAAGAGTGAGGTCGGGTCAAGGAAGGCGACGCTGGTCGAGGCTTGCGGGGTCATGGATGCGCTCGGGGATAATGCGAGGGCGAGACTAATAACGTGGTACATCAACACCGAGTTGCGGGAATACCGCCAAGTCTTCAGAGGTAATGATGAAGCTGGAAGCTTGGATAATATTGGAAGACGATACGCTTGGTTCAAGAGGATGGTCAAGAGCTACGAGGAGGAACATGCTGGCATATTCCCACCGCACTGGAGAGTTGGCGAGACTCTGGCTATGGCTTTTTGCGATGGTACGAGAGATGACTATAAGGGTATCTTGGAAAAGAGCATGAGGAGGGTGGACGGTGCCAAGATTGATGTCAACCTTCTACTGAGCTGTCTGCAGGAGACGATGGACTTCGAGCAGACCCTGGAACGAAGGTTTTCAAACGAGCCACGGGCAAGTATTGACACACTTAGCTCTGCGGACGAAAGAACGCAGAGCTTCAATGGGTCAATATCTGTGGCCTTCGAACCTTACCTAAGTCTATGGGTAGAGTCCCAGGACAAGGCGTTGGCAGCTATGATCCCTAAATACAAAGCCCAACCTTTATTACCAGCCGACGAAGAGTTTTCACCGCAAGCTGTTATTAGCTCTGCTATCGAGCTCTTCCATTTCTACAAGCTCACTCTGTCGCAATGCGCTAAGCTTTCGACAAGTGAGCGGTTATTAGACTTGGCGAAGACGTTGGCTAAATATCTCGATGAATATGCACAACAAGTGTTACTCACGATTTTACAGAGGTCAGGCCCGACAGGAGCGCCTCTCCATGACATTATCCTCGTCCTGAACACGGCAGATTTCTGGCATGCGAACACAGGGCAGCTTGAAGAAAATATCAAGAAACGTATAGACCATGACCTTGTGCCAAAGGTGGACTTATCGTCGCAAGCTGACGCATTCTTGGGAGTCGCCAGTGCTGCAGTTATAGCTCTTGTCAACAAAGTCGAGGCAGATTGCGAGGGTGCCTGGCGTGAGATGAAGAACACAAACTGGAGCAAGATGGAAAGTGTCGGAGACCAGAGTTCCTACGTGGGCGAACTGGTCAGTCACATCAATGCAAAGGTAGAGGAAATCCTAGCCGTTGTTGTTAAGCAGCAGTACGCGCGCGCATTCGCCGATAAGCTAGTGGAACATCTAGCAAACTCGTACATCCACGCCATCGTCCAATGCAGACCTATATCCGAAGTAGGCGCCGAACAGATGTTGTTGGACAAGTACGTCCTAACTAAAGCCCTGGAAAACCTGCTCTCACGCCATAACCCGTCTTCCTCGTCGCAGACACCGCACGTGCCGCCAGCAGGCTTCGTCAAGCGCGTCAATGCAACAATGACGCGCATAGACCCGCTCCTAAAGACGCTCCAGGTTCGCCCAAGCCCGCCGGAGGGGCTCGTGCAGGCGTACTTGATCCATGTGGGCGATCGCTCTGATACTAACTTCCGCAAGATCCTCGACCTTAAGGGTATCCGTAAACAAGAACAGGCGCACTTGATCGAGTTATTCGTCATTCACCGTGACGGTCCCGCTAATAGCGGCGGCGGCAAGTTGGTCGCGCAGAGCCCGCTGTTGACGCCGCTCCTAAATGCACCTGGGTTCGGCAGCAGCGGGGCGGGCGCGAGCAGCGGTGGTGTCAACAACCTTAACCTAGGTCTAGGTATCGACCGTCTAGCCTCCGGACCTGGAGCAGTTCTATCAACGGCAGCACAAGGCGCCGCTTCGCGCTTCGACGCAGCCTCCTTAGGAGAGAAGTTGCTAAATGCAGCGCGAGACGGCGTCGAGAGGATGGGTAACCCCGCCGAGCAGGGACAAACGGGGGGCGCTAATGGTAGCAGCGGCTCGGCGCAGAATAACGCGGCCAGTATCAACGAGAACCTGAAGAATTTTGGCAAGTTCTTCCGTAGGGATATCGGCGGCCTAGGGGTTAGGTTCGGGAAGAGGGATGGAAGCGCGGATGAGCATCAGGGAGGACGGTGAGAGAAGAGGATGGACGAGAGGAAGACAAGACAAGAGATGAGATGAAATAAAAGGATGAAATAGGATAATCCTACCTTGACGAGAAGGGTGTGCATGTGTACTCGTTGACTTCGAGTAGATAATGTCTATATGAATACGTGATAAGGACCCTGTTTGTTCACTACAGTGTATGTGCGTATAATTGAATAGGCGAGGAACAGTTCTATATATACTAGTTGTACTGGATACACGGACGAGCAAGTCTGCTAGTCTTCTACGCCTATTCCGAACCCAGCTGTTCCAACAGATAAGCACGATCCAATACAAAGGAATTCGTGGCGGTATGTCACGTAGCTTCACACAATCCGACTTGCTCCCTCTTCTTCGAGCCTTCAAGTAATGCTTCATCCTCGTATCTTCATCGCTCATACAACACTCGCTTCGACTTCACCTAGTCGAGGTAATTCTTACTCATTTCTCTCTTCCCAAGTTTTGATTTTAAGCTTGGGCCTTCCAGACTCTCTTGACAGCCTCGGTTAGACCGACATCGTTCGTCTCGAATTCGTATAGGCCAACACCGACGAGGGCGGTGGCGGCGTTGAGGAGCCACATAGAGGCCTTGCGGGTCTTGGGGTAGCGGCTGCTAGGAATATAGTCGATAAGGACGGACTGGAAGCCAAGATGGCTGTGGACTAGCAATAGAGAGCATAGAATTGCGTCAAGGCCGGGGTTTAGCGAACCGCCGGCGAAGGGCGCAATGGTAAGCGGGATGAGACCGGCGGCTACGAGACGCTCGAAGGTCCAGTGGTACGAGCCATGGGAGGGGTTAGTCTCAGGGATCGGCGCTGGGTCGTTGACTGTTGTCGGGAGGGTTAGCGCTAATTTTTTATTTTCTTTTCGTTCTTCCTAGTTTTCCATGTTTATATCTCCCTTAGTTATAGACGATAGGGTATTTCTAATATATCGATTGGCAATGGGGGAGTAAAGAATCGCATACCGGATCCCTTGATAACCTCTAAAGAGCGCACGCATTGTGTTAGTAAGTGTATACTATAACATGGCCAAGATCGCAATGCGACTAGTAACAACGTACGAGGTCCCGGAGGCAACAGGCTTCTTCTGCTAGAAGCGTGGAAGGCAGCAACGCGCGCGACATCTTTCGAAACCGTCGGTCGGATTAGCTGCTGTCTGGAGAATGTGGCGGTTGCGGATCGTCGGGTCGAGGCGGCTAAAGCTGTCTGCCGGAGCAGCACGGGGCGAACGAGGGAAGCCATTGAGAGAGACGAGGAGATGGTTCGACGTTATTCTGTCTTCGCTCAACTAGTCTCTAGGTCCCTGATACGTATCGGGGGTGGGAGAAGAGAAGAAGTATTGTTTAACGTTTAACGGTATTAACGGTAGAGTGGAATTTGAGGCCGACGATGATGCGTTCGAATCAAAGGAATGCGAATTTCCCACATTTCCCACATGTTCATTGCCGAGGACCGAATGAAATAAGTTATTTATGATTGGTTGAGCTTGCCCGGGAAAAGCCTGGCTAGGAATTACATAATGCCATGTACATGTACGGAATATACCTGTATGTACCTAAGGTACCTATGCATGTCGCAAGGTACATGTACCTACGGAGGTATAGATAATCGATAAGGATATGCACATAATCTTAGCCCCACTAAACTTTTTGAAGCCTTGAATTTTCAAAGTCCAAGAACATTTACATGTGCATATACCTGGACTCTATTATATATTCTCTTCTCGAGAGTAAATAGGACTCCAAATTCGGGAAATACCATAACCTGAACGTCCACTATATGTATTTCATTTCTTAGAGTCGTGGGGGTTTCCCTTTTACCCCAATTCAAATTCCGACCTTCGTTATTCCTACTATTCCTACTATTCCTAACGGCGGCCTGCGCCATCTCAAAGGAATATGCTGTCCAGCGCTGCCCTTTCCGCTGCACGAGGCTCCCCCTTAAGTCTCTGCCGAAGATGCCTTCTTAAATCCTTAGCTGCAAGGCGGCAACAAACTAGATCAATCTCCACCTCGTTTCTTGAAAAACAGGCAGAGGCGAAGAAGATATGGGACGAGAGGGCCAAGTTGATTCAAGAGGGAAAGATACCGCACCTCTGGGATATTTTCAAGGAGCGTGGATACGTCAAAGATCTCGCCGGTACCGAAAAACAGATTAGAGAGCTCATGAGGGTGAAAAGAATAGGCGCCTACGTCGGAATTGACCCTACCGCACCCTCTCTTCACGTCGGCCACTTATTGCCTCTAATGCCTCTTTTCTGGATGTATATGCATGGCTATCGAGCTGTTAGCTTAATCGGAGGCGCCACAGTCAAGGTCGGCGATCCTACCGGTCGTTTGCAGAGCCGCGATCCCATTTCCAAATCTGACATAACTATGAATATTACCAAGATACATTACCAGTTGAAACGTATATGGGCTAACGTCGAGGTCCAAGCGGACCGTTTCGGCTATAAGAAACAACCTAGGATATGGAGTCGGGCGTTGGTAAATAACAGCATGTGGTATAACAACCTGGCCTTCATCGAGGTCGTAGCTCGGCTGTTCAAAGGAATACGATTAGGACCTATGCTCTCGCGCGACACCGTCAAGCGCAAGATGGAACAGGGTGATGGTATGTCATTGGATGAATTCGTATATCCACTGATGCAGGGTTGGGACTGGTGGCATTTGTATAGCAGACAAGGTGTTCAAATGCAAATAGGCGGGTCTGACCAATACGGGAACATCGTCTCCGGCATTGACGCAGTCAAGCACATCCGAGATAACGATCCGAACCCGGCTGAGAAAATTCCTGGCGATTTTCTTCATACGCCTATCGGCTTTACTGTTCCCCTCCTGACTGATTCTTCTGGTGTTAAGTTTGGGAAGAGTGCGGGCAACGCCGTCTGGCTTGACCAATTCATGACGAGCACTTTCGATCTATATGGGTACTTTATACGACGGCCTGATGCTGATGTTGAGGGACTGCTGAAGCTGTTTACCTTTCTTCCGTTGGAGGAAATTAGTAAGATTATGGAGAAGCACAACGAAGACCCTTCCAAGCGTCATGCCCAGCATGCTCTTGCGCACGAAGTAGTTGCGCTTATTAACGGAATAGAAGAAGCAACAAAGGTACAGAATCGGCACAAGGGGCTATTCTCTAAGTCAGGCGATACCCAAATATCTTTATACCCGGCAGATAAGCCACCCTCGGCGAATATGGCATCGAGCTTTCAAATCGATCTGAAACTCCCCGAGTCGCTGATTTTGGGCAAGTCGATAAGTCGAATTCTATATGCTGCCGGCCTCGCAGACAGCGTCAGTGATGGAAATCGCTTAACACAACACCAGGGCGCCTATATAGGCGGTTCTCCCGGTCAACCTTCGGCTTCTAACAAAGGGATGTCTTACGGCGAGCTGACCTACACGCCGATCAAGAACTGGTTTCCCCAGGATACCAGGAATTTCCTCATCGATGGCAAACTCCTAATACTGCGGCGAGGAAAGCACTTCGTCCGAGTAGTCAAGATGGTTAGCGATAAGGAATGGGCAGATAGCGGCTCGATGTACCCGGGCGAACCGGGTACGGGCCGGGTGCGACTACTGAGAGACATGCTGAAGAAGGCCGCTGAAGATAAAAACCTCAGCGTAAAGGACCCCGAGACGAAGCAGAAACTTCTAGATGGAGCGACAAACCTGTACCAGGACAGAAGAGGCCTACTGGAGGATTTCCTACCAGAGTCGCTCCAGGTCGACAGCAACCGCGCGAGGCAGATCCTCAAAGAGTCGCTCATGTACATCCCTGAGGGGGGGGCGACGTCCACTAAGGCGAAGACGGCGGCGATCGACGAGGTGCTAGAGAGGGCCCGTCAGGAGATAGAATCCCGCAACCGGGAGGAGGCTAGGAAGATCCAAAAGCAAAAAGAGCCTAAGAAAGGGCCTAAGAAAGAGCCTAAGAAAGCGCCGGGTGGTGCAGCTCCTAAACGAGATGGGTTCATAACGCGCCACTTTGTAGAATAATTGTAATTTGGTTGTAAAATCAAATGAATTCACCTCAAATTTGCAATAAAACGAGATATGTTTCTAGAAGACGCAAGACTAAATGGATCACGTTCTGGAGTATTAACCGCACGAGTCGATGTGTTAATAATCTACGAAGAGCCGTTGTAGTCTTCCATCCTTTATAAAGTAAGACTGGCCGTATTCCCAGGGTGGCCCTTAAAGTCGCATTGCCCCTCGTGATATAGAACAATCCATACTCAATGCTTGATGCAGTTTTCGTAAATCCACTACCGGTAGAACACGGTGCGATCTCCCGGTTCAAGACTTCTCAGCTTCCTCATTATCTCGCCATCCGTCATGTTCTGCTCGGTGATGATCTGGTCGAAGGAATGGCAGCCATCAGCGTACCGCAGCAATGTATCCTCCTCACCATCGTCGCTTCTTGATAATACACGCCTCCCTGTCGCTAGAGCCTCGAGACACTGCTTTGACACGACATACTTGTGCACCCGGTACAATAGCCCCTTGATCACCCCGAATTGAACTAGCCGCCGCACGTCTACGTGTCGAAGAACGTCAAATCCCGCATCCTGGTGCAGCTTGATCCACTCCATGACACTGCGCCCGGCGCAAAACGTGGTCATCAACTTCACTAACTGGTAGTGGGATACCGGCTGTTGCTGTTGCTGTTGCCGTCCCACATCGGCATCCGTTACGGTATCATGTCCGTCCTCAGTCGTGACAGTGGTAGAAGACGCATTGGCAGTACTAGTGCTGCCAGTAAGGGGATTGCTAATGCATACATACCCGGCGCACTCATCGACGATACCGTCCCTGTTGACGATGAAATCGTGCACGCCGGGCCTCGGCGCGTAGCAGCTACCAAAGAAGAACATGTCTAAGAGGAGAATAGTGTCGTAGTATAAAAGGTGCTGTAGCGCGATCTGGGTGAGCGGTAACGATACATCAGCCAGCCACGCGATACGGCGTACGTCGTTGACGCCATCGACGTGAGGGATGATCTTTTGTAGGGTTAAGTCCCACGTAGGGTCGACGATGTCGGCGAGTTTCATCTTGGGCACGGGCACATGCCAGCCGCGGACAGGTGCGGGAGGTGGGTGGTAAGGGAAAAGCTTCATATTGAGGGTATTGGCGTCGTCGACGGGGATCATGCACTCCCCGTAGTTGTTGAGGTCTTCTTTTACGATCTCTAGCAAGCTCTCGATGGGCCGTCTACCATCGTCTACCCGCCCCTCCGAGCTTAGATATCCGTGTTGGCGCTCCATCTCGGCGAATGTGACTGCCAGACGTCTCACTAGCTTCTCGTATGGGATATGGTCTACATCTGATTCTATGACTAGCCCGAAGTTGAATATGAATTCGTTACGATGGTATCTCTCATTAGGAATGGAGACTGGGAATAGCAGGATGCTGTATTTATTATCTGGTGAGTTTACCGTCATGAACCGGTTGAAGAAAGCTTTCCGCGGAATGATGTACTCCTGGATTATGTCGAAGTCGACCAGGGGCGGCTTGAGGTGCGGCGTATATGTTGTTGCCACGATACATCCTGGTGGAGATTGAGCTACGATCTTGGTTCCTGATATCTGGTGAGTTAATCATAAGAGTTGGAATGAGATTGAAGTGAGAGTAGCTGAATTGAGATGAGAGGATATGTGAGTTATGGTATGTAAGTTTTATATAGGTGTCTTTCATTATAAGATGAGTTAAGATGCATACGTAAATGATTATAAATGATTGAATAAAATAGACAGCTGAAGATATCCACATACCTTCTTGAGGAAGGAACCTCGCGTAAAAGATTCCTTGAATCATCTGAATGTTCGGCCGTACAGAAACTGCCACACATTTAATGATAACCACATTTCAAAGTAGGTATTATGTACCAATAAAAGTTTAGCCCATAATTTTACTTATTATCCCAATAGAATGCGTCGTTATTCGCAATTTCCTTAACCTAAGAACATGGTTGGCAGGTTGAGTGGAAGCAGTTCAACGCTGTGACTCCAGTGGACGGAATGTTTCGTAAAGGCAAGATCGGCTAAAAGCCGGCAGTAATTTCCCCAACAGTGCCAAGTCTAAGCTGCAGCTGCCTGCATTATCTGATTGTCCTATGCCCCAACCGGGGAAGCTTCGAACAAGCACGGACCCACATCCCGCCTACCTTCATCGGATCGCCGAGTTACGAGCTTCCGCGCAAGCCTTTACATTTACAACTACATTTTGTGTCCTTAATACCCTAAAACCTGAATAAAATTTAAGCCGTAAAAAGAAGGGTTTTCATTTATTGTAGTGTTCAATTTACACTCTTGATATTGCGACCATGGCCGAAGCTCCGAAGACCGAGGCTCCTAAGCCCGACGAGCCCACCACGCCAATTCAGGAGCTATGGAAAGTCGTTCAAGCCCAGCCTCATCCTGAAGTCTGGGGCGTCACCCTAGCAGATCCGGCTACCCACGTCCCCAGCCAGATCGTACTGCAGAAGTACCTGAACGCCAACGACGGCGACATCGTCAAGGCCCGGGATCAGCTCGACAAGACTCTGGCGTGGCGCGCCAAGATGAAGCCTTTGGAGCTCCTCGAGAAGACTTATTCAAAGGCTAAGTTTGGGGGTCTTGGATACGTCACTAAGTACGTCGCCGGCGACGAGAAGGCCACCGATGACGATCCCGAGTCTAGAGAGGTCTTCACCTGGAACATCTACGGTGGTGTCAAGTCGATCAATGAGACCTTTGGCGTTTTAGACGAGTGAGTTATGCACCGTTTATTGCAGATCTCGGATCTATTCTCGCACTGTGAAACGAGCAGAATAATCCTCTAACCTACATACTAGATTCATCAGCTGGCGTATCGCCCTCATGGAACTGGCCATACAGGAGCTGTCTCTCTCCACGGCCACGAAGCCCATCACGGCCGACTGGGATCCGTACAAGATCTTCCAGGTGCACGACTACAAGTCCATCAGCTTCCTGCGCCAGTCGCCCCAGGTCAAAGCCGCCAGCACCGAGACCATCCGCGTGTTCGCCCTGGCCTACCCCGAGCTTCTCAAGGAGAAATTCTTTGTCAATGTGCCTGCGATTATGGGTTTCATGTACGGTGTTATGAAGCTCTTCGTCGCTCCCAAGACCATCAAGAAGTTCCATCCGATGTCGAATGGCAGAAACTTGGCACACGAATTCGCTGGCAGCAAAGTTCCCGCGCTTGGCGAGAAGCTTCCCGCCGAGTACGGCGGTAAGGGTGGAGATCTGAACGCTCAGGGGAAGGGGCCTTCTGTCGAGTAAACTCTCATCATCTAACGACGCCAAGTTAGTTCATGGCCACGGTTTTTGGTAGTCGGTATGCGTGTAGGCGGTTTGGTGACGTGGTTGACTAATAATACTGGGGGATGATAATAATGAGGCACGACTTTTGCGTTGACTTTAGACCAAGATATCACACCACTATAGTTCTGCTTTTATAAACACGGATTATCCCATTTTCTCACTCGTCTCTCCTCCTAACTCTGAATTTGAATTTTGCTGAGCATCTCCTGAGCTGCCGTCCTGCATAGCTGCTGTAATTGGATGTCGCTGCGTCTGGCTGTCAGGATCTTCATCATGCCTGGCATTGCCTGTCTCTATATCATTTTTCTTGAAGATCTTTCGTTCGGCGAATTTGAACGATATGCCTTGCTGTTCATACTCTGCCGCAATATCGTCGAATGTCTTCCCCCTCGATGCCGCGTCTTTTCTCAATTTCCTAGTGCGGAAGAGCCAAATCAAATGAGAAAGGAATATACCGGATTCAAGAAGGATGCTATTATACAGGTCAGCCTGACATCTCCACAGATTTGTTCTCAATATCGATGTATAGAGGCTAGGTACCACCTACCATACGATATACAACACGCCGCCCAAGATATCGAAACTATTCTGGACAGCTAAGCTAAGGTAAGCAACACGCAGGTATCTAAGGATATCAAGGGACTTTACCAAGTGACATAAGAGAGAAAAATGCGCCCAGCCAGTCCACTGTCGATAAAGATTAGTGATCTCCTCCTTTTGGTAAAGTCTAGGGAGCCTTAGGTAGATAGGGATATGAATATAACCGCGAATTTTCAATTATACATACTAGACAGAAAGACGAAGTTGATCCCGATCACTCTTCCTCTCCGCTTCCATAGTTCGCCATATGGCGGTAATAAACCAACTGCCAAGAGAATATTCGCGATTATACCAACTACCAAGACCCCAGTGCCATTACCAGCGTCGTATAATGGCTATATAAGTTTAGTTTATGTCATACAGGGTTCAACTGGACAACTCATTCTACATACCCGTAGTGTGACAATCAGGGCTGCTTGCACACCGGCAAAAGCCGCGGCATTGGCTAGCCCTATAAGAACTACCTTCCACATAGGCCATTTACTATTATATAGCAATATCTGACACCAGTTCACAAGGCAAAGCGCCATGAAAGCTTGCGGCTGCACTTGTAAGGGGTAATTGAACCTCTGTACGATGTTATAAGCCCCGAAGGGTACGCCACCTAATTAAGAACATAGGTAGTCAATATTTGAGACATGTTTGTTAGTGAATAGGGAATGTCTTACATAAAGCCCATAGGTACATCATGGAGCCGGGGAGGCCATCGGTTTTCTTCGTTCGCCAATTCGTCCACTGAAATGTACAATCAGTTACAGAAACCCGCTTAATCGCTAGTTATAGGTGCCTAATATACATACTATTTGAGGTATTGTCTGCACGCACCACAAGATCGTACCGATGGTCTACGTAGTTGATATATTTAGCTATTATATTTCAAATGATCCCTCGTGTAATATTAAAAAACGTACGCCGAGAACATTGGCAGCAACCGGGATATCCTGTTGCGGTGCCATAGTTCATGCAGAAACGCTGATTGGTGTGTATCGATCATAAGTCAATTGACCCATCCATATGAGACCAACGATGAATTCAACTGGTCGCGATAGATGTCACAGCTAAAGATAAATACCATATTTATCGGCATGTTGGGTCGCATCCGGTGACGGAGGAGGGGTTTTGTTACACCAGAGGCCGGAATGCCGCGGCGAATGATCTGACCGTTGCGAACACCGACCGGGGATAGTTACGCGACGTAAAGTTTGTGTTATCAATCTATTAACTACGCAATCACTAGCCAACGATTACCTTTTCGATAGGCTCAACTAAGATAAGATCTAATTCACAACATATGACGACATAATTTCTTTAATGATTAGAATATGCAAAGATAGGTAGGTAGGATAGAGTACCTAGACCTAACCCGCCAATTGCATGATGTTTAAGATCGGTCCATGGTGGGGCGACTCGAGTCAGTTCCGGTCCGGATCGATTGTATGCATGTGCTTTTTAGCTAAGGGTCTTGCTGAATAATGCGGGGGATTTTTTATTTTCTCGCCTTCTCGAATCGACCGCGTGAAGCTGACGAGCTAAAATAAAAATATTGACATCGTCGTACAATAAATAAGTAATCCATACCAGGGACCTAATTCCAAATTTGAACTACTATTTTCGGAACTACATGTAGAGCCGCATTTCAAATTTCAAATAATTGCAAATTTTCAGCCTGTCTTACTACAGCGTAGCGACAGCCCCGGCCTCAACAATCTTAGCCCTACCTCTTCCGAACGTCCTCCGAGTCTACCGATATTTGAACCGTCTGCTCGTCTTCCCTTATAACCTATCACCTATCACCTACCACATACCACATACCAACCCAGTTATTCGACGTAAACCCGCCAAAGTGTTTTCCCGGACTATTAAAAGAACTCTTTGCGCAGGCGCATCCGGAATATCAGTTGCGGCATTTGCTTCCTCGGGGCTACATAAATACACAGGACAGACGACCAAAGTCGCAACGAAAACAGCAGCCAGGAAGATGCACAGCAAGGTTGTTATTATCGGCTCTGGGCCTGCTGCCCACACGGCCGCCATCTACCTCGCCCGTGCCGAATTGAACCCAGTTCTCTACGAGGGTTTCATGGCGAACGGTGTTGCCGCCGGTGGTCAGTTAACAACTACTACCGAAATCGAGAATTTCCCCGGATTTCCCAAGGGCATTATGGGCGGCGAGCTAATGGTAAGTGTTTTCACGTCATTCTACGAATATTTCATATATTAGATAGATAGATATACTGACGCAAATCGTTCCAACCCAGGATGCTATGAGACAACAATCGGAACGATTTGGTACCAAGATCATCACCGAAACAGTAGCCAAGCTCGACCTTTCCTCGAGACCGTTCAAGTACGAGACGGAATGGTCTCCTGGTGAGGTGCACACCGCGGATTCCGTCATCATCGCCACAGGTGCTTCAGCGAGGAGGCTAGGTCTTCCGGGAGAGGAGAAATACTGGCAAAGCGGCATCAGCGCTTGTGCCGTTTGCGATGGTGCTGTCCCGATATTCCGAAATAAACCCCTGGTGGTTATTGGTGGCGGAGATAGCGCTGCCGAAGAGGCAACTTTCCTTACAAAGTACGGTAGCCATGTGACGGTGCTGGTGCGGAAAGATCAGCTACGTGCCAGCAGTATCATGGCGCAGCGGTTATTGAAACACCCCAAGGTTACCGTTCAATTCAACACCAGGGGCGTGGAGGTCAGAGGAGACGATAAGGTGATGACCCATATGGTTATCGAAAATACAGTTACCGGAAAGCGACAGCTAATAGAGGCCAATGGTCTGTTCTATGCCGTTGGCCACGACCCGGCCACAAGCTTGGTCAAGGGGCAGCTAGATACCGATGAGGACGGCTACATTATCACCAAGAATGGGACACCGGCAACAAGCATTGAGGGTGTCTTCGCTGCTGGTGATGTACAGGACAAGAGATATAGACAGGCTATCACTAGCGCAGGTACGTTTCCATCCCCCCCTATATCTAAGACAGTGTAGATTTCATGCTGACATCAATGATCGATAGGTTCCGGATGCATGGCTGCCCTAGATGCGGAGAAGTACCTTGCAGAACACGAAATGGACGAGCGAGAGGGAGCTGCTGAGGGTAAAGCCGAGTAACTAATACCCGCGAGGATGTAATTGATACCACCGCATAGAGTTCTATATTAGCGCGTGTGTTGACAGTCTCGATACGTTAGACAGATACCAGATAGACAGAATTGAGAACAGCTCAACTTGAGTTTGGCCGTTTGTTCCTGTTTGGTAGTATTGGTGCCCTCTTGCTACCCTAACCGAACCCAATGACCAGCCCTCCATGTGACTAAACTTTTATGACTGGCTAGCAGTATGTTTTACTCCTACTGGGTAGCTGCATCTTAATCGCGGTAGCATCCTTTCCTCTTTAAACCCACTGTGGCATGTCGTTTTCATTGACAAACATTGAAGGTATTGCTCATTGATCTTTCTACTACATACGGCTTCCGTAGTCTTTGTTTGCGGGGGTAAATCACTACAAGCACACCAACAAACGCACACCGACAAACGCATACCGCTCTATCCTTGGCCTCAGTTTTATATTCAGTCCAAAGAATCCACTTTACGGACCCCCCCGCTAAGACTCCATCCATATCGCAGTCCGTGTCGCTGTCGCAATAGACTTTCGGGGTCTCGTACCATTCTCCCCACTTCAACGGCTCGTTATCTATTAATACAGCCCTCTTCCCCCTCCCCCCTCTTTCTTCTTCTTCCCCCCGAGTTGCCAACCGCTTGAACCCATCTTGGGCGTCATCTACTCTACCATTTTCAAATCTCTCCCTAGGTTTCATCAAGACCTCTTCACACCACTATTTATTATTATTCATCGTCACCATGAGCGACAGAGGTTACTCGTACAAGAGCTCCGGCTATAACAGCCAGGTAAACATTCCTACATCTAGACTTCTTCACCTATCTTTATTTCTCGGATCTTGGGTAATTTTACTCCAAGCTAACTCATACCCAGGGTAACCATTACTGCGCCCGTGACTACGGCAGCAGTGCCTCGAATTCGAACTCGTACCATTACTCTAATCAGTAGGTCATATTTATATTCCTATTCATATTCCTATTCCTCTATATCTGCCGCATGGCCATTTTATTCTAGTGTAGTTAGTACAAATAAACCTCGCGTGATTTTCGATACTAATCTAGGCCTTGTACGAACGTAGGGACGGCTCGTACTACTACTCCAACCCCAACGGCTCTACCTACTACAACGACGGTCAGGGCGGCTCAACCTACACCTCTTCCTCGGGCTACAGATCCTCGTCGGGATATGGAGGTAGTAGCAGCAGCAGCAGCAGCAGCAGTGGTGGCAAGAAGTAGGAGTCTTGTCCAGCATCCGGGGGCAACTCGTGTCCCTTCGTCGCGGCAGCTTGAGTGGCCTAAGCCTTGGGAGTGATTTATGTTTCCTTTATGAACAATATGGATTTGCTTTGGTAAGCCAAGTGATCTAGTCTTTAAACACCAAAAAAAATCATCAAAAGGGCCTTAGTTGGGGCTGCTTCATTCATCTATTTAGTCGTAGACAGCAGATAGGTAGTCTTTATCATGCAAGGTACATCGTCAAGATTCTTAAGCTCTGATTCTTTCGTGCATTTCCAAATTGAGCCAGTGATCAGATTCCTTGTTCTTCAGCGTACATGTAGAATATTTGAGTGACAGACGGTCGTTTCATAGCTACACTAAAGACCAAACCTACATTGACGCCATATACGTGGATTGTGGCCTCATACATAATAGTGGCTAGGCATGAAATGATGTTAAGACGATATTTGCTCATCTATTACATCTTCTTTTATCTGTATACCATACCATAGTATCAAATCCTACGAGTATTTTAACTATTCGGCTACCGCCCTTATTGACGTGGCCATTGATGTAACCCTTATTCTATGTAAAAATCAGCATATAAAAACACAGGAAGCTAGCTCAGCAGACACACGCTTTAATATATACATTTACAAGAATATACAGGGACTTGATAGATGATGAATAATTAATCGATTTTTTAAGAGACAGTCTTTAATTGTACGCCAAGGAAATAGGAGAAGTCTAGCACAGTAGATAAATCGTCAGGTGCGTAAAGGTTCAGATAATCCCAAGTCCCCATCAGCTCAAACAACTAGTAATATTTAATATTGATCATTATTGCTGAACTTGTCCTATGAGTATCGAACTGAGTAAAAGGGGTCCCTGGCTGAAATCGTCCCTGGTCATCATTTTGCTCCTTATTACTATCTGTCCGTGTAACATATAAAAAGGGCAAATCTGGAGTTTTTCACTCCTTTCAATCAAAACCTAGGGATGTGCGTAAAGAAAGCTTAGAGCATTATGCTATGATGGATAGAGACTACAACGTGGCTTAGCATGTCTTGGAGGATAACTGTAATAATACATCAACGGATTCAGAGACATCAGGTCCGCCTTCACTCACAACATCGAGAGAGGAGCACATTAATTCACCAAGAGCAAATACATGGCAATGAAGTAAAACCAGTAAAATCAAATTCGCCTTGAACTAGAACTATGGGTTCAACCTAGCTGTGAACCTAGCTGTGAACCTCATGTCATGGGGTATCAAAGAATTTCACCCTTTTGAAGCTTTAAAAGAAAACAATCCGCGTCTATATCTATCTAATTCGATCCCTCCGCCTCTCCCATCGTCCGCGCCTCGTTCCTCATATCCCGCAACTCAGAAATTCTCGCTAGGATATTGAACCGCAGCGCTGTCAAGTCCGCCACGTGCTCCCTGCCTATAGTGACTAGAAGGCCTTCAGTATCCTTCAGTATATCGCTCAGCATCGCATCTCCGCGATCTGAGATTTGGGCCAGGGTCAACGCAACCTTGTATTTGATGCGCAACGTGTCGAGCATTGTCTCCGGTGTCAGCGGTATCCGGTTGTCTAGCCGTTCCTTTATCATGTCCAGCACTGCGGCAACAGCCACCCAAGAGGCCATCTTGTTCTTCACTAGTGAGGCCCGCACGCTGAATAGCACGGTAAGTGCTTCAAGGGTTTCGCGGTGGAGAGGACCCAGCGATTCTTCCAAGGCTTCAAAGGCGTGACGCATTTCGTCTTCTATCTCGCAGAAGTCCTCCTTCGTCCAATTTTCGATGGGCTTGCCGTTCCACATTCCGGACGCAAGGCTTGTGGTAATGATCTCGCGTTGCGTAACGAGGACCTTGGGATGGTTCTTGCCGAGATTCTGGTCCTGGTGCCACTTGACAAGCTGTAGTCTGGACTGTGCGGCCGATAGCGCCTCTGGGTCTTCTGTTTCCACTGCCTCGTTTCGCTGGTCTATGGCATCGTCAAAATCGTAGAATTTTTCACCGTGGCTTTCGTTAGCTTTGGTTTCTAGACGGAAGCCGAAGGCTTGCTCTGGGCGGTGCTCAGCTTCGATCTCCTCGGGAATTTTGGGAAGAGGCTTCATGGAGTTCGAGGGTGTAAGAATACCACGTTTTCCAGGCGAGTTAGAAGAGGAAGTTGCTTTTTCTGTAGTGCGGTCGTTATTAGCAAATGGAGTACTATTCGAGGAGTTTAACGAGACTCTTTCTTGGACTTACGTTTCCCTTTTCCATTGTCAGGGGAGTGGTGACCTGTGCTAGGGCTTGCATTGGGGCCGGTGGTGGGTTCGGTATTATTAGGTCGGACATCGTAGAATCCTTGGCAAGTGGTTGCCTCTTGAAGGGTTTGTGCTAGTTTGAGTCGTTCAAGCTTCTTCAGCTGTTCTTCCATCTTGGTCACTTTCTTAAAGCGTATCATGTTATGGGCTCCTCGAAGGAACGTCTTGATAACTGACTAGAGTATTTATTAGTATGATATTTGGGTGGACGAGAAAGTAGGGGGTCAAAAGGAGAGTTAGTGGACTCACAGAATCAGTCGTAAGAGGAGGATTGGAGCACATCCAAACACTATCACACCACATCTTCATAGTATACACGTCGCGATCACCGTAGGCGTCTTTGATCTCTTCACAAACTCCATAGCGGGAATTCGTTAGCAGTCTGAAGTTCATATCGATCACCCGCAATTTTTCTTGGAGTTCGTGGATCTTGATTGGTAGTGCTTGGAGCTTGTAGACCTCTGTAAGCTCGTAGAGATATTGAGATACGGCAGACTCAGATCGTACGTCGACAGGGGTCATGTTAGGAGGCATCTCTGGTGCATCGAGGAATATCAACCCTGTGGGATCAATACGGTTAGATGCTTCGCGAAAGAGCACCAAGAAATCTTTCACGACCCAGGTGCCTAGTCCGTGAGCAACAAATACGGCAGCCCGGGGCACGCGGTTGCGACTGTCCTCTGTTGCTCCCGGGTGGAACAATGGCGAGGAGGAATCCTCGCTTGTAACTGCAAACTTCTGTGACAGCTCGATAGTGGTCTCAGATAGACCGTGTCGTCCATTGTGTAGGACGTAAGCACCATCAAAGGCGAAGGTGCGAACGTTGACGTGGTTGCGAATAGGATTGGTAGCAACCGTAACCCAATTCTCAAGCAAATGTTTGAATTTTGCAAGGCGTTTCTGGTCGTCTGAACGGGGTTTGAAGCCATGTACAAGGATGATTCTGGGGTTTTGGGTTAGCCACGATTACCTATTGTAGGTATAGGTAAAAGATGATAAGGGGAGTCTTTTAAAAGAAACTTACTCGTGGGTGATTGGCTTCCCTGGAGTAGAAGGGACCAGGACATCTAATGCTGTTGCCTTCTATATGGTAAGTTAGTGGAGGTCAGCAACGGGAAGACGAGGATAGAAACCCTCAGCTTGTGCACGTACAGTTGAATTCATGATGCCTGATAGCAGTCGCTTGATATGGAGATGCTGGTTAAGAATTCATGGAATAGTGATGGCTGCGGGAGACGAAGTTAACACGATTCTCGGTAACTTGCAAGGCGACATTTATAGATAGCACTGGGATAGAACTAGATAAAATCCACATTCAGAATCGCTTCGTTATTTGTGATTAAGCTTTCATCATATGAATACTGAACAAGGGTAGGGTAAGGACGAATGACGGGCTAATGATATGTATTGGTGAATTGGGATGGGACGAAAACGTCCATGAACTACTCCGTGATTTGGTGGTAAGCGTATCTTGGGATTTTTTCATTGGACTGTAGGCGCTAGTCGTATGCAAGCAACAGCGATTGCTGCTAATACGACTGCTGAATTAGGTAGCTACATTATATACCTCGATTCTGGTTGGCTCTTAAGGATGTTTTCTTGCAAGTTGGCTATATAAGGTAGTAAGTCATCCCCGTGGCCTACATGTGAATTTAGGGGGTCAAGTCACTTTAAGTACTCAACAACGGCTAGGCAACTTCGCCCTTCTGTCAATCCATTGCGCCAATTAACTGGTGCCTGAATATCTCGTCAAATAGATTTCAAAGCTTTGCTATGACTGGCCCGGTGAGCAAGAAACGGTGAACACCCCATGGTATGTACCTCTCACAAATACATTCACTGTGGCATATGATAGAATGGTAATATGACTAACTTCAACAATCAACATTAACACATTTGTTTGCACAGCAAGCGATGCTTTCAGACAATGCGTGTATAACAAAATCAATCATAGGATCAACGGCCTAATGACTAACAGCAAATAGGGGGGCAATGTCCATCCATTTGGAGGCTCTTCTCCCTCATCGCACTATCCCTCTATCCCTCTAGGTACCTAATTTAAATGCAGATATGTATCTCGAATATTTGTTTATCAGTGCTAAATAAACCCCTTTGCGTTTTGATAAGAAGTATTCACGATCTCCTTAGATCGTATCTAGACAATGCAATCACGCACGATAGATACGGAGTAAATGATTACATAAAAGGATCTATATGTAGCATTACTAAAATCGGCTGACTGCTCGACATTGGTTGGTTGGTTGGTTGGTTGGTAGATGCTCAGAGTCGATCAGGAGTGGAGAGTATTGGCACCTCTCCGCTCCGTCTTATCCCACTACTGGTATCCGACTTCGGTCATGAGCTCTACCGAGATATGGACTTATATATCAAGGGTAGGTAGGACATGCACTTGGGATGGGAGTAATTGTAATCCAAGAAGCTATTGTTGTTTCTCAAGTATTATATTTACTTGAAATCCGTGATATCACTTGGTCCTCAGCAACTTCATTATCCAGTTAGTCTCTCAAATGGCTAACCTCGACCTCCGCTTGCCCGAGCCCTTCGCCAGCATCCCGCGGGAATCCTTCCTGTTCGGACCCTCACCTATCCAACACTTGCCGCGTATATCCGCTGCGCTGGGTGGTAAAGTAAACGTTTATGCCAAGCGCGATGACTGTAATTCCGGACTTGCCTACGGCGGGAATAAGACGCGGAAGCTTGAGTGAGTACCTAATTCATGGCTCATTGCTGAATCAATGATTGCACATGTCACATACACCAGAAATACACTTGGAAATATTAGAAACATAGACTGATGAATCATGCAGGTACCTCGCCGCAGAGGCCCTAGCCCAAGGCGCCGATACCCTCGTCTCTATCGGCGGTGTTCAGTCGAACCACACCCGGCAAGTCGCCGCCGTAGCTACTGCACTAGGTCTCCAATGTGCCCTGGTGCAAGAGCACTGGGTAGATCTGCCTCCCGGATCTCCAGATGAAATCCTCTACAGCTCCGTCGGCAACATCCAGCTCTCGCGGCTCATGGGAGCAGATGCGCGTCTCGAGCCCGCAACCACCTTCGGAATCGAGCATAAGCCCACGCTCGCACAGTTGCAGACCGAACTTACATCCGCTGGTCGCAAGCCCTACTACATCCCCGCAGGCGCCTCGGACCACCCACTAGGCGGCCTCGGCTTCGCGCGCTGGGCCTTGGAAGTCGAAGCGCAGGAGCGCGCGACGGGTGTATTCTTCGACACGATAATTGTGTGCGCGGTGACAGGCTCTACATTCGCGGGCATGGTAGCCGGGTTCAAGCTCGCGCAGAAGAAGCTCGGTTCCAAGAAACGGCGTGTAATCGGGATTGATGCGTCTGCCAAGGTGAAGCAGACTTTCGACCAAGTATTGCGGATAGCTAAGGCGACAGGTGTGAAGATCGGATTAGAGGAGGGTGATATCACGGAAAAGGACATTGAACTGGATGATAGGTATCATGCTGGCGTGTACGGAATCGCGGACGAGCAGACGCTAGACGCTATCCGGTTTGGTGCTAAGACCGAGGCTTTCATTACAGATCCCGTGTACGAAGGTAAGAGTCTGGCAGGCATGATGGATTTGATTCGGAAGGGAGAGATAGGAGAAGGGAGCAACGTGTTGTATGCACATCTCGGAGGGCAGCTGGCGTTAAACGCTTATCCCTCTATCGGTCGTTAGTAAACATTGTCTTGATTTCAATAATGTTTTGATTTCATTTTGATTCATTACCAAACGTGATCTATAAGCCAGTCATTGCGAGTCCTAGCCCCCCTGAAATAATCATATCGTAGCCGGAGCAAGTTCGGTATATATGTACAGCAATAGACTCATCATCATATACATATACTCCTCTTCATTTAATGGTGACGGTGAGATTTCCCGTATCATTACTATCCACCATTGATTTTCTTGTAGTGCGATTTTCCAAGCAAAAGATTCAAGAGTCCACTCTAGGGTCTCTCGTTCTGTCTTCTTAATTCCTCCCGGAACATGTTTCGGTCTTGTTGCTCCCGGAAATCCATGCGCCGTTCCTCAGTCGGCGTCCCGGCTAGGCTACCTAGAGCATCCGAGTCCCGTCGCGGGCGGTCCGGCTCGTCGTGGTAGATCTCACCACCGTCAGCCTCGACCTCCCGCTGCATTAATTGGATGCGCTCGTTAGCCTTGCTCTTCTTGCTGAGACCCATCCGGGATCGTGAACTCTTGCCAACACCATATCCATTTCTGCTGCGAGACATGATGTTTCCGAGGCCGATCTGGCGATCCCTTCTGTGCCATAGACAGGTTCCGATAAGACATAGAGCAACGAAACCGAGCACAGTCGGTAGGGCGATTACTAATGCGCGCATATCGGGCGTCTTGCCGGTTTCCGGCTGAGGTCCAGGGTGGTCTGTAACTAGGATAGTGGGACCTGGGATGATATCGCTGGAATTGCCTGTCGCGGTTAAAGTGGCAAGCTGTAGCGTGATATTCTTGCCAGACTGGTGTTTCAATAGACTGCTTTCGATCTTGTAGCTCCAGAAACCCCATGATGCGGACCACTTAGGTGACTCGAAAGCTTGGTCGGTAATTTCGCCTGTTGTCTCGTTGAGATAGTTACCCTGGACTAAGATTGTCGTGTTTGGAACGGGGAAGTACGATGTGTCCCAAGTAACTGTTGAGTGGGTTAGTTAGTTACATGTCTCCTTGTATACGAGTGGTGTAGCGTACAGTAATATGTAGTACCAACATATAATGGTGTCTCCTGGGTCGGTTGACACCACGGAGCATGGTCGCCATCCTTGTTGTGGCAGACAGGGAACGAGCCAGCTCCAGCTGAACCACCGGTTGGAGTAGGAATCGGAGCGGTGCCAGTACTCGTTGAAACTTTCCCGTAGTTGGTCTCGGTGAAAACAGTTGCGGTCAAATCATGAGGAGCGCCTGATATAATGGTAGGAGTTCCGCTGATGGTGCTAAGGACGGGCGTAACAGTACTCGGCTTGCCATCTTCGTTAACTGTCACCCACGGCTCGAGGGCGGAATCTGTCTGTCTAGGACGAAGATTTGGCATGGCAGAGGCCAAAGAGAACAGCAATGCTGACCCGACGGCTGACTTGGACGCGTACATTGTAACGTCTCCTGTAGCTGAATCTCAGATTGGGAATCAGAAAGGAGGATACGGAAGACTCGGAACGAGTTGAAGAAAAAGCCTCGAGGTCGCGTATCAACACCTAGCTACCTAAAAGTAGAAGTCTGGATTAGCAAAGTAAACAATTTATAAGGCGTCCAATTACTTACCATATAGGATCCTAGATAAGGCGAAACAGTTCAATCGAGTACAACTAAGCAATTGAAGCTGTAGTCCCTCCTATCGAAAGTTGAAGACAAGAAGATTTCAAGGTGAATGTCAACAACTTAGAAGAGGATTCCCGGACGATCCATGAAATACATGGAGACTTCTTAAAGGAGATGGGTACAATAAAATGGGTACATACATCAAGTAAGCAGATAAGCTAGGGGAGATATGGCACGCCATAGGTCCATCGCGTCCACCGATCCAGCTAATCCCGGACTATGCAAGTCCACTAATTGCTGCTTACCCCCTGAAAGTTCTGAAGAAACCCCCGCAAAGTACTGCAAAATGAGGCTTGTGGCGTACGGTACTTGCTTCTTAGTGTACCGTGCTAGGTAAATGCATGTACAACACACTAGCTTAAGACGAACACATACCGGAGACGGCGAAGATTAAAAATGGATGCGCGTCATGCAGGAACGCGATCCACTGTTACGCTATCCATGTACTTAGGTACTTCGTATTCGACTTAGCTCCAGCCTCTTAGGTGATTAATTCGCGCTTTCTGATCTTATCTTATGCCACTTCTTTTGCCTGCAATGTTCCACAGGCAAACAGGTTAACTCTTAAAGTGCTAGAGAAGTATAACGAAAATATGGAATGCTGTTAATTATCTCAAGTTCTATCGGGTTTGATAGAATGAAGGGAGCTCGATCCTTTGATATATCTGTATATAACCCCTTACTGTTGTGATAAGATAACTGACTTACCCCTGTTTGTGTCTCTCCAACTCCCCTTCTTAGACATTTTCCCCTTCCCTTTCACCTCGCATGTGTCATTGAGCCGCGCAGGAGTTACAAACGGCTGTCTACTAGGAAACTCCTATCCCTTTTCTCCACAGAGACTCACATCTAAAACATGGATAATAGCCCCAGGTAACTAGATAATAATTCCATCCCTGGTTAATTACGACAAAGTCCATGTAGCAATAGTATTGTTTCTAACGCGAGTGAGAAATAAGCATCATGAGACTCAATTTACATGGCAGTCTTATAATCTAATTCACGGTTAAGTCGTATGAGAACTTTTGCATCCGAGAGCGACTAGGTTAATGACAACAGGTAATGACTCAAGTTGGCCACTAATACTAGATAATATTTTGTCTTGCAGATTGATTGATTGTTTTCAGTGTTATGATAACTCGATGAGTCTTATAAAAACACATATTTATGAATAGAAGATACAGAAAGGACAGCAGTAAGATCAGGCAGGCCAGCGTCCTCGTGGAAGAACATAGAATTCAAAATCGGGGACAGCAAACTTCCACTCCGAGTTATCTCCGCCAATAATCAACACCGGATCTTTAGACATCTTTCTGAACAAGCAAGCTCTTGGCAACGTTGTCACTGACAATATAGCCGTCTGTCTAGCGGAGCCATGTTCCTCGGCGACAGGGCAAAAAAGAAGTATAAACTCTGGAATCTCTCCGAATCTCATCGGTATGGTTTCGTTTAAACTCCATATTTTGGCAAACAGTCTTGATCTGAATCCATTACAACTATCGTCACAGGTGTCACAACGGATTGGCCCTTGTTTGCGGCCTGTGAAGAGCCCTTCCCCCTCTACCGAATGGTGAACGTTTGGCCCGATGAATCGCATTGCGTTGTGTCCGGTTATGCACAAAAGATCAAAGAAGCCAACGCAGAGAATATCGACGTTGGGGCAGAATCCGCGGCGAGGATTAAGCCAAGCCCCATTTTGATCAATATCAAACATGGCAATGGTTGATTTTTGCATAGCGGACCGAGACTCTTGACAAGTTTGCATAAGGCCGGCATCGGTAACGAAATCTCTCGGCTAGTGGGAAACTCTCTCGTAGAGGACCGTATTAATAATTCGGGTCTATACACGCATATAGCTGGGTTGGAAAGATACGCAACAATAGAAAAGTTCCTATATTTATGTGTTAATACACTAAATGACTCCTTTTGTGATGAAGTAATTCCGTTTCTCGGTCGATCTAATATTGGATTGAGAAGATATGGCATAAGGTTGCTCCAGACGAGAAGGAGAATGACTCACCAAATCGCCAAGCGTATCTCAGGTGGTAAGCGTGGAAAGAGGGTGAAATACTTCAGAGACGACATGTCGGCTCCTTTAACTAGGTCTAGAATGTACCGTATGACCGATTAGGTACCTATTGTGTTGGCTGAAAAAGACAAGGACACTTGGAAAATAGCAAGTTTCAAACGCTTCGAATGCTTCAAACGTAGAAGATTGTATTAAGGTTGACAGAGTGTTCCAGGGTTTTCAGGTCGACACCTTTGAGACACTCGGGCTTCACAGATCTTGTTTTCCCTAATACCTGCGCGATGATGACTTCTACTATGTGTGTACCCGTTGTGCAATATAAAACGCGGGGTAGTGACAATATAGCTGCTGCCTACACTAATAAATCTCATATCTCTAGACAATAATTGCTAGTTATAATTTTTATTATCAAGGAATGTAAACCCCTTCGAAGGCGGGCCTGCGATGGAAATTAGAAGAATCATTGCTTGAAACGTTATTTGTAAGTAGCCGAGAAGTAGTAGGAAGAAGTTTTAGGGGGCCATTTTCATACGGATCCGTTACTTTCGGAACTAAATTACAAGTCCGATTGAAATGTGGGCCTCGGATCCGAACTTCGGAACCATCGGGAAGGAACCGAGTCTCGGAAACGTCGCTAGTATCGACCGGCGTATGGATAGGGACATCTAACAACTCATCTATGCATCCAATTTTACATCAAAGGTAAGGACTCTTCGTAATCATTGAGGTAGTAATGATTAATCTATCTATTGGAAGGAAAACAATTTGCAAGTATTATCCTAGTAAGTACCTCCTAACTGAGTGTGGTAAATGTAGCTGCCGGCACTATTAACCATGCAAAGCGAGTTGATATCCCTGGCGATCTATCCAATGAATAATATACTATAGCATGCCCTCGTTGTTCTCATCCAGACTCTGTCCATTATAATTCAATTTCTGTCCTGTTCCACCAATATACCCATTTCCGAAACACTCATCGCATCCATAATCTCATCATCAGTCACAGTGGCACTAAAGTCCTTCTTCATCCAACCTCGTAACTCAATTCCCGTTAGAGAGTCTACGCCGTAGTCCGATAACTGTCCCGGCGGTTCTACGTTCCCCGCCGAAGTATCTAGAACGCGAGCGCCAAGGCCTTAGTAGCTACGTCGGAACGCTCGTCAATGCTCTTGGCCTTTTTGAACAATACTTTTTGGGCTCAGGCTCTCATCATTCCCAATAACCCGTTTCGTCTCATCTGGTAGTTCGGGAAAGCCCGAAAATAGTGGTCTTTGGAGGATTGATTGATGGAAAGGCTAGACCGCGAGCTGAGAGACTTTCCGGTGTAGGAATGCCCATTAAAACTTGGGAGTTTCCTGTAGAGGACCTTGGATAGGAAGGATCGCAATGGATGCCTAGCAGCGCCATTGAGATGCTGCCGTGTTTTTGAAGGTCGCCTCCTACATTAAGTTATAACGAGATTTGGTAAATGATACGTACCCGAAGAACTATTGCTGCGCTGATACAGCCCTTAATTGGTGGCATAGTCTTGGAACAACCCCTAAACACAGCAGACAATGAAGCAATAGACGACACATCGCACTTAGGCATAGCGATATGAACCCCAGTGCCTTAAGTTCCGAGATGACACCTAGGTAACGCTCTCTACGACGGGCCTGCTAGTGAAGGGAGAATCAGATATTTGGCCCCTTTGTTGGCCATATATCTGATAATCGCTCTTCCTAAACCCTATAGGCTACCGGCAATAATGTAGGGCGAATTCTCTTCGAAGGTAGCCCTTGCATATATTCCTTCATTACCCATTATTTTCATCGCAATACACCTTGCTATAGTGATGGCGCCTATAATAATGACGTAGTCGTAATCTACTTCAAAATTAGTCTATATTCTTATGAAATTTATTGAACAATTAAGGGGGTACCGCCCACAGCCAAGATTCAACCGGGAAATGTATCGAGTTTCCCAGGGTATTTATGGCCTCCATATATTTATATTGGCCCTGTTTTCTAGACTGGAAATTTTGACTTTGCATGGGACTGGACTTGGACACTAAGTTGGCCTTTGGTCCCCAACCCCTTTCCCAACCGATCCTTACATGTAAGAGAGGAGATCTCAAGGTTATCAAATTGGTCCTGGTTTTCGGCATGGCCATATTTTATGAGAATGTTTACTTTATCAGGTAAACCTGGGAATTGCCAATCTGATCCGCTACCCCACGAGATCAGGTCGTACTTATTCCACCGATCAATTGAACAAGCCATCTCTCTAACACCACTCTAGGCCATTTCTTCACCTAGGCTAAGTCATCCTCAGACCTCTCTTATCCGTCTCTACATAACCTATACGAATCAACCTCATTCAGGACTCATTTGCGGCTCTACAAGTAGTAAGCAGACATCCTGGGAAGGAGCTCAACGATCCACCGTCACACCACATAGGCACACACCGCGTGAATACCGATGAAAGAATTGATATGGTAGGTCAGGATGTTGAGGCATGGAACAATTATCCTGGTAGGTGCGTCACTTTATTGACGTTACTTCATGGAGTCGGAAGAGCACTTAACGCTTCCGGATCGGATCCGATACCACAGACCCCGTATTTCGGAACCGATACTTCCTCTGTCTCTGATAGTGCAAGTACTGCTGATCCAAAATCTATAAGTATACGAATAGGATACCTAAAAGGTTTTGAATTATTTTTTATCATCATCATCAGCGCCCGATGAAAGTGTTCTTGTCGATAATTCGAAGCCATCAACTTCACTTAGCAGCTTGTGTACTACAGGGCTTTCTTTAAGATATAAGACATCTTTCCCTTTGAATCAAAATTTTCTCTTCTTTTAACTCCGAATAAAGATCCTAGTGTATTCAACAAGCTAAGAAAATGCCTTCAACTCGGGTTGCGCTCGCCGGTGCCACGGGAAATATTGGATCTCCCGTTCTCGAAGCTCTCCTTAGCTCGGACTTCAATGTAACGGCCCTCTCACGTATAGGTGGGAATTCATCCAAGTTGAAGCCTCACCCTAACCTCACCATCAAAGAAGTCGACTTCAGTTCTGTTGAGTCCCTGATTCCCGCGCTGGCGGGAGTTCAAGTTGTCGTCTCTTGTGTGGCGAGTTTGGCGATGGGCGACCAAGATCCCCTGATCGACGCCGCAGCTGCGGTAGGTGTGAGACGATTCATCCCAGCGGAGTTCGGCATTGACTCTGTGAATCCTCTATGCATGCAGCTCCCCATCGTAGGCGTGTCTAAGGCAAAAACACAGCAGCACCTCCAGGAAAAATCCAGATCCAATCCCGGGTTTACCTACACCGCAATTGCCAACGGTCTATTTCTAGATTGGTGCCTCGAGGAGAACATTATCCTGAACATACCTCAGCATACTGCAACTCTATACAACGGCGGCGATGTAAAATTCAGCGCCTCGCTTCTGTCCGATATCGCGAAGGCTGTTTTGGGCGTTATTGCACATCAGGACGAGACGGCAAACCGCGTGGTCTACATCCATTCGGCACATATTACTCAAAACCAGCTAATTCAGTATGCTAAAGACAAGGATGGGAAAGAATGGAATACGATTGTTAGGGATACAGAAGAGCTCAGACAAGAAAGCTTAGCGGCACAAGCCGAAGGCTCCAAGGGTGGCATGGAGGCTGCAACACTCGGGTTTTCCCTATGTGGCATGTTCAATTCCGACTATGGCTGTGATTTCTCGAGTCACTTGGATAATGAATTGTTAGGCATAAAGGAACTGAATGAAGATGAGCTGAGGAAGCTGGTGGAGAGCTACTTGTGATATATGTAGTAGTTTAAAGGGGATGATGAGCATTAGGCAAGATAAATTAAAACGGAGTAGTTTCTTAGAAAGTGTTTACTCTTCAGCGAAGTGTAGATACCTAGTATTAAAGGCATACTAAGAAAAACAAATAACGTGCGGGAAGAGAATGGTTCTTTACCTCTCCTCAGTCCATCAAAAGATGTTATGTCTATGTACTGCGTCTAGATCGGCTCAGGGGTTGCAGCTCGATAGGCGGACCCCTAATTCCGCGCCAAGCTTGCTTACCAACAACACAGGCCTGTGTTATATTTAGGTACCTAGGTACCCCTAAGTGGTACCTCCTAGCGCTAAGATTAGAAATACCAATAATTTCCTTCTTACACCTTTTAATCTTTAATTCGAACGCCTCCTCGAGACAATCGGCATACCTGAAATATACCTACGTCGTAAAGAAGATGCCAAGTACTAGTTCTCAAAAAAGAACTCAGTTTTCTAGTTGCGATGCTTGCCGTCGCTCACGAGTTGCTTGCGACGCCTCAAAACGGGGTTATCAACCAGGTAAAGTGAATTGGGCGGGTTCATGTTCGAGGTGCGCTCTTAGAAGACGACCATGTACATTTGAGGTAAATAAGCTTACAATGCTTTTCACATATAAGAGCGCGTGACTAATTATATACAGTGGATTAAGGCTGCGAAGAGGAATCCTTTAAACCCATACAGAGAAGCGCCATCTCATTCTTCTTCAACTGAAACGGATCCTACCATTTCCCATGAATCACATGGTCAGGCGGTCTTCATCTCTACAGACGAACAGAGTTTCGATCAAGCCATTACCCAAAATTCCCAGGGTGGTACTAATGCCAATCCCTATGATCAATATGACACGGACCATATCACGCCACTGGACGAGTCAAGCGCACACTTAATTGAACCCCTCGGCCTACAAGCAGAGTCGGTAGACATCTTGCTAACATCTTGGTGTGACCAAATCTTTCTCAATGGGTTTGAAACCTCTTTTGGTCTCATAGCTGGTAGAAATGGCTGTCCATTCGTGTACGTCTAATGGGTAGTCGCTTAGAAGAAGTCAACAATCCCCTGACAATGATAGGAATAATCCGACGAGTGAAGTTTGCATTCCTCCAACAGAGCTTTTTAGGAAGCTCGACGCTGACATGGACGACGCGCCTGATCGCCAGAATTCCAATCCCGGGCTTGAGGCACAGAGACAACAACAGGAAAAGGACTTTCAAATCGATCAGTCCCTAAAACATATGATTCGGTCTTTTACAGCATATTGGCTCCCGCTGGTATCGAGTAGAAATCACTTTACAACGAGCCAAATCGAAGAATTCACACGGGAAAGTTGGCGTATAGCAAGAAAAGATATGCTAAAAGTTGTCAACCGCATATCGTATCGATCTGCCCTCACGTTGTATCTTTTTGCTCAGACCCCCATACCTGTAGGAATCTCCGAGGATGAAGAGCTGGACGGTATCAGCGGATTAGTATGTATCCAAACCGCTCTACTGCAAATACAGCGGCTCAGGGAGCGACAACGAAGCCATCAATTCCACGCATCAGAGGTGTCAGCTTGGACTGATATATTAGCTAGCTCATCTAATCTCACTTTTACGGAAGCATACCTGGACTTTGAGAGCCGGGCTTATTGGGCAGCGGTGGTTTGGGACACATCAAACTCCTTGACCTTGAATCTTAGAACATCGTTAACATCCGGACTGAATGGAGCATGTTCGGAGCCTGCGTGGCGCCTAGTTAGGACGTTCTTACTGGGGTCTTGCCATACCAGAACGGATCACTGGCGTAGCAGTGGCTTTGATATTTCCGACGACATAGCTTCTCAGATTATTGCTGCGGCGGCTATCAGTATGCTATATATCTGGAAGAATATCACATCATTGAAGGAAGCACTGAGAGAAGGAGTAGAGGAAGAAACAGTTTCGTTTGTATGGAATGCATTTATAGATGCTTCTAACATCTTCAAAACTTCAATTCGCCCCTTACTCAATAGCCTTGAGAGGCGGCTTCACTTCTTGAGCCAATTGAGCCGACTGGCCTGGTATGAGGTCAATCTACAGTATAATTTGGGTATATTGATACTCTGCAATTCACTTGTTTTGGCGGATCGATCAGATCTTTTATCACAAATAACCGAACTAAGACGCGATGCCGAACACGAATCCTTCAATAATCTTAAGTTTGGCTTAGATAACACCTATACTATATCCCGACATAGTCATGAATTGGACATGGCGAGCCCTAGTAGGGATAATTTCCCCGAAGATCAAATAGCAGTGTCGCTTATAGCTCTTGATCCGTACCCTAATCGCGTTATTGACTCTGTGCTGCTGATGAGCAAAGTCATCAGCAGTGAGTACCGACAAGGCAAGATGAAGCATGAAAACTACTCTTATCTTTCGTCGATATTGTCCAAAACCCTAGAAGAGTTACCTCGGAATGCCAAGACTGTTCAAGCTGCTAAAGAGAATTTAAAACAGTCATTTCACAAGATTGATGAGGCAGCTGAGGCGTAACAGTCTTATTATCATACACATAGGTAGCACTGAAGTAAATATCTATCAGGTAACATTAAAATTTCAACAACTTATATACAGTGGTTATATATAGCAACTTGAGTTACTAAATGCTGCTTTATGGCAGTTGGTTTTCTGCAGCTAGTTATATTACCAAAGTGTCACTATCAAGATAATATGTTATTAACTTGCATGAATAATTCATGTTCGCTAAAAGATAGAAATCCGTTGTAGCTTCCTGCTGTTAGGATCATTCACATTTCTTTAAGCATAACGTAATGCTACGCGACGCGTAATAATAGATCAGGCACCCTCGCGACTTAAACCCTCAGGTACCCAAAGGTAGGATCGCAATATCTTTAACTCCCCATGGCAACTACGGAACACGCGCTAGCACCTGAAATAAAAGGTGAATAAACAATCGGCCAATCATTCAAATAATCACCGGGCACTCGCGCACATAAATAGTTGTGGCCGGTTCTGCCTTTTCCCCCCTTTTCTCCTTTCCCACCCACCTACAAACAAACCAAATAAATAAAAGACAACAGCAAAATCACAACTACTTTTTTCGTTTCAGCATGAATATAAATGCGCTTTTAAAGACAATATCATATACTTTATTAACTACTTTAATTATCCCTTTTTTCTTACAAATTACTCCTCTCTTTTCAACAACAATACAGAACCGTCACTTCTGCTGCTGCTGTCATAATGGTACAGCAACCAATACAGGTATGTATACTGGTACGACTGCATTTATATGAACTGTTTTCCTGGGTTGGAGAATTAACTAATGCCCCATCAGATTATTAATTATCTACACCTGGGGTTGGCTACAGACAGCAGTGCCAAAGGCGCGTTACTGTTAAAGTCAAAGGAGGTATATATTATCTCTATTATTCAGCTAAATCCTAACTACTTAAAGTCAATGTGTTATCCATTGCACTCCTCTACAGGATAGAAAATTACGTTGCGTGTTATAACTGAACGGCTTTATTTTTTCTTGCGGGTTTTGCATATGTTTACTGACTTGTTTACAAGGGAATAATAGCTTCACCAAATAAACAAGCACCTATCCTAAAGAAGGTCAATATTCGACCATTACACGCCCCATACACCGAAGATCCTAACGTACGGTCTCAGACGCCATAGTTTAGAACGAAGAGACTTTTCAACACTTTTAAAGGGAATTCAGTCACTCCAATTCTACATTGCGTATGTACAACAAAGACAAAAGTCCCCATCACAATTTCCTATGCATGTTCCTGCCGAATTTATGGCTCCCAAGCCACCCCGTCCTTGTTGTACATCACAGGGTTCTAAACTACAACACGAAAGATTATTACGACATGTATGGGAAGCCTCGGATAAGATTAAAGAAAAGAAAAGTAACCATAAAATTTCGAAAAATATCTGCTTTACATCTCAACCTCTAAATCCGAACAGAATGCATCAATCGGAAAATTCCTATCCTCGTCTACAACCACAACTACGTCTGCGACCAAACAACCTTCGTCTGCAACAAAACAGCGATCGTCTGCTAAAATATCTTCGCCTATGACTAAACAAGCACCAATGGCAATTCCCGAAAATATAGTAGAAAAGTTAGCAAGGCGAAAGAAAAAGCTTACGTCGGACGACAACAAAAACGCAAATAGGCCAATCAAGTATAAGCGTTTCCGTTAGAAGAAACGAAGACGTTCTTAACTCTTTTTTGGGGAGGGGGTAATGACAGGAACAATAACGTGTATATTAGTCATACTAATATTAGCTTAGTCTAGACCTAGTCTAGATATGAAGATCTCTTAGCAGACGCTAGTCTGCTAGAGAATCTTCTACGAATCAACTTCTTTCTGATCTCATTCAAGGCCTACCATCTGGTAGCAGACAGAACACACCCGAAAAGACACATACCACACAATACAGGACTTTCTACCTAATCTCCCTATTGCATTACTTAAAATTAAGCAACGAGAAGATTCAACTCTTGATAATACCTACAGCGCCCCAAATTCAGGCGCTTGCTGTTTGGCCTTCGAAATTCACCAAGACAAAATGAAACACGTTCAAATTTGTCAGAGTTTGGGTATAAGCCTCGTGTTTCCCCGAAACTGCTGTTAATGATGTTGCTATGGACCAGGACCTCGAACCCGGTGGCTCGTCTCAGCACGTCGCCCCAAACCAGCCTCCCGCTAGCGCTGAAAACACCAAACTACAAAGCCTCATCCAGCCCGAAGATAACGAAGATGCAAGATGAATCATCTTATATATTGATGACAGACACAATAAAGCGGTGATTCTATAGCTTTCTCAGTTATCACAAAGTGTCCATTCCGATATTGCCACAAGGTCTGCAACGAAAAGAAAGCAGAGCTTAGTAACGGAGAGGGAGTCACAATGAAGCAGGTTGAAATAATGGTTGCGGGTCATTATAGAATACTTTACCTACGTAAAGAGCTAGTATATCTAATTGTATAATGCGCAAACGTAAATGGTTCTGTGTCCTATGGTCTAAATATCTCCATTATATTTCCTAAAAAGTATAATCCCAAGAATAAATCGACCCTTCAGCTAGGCTTAGTATTTCCATGAGATATAATAAATGTCATAGGCCACCTCATTCCCTCCAGACGAGTATCCCATTAGCATATAAACCTGTGATTATTCCGACTTTCTTCTTGGAGTCGAACACCGCTGTAGAACTAGTAGGATACTCGTCGCTGAAGTAAATATGCTCAACACCTCCCGACTCAGTCCATTTAGAGACCCCGGAAAATGCCTGGGCCGTTCTACAGTACTCCTGGAGTGAGGGATCTGCGGCAGCCAGTATCTCGGGCGAGCCGCAATCGTGGCGGGAAAAGGCATACTTACTTAGCGTCGGGGGATGGGGATGACCGGCAGCAAATAGGGTTCCATTTTCCGAGATTTGAATGTTGTCAACCCAAAAAGGGAACTTGACTTTCGATTTATAAGTAAGTATAGGCGAAGTCGCGTTGATTGACTTCGGTTTCGTCATAGTGTAAAAATATACTGCCGTGCTGGTAGTTGAGGCTATGGCCACAGTAGTTTCATTTACGATCTCGATACCGTTGGGGAAAGGGAGACGAGCAACGACATTGACTTTGGCAGGCGTAGCGGGATCCTCTAAAAGGGGTGATATGTCGACGTGTAAGACAGTAGCGAGAGGGAGACCTAGGAGGGTCTCCACTGTGGAAAGGAAGCGAGAATGTTCCATGAGGAAGTGGTGGTCGTTCGTAACAAGAAACTCGTGGCTGTTAAGGAGAGCTATAGAGTTCGGGCTACGGAAAAGAGGATGCTGAATCGTTCGGAAATGCCTGGCCGTGAATGCACCAAAATCTAGCTTAAACAACTCAATGGTTCTACCCTCTTTACGATGGTTTGTAACAAAGAGAGTAGAAGTTTCTTCGTCATACGCTATACCCAACGTATGAAAATCCGCACCAGGTTCGTATCCCAGGATTTCAAAACGAGTCAATGACTCAGAGTCGGAGGTGCCGGCATTGCCATAGTTGTAGGCATATATCTCGGCATTGGGTATAGACCCAGGAATGAAGACGCCCTGTTGAAGCTAAGAATGTGTGGGCCAAATGAGTGGTTTCAAGCTCTCTCATATAAGATCCATATTGAGGTTGAGAAGCATATTATGCATAAATTGAATAACAAGACTTACCATTACTGTATTCCAGACCTCCCGCCCAGGGTCACAAGCAACAATAGCGAGGCCTTTGGATTCTACAAGTAGGACATCTTCGCAGCTTTTAATAGTGTCCGAAAATTTCACCTCAGGCGATTGGAGGTTATTTATATCCAAAAACCGCTCCGGCGCATTGTTGTACATCAACAATAACTTCTGTGCTAAGTCATAGAGGCTTGGCGATAGCGCCGCTAGAACTATAACCAACTATGACAGGTTAGCCTTCTGGAAGGGTCTAATAGGGAATAGAGGCTCTACTTACAATTGCTGTCTTAAAAGCCATTATACCTTGGTGCCCGGGAAACTGCGGTGTAGAAGGCATGAAAATGCAATGTTTTAGCTTAGAAACGATGGAAAGTTAAATACTAAACTTGCGCTTATGTGAAGGATCAGCTCGCATGCAAAAGGCGCCAGTGCGTAAAAGACTAGCTGGGATTGGGTTACTATCCCGGAATTTCAGCACTTAGTCTCCACGTAACCATAGGTAATGATTGGGATTAGTAAATACCCACAGATCGTGAAATCCTATGAATCCTTCATATGACTCATTATTCACATATTAGGTATATATTAGCCAGAGGAGATAAGTACATACGCAAATAATGGATATCTACAGTTGAATAAAATCAATTCCGCGGGGAAAAGTTGCATTATATTCCATTCATATGCTGATAAATATGAAAAAAGGGGATGATATAGTCAGTGTAACAACAAAATAAACTACACAGTCACAACATCCGAGACGCATATACTGTACCGGACGTACAACAATGACAGGGAGTTGTTTGCAAACGGAAAAGTCTACTAGTAAATAAATGGTCAATTGTTCAGCAGTGTATCATCGCTACTTACAACATTACCTAGGTACGTAACAAACAATCAAATGATTCATTTAGGTAGCTAAAACTTTTCCAACTCATCATCCGGGATTGATAATACGATCTTAATTATGTCGGAATAACGAAATGGGAGATACCTAGTCTTTTGATTATCTATATTTAGATACAAGACATGATGTCTTTGTGTGAAATGCATATAACCAGCATCTCACCTGTGACGTTTAATTTTGCTTTCATTTCCGGATTCCGCCTACCCCGGATTTGCACCGGCGACCCACTTTCGCCCGGATCTAAACGGCCTCATAATTTTAAACGAAGCTCGGGAGGCGGCGGCGAGCCTGTTAGGTGCTAAGGTAGATATCTCATTTTACAACATGTTAATAAGTTAGTAACTCCTTAAGTAAGCAATCTTCTATTAAGTCTACGAGAAATGCTACGTATAATTAGAAGTCAAAATCAATATCTTTCTAAATCTTGGTCACTGGAGCGTTGCCCTTTAATAACCATACCTATAAGTTAAGCCAACCGCAGTGTTGGGATCTAAGATGAGACATGTAAAACGAAGAATGCTTTTAGTATGCATATTCACGGACTCCTATGGCTTATTTTAGAGTTAGAGCTCCTCGTGGAATAATGAAGTTGTTTCCATGCCTTCCGGGTCATCTCGTTATTTATGGCTTATTCGAGGCTTATAAACTAGCAACGCAATGCGAAGCGGTGTAGCTACCCTTAATACTCTTGGAGCTAGACAAGCTCAAGCCCAAGGCCACGCTCTGGCGTTTATCTCTGGGACATGTTCTACCATTATAGCATAATTGATTTGCTAACTACTAATGAGAACTACTAGTGTCGATGGCTTTGCGCAGTATGCCAACTGCAATACTCAAACTATATTCAAATTCACCCAAGTAACAAGATTGACATGACTGCCGTACTTGTTTAAAGACAATTATCTGATAGCATTGTAACCATATAAGGTCTAGAAGACCTAGATAATTTATAGCACTTGCTTCAGCTTTGACGGAGACTGAACAAATTTAATTTAACTACATATGATTTAAAAATACGGACAAACTAACGAGGCCAAAAACATTTTGGTATCTATTATAATTAATTCACCATATAGTATATAAGAAAGAGGTTTTTTTTTCAGCTTAATGAGAATTTCTTCGAACCTAGGTACCCTCTTCAGATACTGTGAGCGACGACAGAAGCTTAACAAGGCAGCTATTGGAACTAACAATTCTTTTTGCCACCTTAAAAAATCTAAAGCGTGCCTTATATGCCCGACCACTACGTCTACAAACGTGGGCGCGCCTTATTCTTCTCTTGACTTCGATAGCATGCGATATAGTCATAAAAAGGCGCGGCGGTCCTACAAGCCAGATTGATTTCGGCCGGGAGGAGGGATTTAAAACACTAAGCGCCTGGTACTAGAAGCCGTGGCGGGTCCGGGTGCGTAAAACATCGCATACTATGCTATTAGACTCTTAGAAGATGACGAAGATGTAGTTAATATAGGCAATATAGGAGTGAGTGGTAAAGGAAAGGAGGATCTCCTCGATAAGGCTGTCATCGTCTACAAAGACTTCAGATAGGTGCATGACTTCCGAGACTTAAAGTTTAAATGGCCCGGTGTACGAATAAATTCTTAAACAAAAGGTATTAAGGTAACACGGCGTGAAGGCTATATCCAAGCTTACTAAATAGTATACCTATCCGTTGGTGGACAGAATATAAATGCGGGGCCCACAGCACGGGGGCGGGGTCGAGTGGGGGCCGAAAGTGGGGTCAGAGCCCGGAGGGACTGTAAAAATGCCGCCATACTCGGTTATCATGTTTCAAAAGGCGAATCGAGCGTTCATACGTGCGTATCTTGAAGAATATCACCTCCGAGGTAAAGGTTTATTATTAAATGGTGTGCTATAGAGGGGGCTACAGGATTAACATCTCTACTATTATATCATAAGGAAGGCCGCGTACTAAGTATCATCTCAAATCACTAAATATAAAACATCTACGTCCGCGCCGTTCAAGAGATCGCCCCCCTTCGCTTGCTATGGAATACTACTCTTTCTTAAATATAACAGATGTTCTCCCCAACAGTTGTATTCATGGAGAGACTTCTAATAATTCCGACAGGCATCGACTTGGCTTAGCTACCTATGACTGTTTACCGTAAACAAGTGTCAATGTACTTTGTTAAACCTAATCAACTTGTATGATTCCTCTTTCTATAGAACGCGAAGTACTAATAAGGTAAATATGCTGTGGATATTTTTATTTAAAGCAATAAATATATTCATGCTTTAAAACTTCATATCTTTACTATTACCGTAATGAGTATGTACGAAAAAGGGTAAACTGTCATGCGTTAAGGGTGTTAGAAAACCAAGTGTCAGATCATGTAGTAATCCCAACAAAGGTTTACCCGTACAACTGCCATTTAACACTATTACATGTCACATGATATAAGGGGTACCGTATATTTCTATGCGCAACGCGCCGGAGCCTAAGAACCTACGTAAGACAATAAGTTAAGTGAATTCATGAGACTATCCGCAAGTCCAGGGGTTTGAAGCTAGCCTTAATTTTGCCGTTTATGTTAGCGCTTCATCTTAGTGACGTAAGTTGAGCCTCTTACAAATAGGGGAAAAGATCAGAAGTGGACTGTGCGCCAAGTCGCATAAAATCCAAGAAAAGGAGATATCTTAAAAGGCTTTGATGTTCGGTCCGGCCCGCGGTTAATCTAGGCAATGAAAGCCCGCGAATATTACATTTTTTCCCGTGTCTTATAAAATGTGTGCTAAAGACGCGTTCTCAATGGTTGGCAGATGTGCGTCCATGCATAGTGAGCATTGCTGTAACCAACACTAGAACTTGGGCGGTAAACAGGACTAACCAACCATCTACGTAGTATCCATTGTAACCTCCCGAACTCCACTTTCGAGGTCAGTATATTTGAGATGTTGGAGTAAAGAGCTAACTTCCAATTTTAAAAGGTACTTTATTATGTTTGAACTTACCATTGGGCGAGATATTGCCGATTTCACCGGCCAAAATGTATGATACCTATGCTCCTTTAAATTTACTTTGGTACTTAGCATAATGATGCATGAAGAACAAAGGTACGGAATCAAATAGGACTATCAATACCCAACCATCAAATTTTCTAAATTCCACTCTCGTTAAAGTACCAGATAATATGTATGGGGAGGATACGATTTGTCGAGAGTTAGCATACTGAGATAGATGCCTACCTAACCTCCCTAGGAGGTAGTGTTGGATACTTGGATGTAACCCAAGGTTTATATCTGTACTACTAGTATGCACCCTCACCACTGATTGATGGTACAACTGTGTTGGTAACCAACATATACTAAGCACTCCAATCCCAGTCTAACGCCCCAGGTTTATATTTTCGGGACATACCCAATCATCAAATGTTATTTTTAAGCAAGACTCACCTCCTACATCTTCTCCTTTCCACTTTTGTTTGAAGATATTATCTTATTGTATACCCTATTCACAAGCTCAAGATGTCAGATCTTGACTTTTCTCATTTATCACCTACCAATCTTGAGATTGCCCTGGATAGTCCCGCCCTTACGCCACCGGACGGTGTTAATCCGAACTTCGAACACCCAGTGAATAAGAACACCGTCTCTCTAGTTGCAATATTTATCTGCTTGGTGGTAGGATCAACCTTCCTGGGTGTTGGAATGTACATGAAATTTTTTAAGATGAGACAGCAACATATTGGAGACTGTGAGTCCCGTCAACTTGTAGGGCTGGGCGACGCTAATTAAGAACCGACAGATTTAATGATTTTAGCATACGTGAGATCGGAACGAATCCTCTATTTGTTGCTGAGCAAAATTGACTAGATTGTAGCCATTTTGGGTGATTACAGCCGTGGGGTCCCTGCGTCGGATATTTGGAGCTACGGGAATCTTTATACATCAGTGGGATTTTCGCGGAAGGGATATAGCTGAATATATCAAGGTATGCTTCGATGTATGCGGTTTATACTATATACTAAAGGCTCTTAGGTCGTCTTTATGGGTATGTGCTTCTGGGCTGCCGGCACCGCGCTGATGAAGTCGGCCATCCTTCTTGAATGGATGCACATATTCTCTGCCGCAAATACACGGACCATTTTCCATCGGAGTTGCAAAATCTTGCTTATATTTACTCCTTTATTTTACGCCTCCCTTATAATTGCCCTAAATTTATCTTGCACCCCTTATCGAAGGATCTGGGATAAAACTGTGCCGGGAACCTGCATCGACCTAAAGGCCATCAATGTTGCTGCCACTGCCACTAACATCGTACTCGACATCGCCATTTTGATATTACCACAAAGGATCATCTGGAAATTGAAAATGTCGAACGCTAAAAAGTTTGGCCTTTCTGCAGTTTTCGCCGTTGGTATCTTGTGGGTTCGGAGCACTCGAGCTTCACGAAGTTAGGCATGCTAATAGAGTAAAACAACACAGTGCCTGTATTGCCGCGATATGCCTTTTCGCGTCCATGATTAATTGGGTCGAGTCAAATGACTTAACCTATCATTACTCCGCAGTGGCGCTTTGGGCCGTTGCTGAATCGACATGCGGTACAATGATATTCTGCGCACCCGTGATACCAAAGCTATTTCGGGGCTTTAAACTCAAGTGGGCTTCTGCAGTTATCCCCTGGGCGAGCTCGCATGTCTCCTACTGGGTTAGACGCCCTGCAAGAAAGAGTGAAGACATATGGACGCCTGCAGGGCTCGGATCAGATACCCGCCAATACCGCCACATTGACGAGTCAAACTCCACGGGTTTAGGCAGATTTGAGACTGCCAGGCCTACAGATCAGCAATACGGAATCGTCTGCACCACTGACATTCGGGTAACAGAAAGTCGTGATGAGGATTTTCTAACAGACCAACAGGGTAAACAGAGGCCATGGCTTCCCAGCATTAAGGAGAATCGAGTATAATGAGAAAATACGCCTTGATCCTCATGTTACTCTAAAAGAATGCTTTGAGATTTAATAGGCTTTATGTGGTTTTTAGAGTTGTACTGAGTAGATCTTTAGGAGATATCCTTCGCATTCATGTCATATCCCAATCACTTAATATCATATCTTACCAAGTTTGGATCTGAAAGTGATGCGTATCAGAAGTCTCTATCGTAGAGTTACTAGTCCCGTAACCATGGTAAACTATTGATTTTGTGCTTGATCGTGCTATTAGCCTCCTGAGCCAAACTCGTCACCATGGCTGTTGAATATAGTAGATCATGGGATAAACGTATGAGTTATGTAGGTACCTCGTATTTTAAAGTAACACTCTGCAAGAAGTAAATTTCATTATCAATGTGTCATAGTTAGCCCCTAAACGAAGGTCTTCCCTGACGTAAATGCCCCCAAACACTTTTCCAAATGCCAGGTAGTAATCATTGACAGCAATCTGTTTTACTAGTAGACGAGAGATCATATTAATAATAACAATGGGGGCTATATACCGGGAGAAAAGGTAGGAAACGCACTCCCGGGGACCCTATTTTGGAAATCTACAACAAAACATCCTTTTCAACACTAAATTCATCATGTTCGATAAGGTCAGACTTAAACCCCATAGGATTTTGACATATAACAACTCATGTGATGGAGAAAAAATCATTGATCCTCCTAGAAAACACCAAAATGCAGTATTATATGCAGGTATATACACATGTAAATGATAACCGTGTAACACAAAAGCCTACCTATGGTTGCAGTCATTTATGCATATGGAGTACTACAGTTGTAATATGACATGGACGATGTGACATTGCTATTACTGGCCTGTCCTTCCTACTGCCAGAGGCCGACTCTACGGAATCGTTCTGGGACCTATTGATGTCTGGTAAATGTGTAGCCTCCGAGTTTCCTCCGGGACGTCTTTGTAGTTTTAGACATCACGATGGCGGCAATGATGGGACAGGAACCGTAAGTGGCGCATTATTTTTACACCCCTATCATGTTTAATATTGGTCACATATTTGACCCCTGATATAACATGATGCAAGGGACTCTCGGCATGGTAACCCTCATGCAGATTCGGCCCCAGAAAGCCTCGTTTATACGAAGAGACATTAGTTTATTCGTTGCTCGATTCTTTATGATGACGTCTGAGGAAGCAGCAGCAATAGACCCCCAGCAAAGAGTACTTCTAAAAATTACTTACCGTGCTCTCTAGAATGGTATGATACATCTATACATAATACTCTAGTATCTAACTGTTCCAACCCCATCCCGTATCACTATCGTATAGCTGACATTAGGGTTTAGCCGGTATCCCGATGGGGATCGTCAACGGCTCGGATACCTCCGTATACACCGGATGTTTTACCGCAGACTACGCTTTGAACTGGGCAAAGGACCCGGATAACTTGCCCAAATATGATACTACTTGAATAGCGGGTAGTATGTTATCCAATAGGATTAGCACATTTTTCGACTTAACTGGCCCTAGCATTACTGTTGATACTGCTTGCTCAAGTAGCCTCGTAGCCTTAGATTTAGCCTGCCAATCTATAATAGATGGTCGATCGAAGATGGTCCGTATACCAATAATGCCATTTCTTTACATCGGACCACTTTCTCGCATTTGCTAACAGGTCTCTAGGGCATTGTTACTGGCTGCAACCTTTTATTGACAACTGATCTTTTCATAAGTCTTACTAACCTCGGTTTCCTATCCCCGGATGGTGTTTGCCACAGCTTCGATTCTCGAGCAAATGGATACGGCCGAGGCGAAGGGTTTGGTGTCCTGGTTATAAAGCCTGTAGACGCTGGTGTCCGGGATGGTGATCTAATTCGTGCTGTAATTCGGGCCGTAGGCACGAATCAAAACGGCCACACTAATCTTGCACAACCAAACAAGGAAATGCAAAGACAGCTTATACAGAATACTTATCATAAGGCAAACCTCGACATGTCCCAAACACGATACTTCGAAGCTCATGGCACCGGGACGGCTTCGGGTGATCCTTTAGAAGCAAGCGCAATTGGAGATGCATTTCGTTCAGGTAGAGATCCAAGCAATCCCTTGGTTGTGTAAGCCAGTTCTCTTCCCTTCCCCTGTCAACACCATTTAGACTAATGCCTTACTAAAGGGGCTCCATGTCACGAGAAAGCTTTGATCTAAACCAACCCTTGCATAACTACGGGGTAGATTCCCTCATCGCTGTAGAGCTACGGAACTGGTTCATTAAAACGCTCAAAGTCGACCTGGCTGTCTTTGAAATCTTAGGTGGTGCTACAGCTATGATGTTAGGACAAGCGGCGGCGGAGAAGATGCGATCATGGACTTGAACCGCAGGGTGCTAATAAGAAGGATGCTGCTCAAATGGTATTTCTTGACGTTTCATTCACCGTAACAGATCAGAAAGGCAAAGATTGTATTTATTACGTGTCTACCTACTAACAAGGATCTATATTCATCTGATAGACTGTTAGTTAGACTTTCAGGTGCCTACCACGTAGAGTGCCCGGCTTAATTCCAAGCAATCGCCTCTTCTAAGATTTATGCAGATATGAGGGGTGGCGGAAACGAAGCCTTTCTCAAACTCGTTCGCCGTACGCTTATTATTTCACAATGTGGATAGGATAATCAATAAGTATAGCCGGTTGAGAGCCACAATAAAACATCGGATGGCTAGCCGGTATCATGATGGATGCGATAACTCGCTGTTCAATTTCTTAGGGATATTCTAAACGTTACCCGAAGAAAACGAAGGGACAACCATAAACTCCAATGCTCAAGCCCGTGATTCTAATAGACCGTAACAGCGCTCACAAATCCATTCTTCAACACCTCAAAAACCATCCCAGGGAATCCGTACAGCGTAGTTGTAGAATCTTCGTTTCCGTCGAACTTCTTCGCTGCTACTCCTCCACTACTATCTTCCCAACCCCCTAAAAACTCACAACTGCTCCCAGGACTATCTCCCCATCCCCGATTTAGGACCATACCTCGTTGGCGCCTCTTGGCATCCTCCTCGGACGGGTATGTGCTCTTCCACTCTTTCCTTAGCCGCTCTTCAATCTCATCGAACGGCGTTTCGGAGTCTACGACGTCATCTGCGTTCTCCGTCGCGAGATACTGAATTTCCCAACGACAACGGCGATGCCTGTTGAATGGGTACGATCCAGGCACGTTTGCGTGGAGTACCATTTTGGTGGCCACTAACCGATCTGCTGTAGCGCTCTTGAACGAGTTCGCTCCGGGCACCTCCTTCGCTTTCAACGCGGCGACTTGGGATGGAGGTGTACGCGAAGGGGGTTGAGGTGGCGATACCAGGATATCAAATCCTAGATAGAAATAATTGTAAAAGCATTCGCCTGATACGTTACCCACGATCTCATCTTCGATAGCCTCGTCTTCAGAGTCATCCGACCCGGTGTGTGCCGAAGATTGATCAGTATCGGTCAGATCATCTGGACGCCTATATTCACCGCCGTTCGATCTAGATCGGCTATGACTTGCGGTACGAGTCTTGTGGATATACATCCTCTGGTCATTCTTCCGATATATAGCATCGGGTGGTCCCAGCTCTGCTACCAGGTCCTGGGGTGTGGTCTCCCCCAAATTAATCCATACTGACATGTTAGTCCATTTCCTGAACAACTGAAGCCTACCACCGCCATGTATCTTGACTAGGGAGACTTCATCAGGAACGACCTCTTTACTCTTATTAAACACAAACGCCGACTTGACGCTTGGGAGAATCTCATCCCACAGAGTCTCACGCGCATGAGCCCAGGACTTCCCACTAAATATCGCGACGGAAATAGCCGTCTGGCTTACAGGTGAAGACAGCAAAGAGACAACATCTTTATTCGGAGAGTAAGCCGACTTCGGCAAGGGAAAACTGAATGCTACCCCAGGATAAGATAGTATATAGGTGCCCATGGCATTGCTGTGACCCGAGTCCGTAGGAGGGATATATTCTCCAGCATACGTTGGACCAAATAGGCGGTGGTAGATGTTCTTAAATGCCGGACCGGCTGTGGCATCTCCACCTAACCTAGGAGATCCCACTCCTTGGGAAGTTACGGGTTTAGCGATGTCCTTGTCCTGATAGGTGATACGATTTTTGGTAAAGTCGATAATCTCGATGAGGCGAAGCCGCTGCTCGGGACCATCGAATCGCAAGCGTATACCGTTTGCGGGAAGGCTAACGGTGACGGGTTCACCAACAGGATCGGTGGCAGAGTAGGCAAGATCTAGTTTGGGGTAGCGCTGCGGTTCGGCCTTTAGCCGCGTAAGGATATCGTGGAGCGAAGCACCGAGCACTGAAGAAGACATATGTAATTAGCACCTTCATCACTTTATCAATGACAATGTACGATATCAACTAGATTAGATACTTACCGAGAAAACCTAGGCCAACACTAGGGTGAAGAGCTGCGGTAAAGAGCGACGACATGTTTAAGTTGAATCTAATGGTGCCCAGTGATAAAATGTGTTAGGAAATCCGATGCAATATCAGCTACTAGACTCAAGTCAAGTAAATGAGCACGTCAACTTGGCTCTAGGTAAATCCATAAAGAGCAGAGTCGATATTGTCAAGACGTATATGATGATTACATGTATGATAGATGTATGGTTGCCTTAAATCAAGCCGCTCGGCTCGAAAGACTACAGGCGCAAAGGGGAGAGAATTGTCAGATGCAGAAGATGGAAAGATGGAAAGATGGATCGGATGCGCTGGGGACGTCATTTGATAGGGATTTGTACATGGTACAAATGCATAGGTCAGGCACGCTGCACATGTGTACGCCTATGAGGTAGCAGGTAGCATTAGCCTTGCATTACCTCAGCTGCTACACTACATGTTGGTGGGCTTAGGTAACTCTATCCGGCATTATCTCAGGTGACCTCAGACCCGATATTTTCGAGGCGGGCTTCGCCCGCCTGCTTTGCCACAGGCGCCACGCAACGCGTGGTCCGTGTGTTTGTACCTGTGGGTCATAAGCAAAGCATTCGAAAATATTTGGTCTAAAGCTGTATAGCGCTGCAAGGGTTTTTAACGGTTTTATTGGTGATAAAAAAATCAAACATTATATTTACAATAATTTAATATACCATAATAACGTACGAAATAGTTTTAATTTTAATAATTTAAAGTTAATAATATATTTAATTTATTTTTTTAACTTTTTTACATATTTATATAATATTACATTTTTATATATTAAATTTTAACGTTTAAAAATCTTTAACGTTTTAATTATTTAAACTTTATATAAAATATTTAAATATAATAATTTAATATTTTATAACCACGTATAAAATCCTTTTTTTTTTAACAATTTAAAGTTAATAATATTATTTTTTAAACTTTTTAACTTTTTTTACATATTTATACGGTTTTATATACCAGGTTTTAACGTTTATTACAGCTTTAATTATTTTAATAATTTAAACTAAAATTTAAAAAACAGGTTTCGTTTATTAACTTACGCCACACGCGTTATATAAACGCATGGTTAATATGTTTATATTTGTAAATCACAAATTAAATATTTTTCGAATTTTAATTTAAATTAATTTAAACGTTAAAACTATAAAAATGGTATAATTTTTTTAAAAATATTATATTTATAATAATTTAATATTTAATAATAACATATAAAATAACTTTTATTTTTATAATTTAAAACTAATATTTTATTTTTTTTACTTTTTTATTTTTTTTATATATTTATACGATATTACGTTATAATATCGTAAGTTTTAACGTTTAACATAAAAATAATATTACAATAAATAATATACCGTAATTAACATTAATAAAACCTATAATAACGTTTATAACAACGTTTATAACATTTATAACCATATATAAAATACTTTAAAAGTTATTTTTTAATTATTTAAACTTTTCCGGTTTTTTTTTATACTCGTACAACTTTATTACATATTATAGCTATTAAATTACAATTATTACATTATAACCAATATTATAACTAATATTAACCATTTTTATTAACATTATAATAACATTTATAACACTCGTAACCATATATAAAATAATATATTTTATATTTAAAGTTAATAATTTAATTACTTTAATATTTTTGTTTTTTTTTTATACCCGTATAATTTTATTACATATTACAGTTATTAAATTACAGTTATTACGTTATAACCAATATTATAACCGGTATTACGGCCATTTTTAACACTTTTAAAAAGTTTAAAACGTATAAATTTAATCGATAAACTTAATAAAAAAGTTAATAATTATTATATAATTAATTATTATTTATTTTAAATACGTTAATAATTAATATTATTTTAATAAATATTTATTTAAAAGTAAAAATAATTAAATTAACTTAAATTAATAATGTAAAATTTTTTTTAAAAGTAAATTAAAAGTATAATTAGTTAAAAATTAGTATGGCTAAAAAGGGTACAACAAAATAAACAAAAAAAATTTCGCATTACTGGTTTGAGCTATTGAGATAAGGCTTTAACGTTTGTTGCGGCTATTGTTGCGACCGGTGTTGTAACCGGTGTTGCGACTAACGCGTTGCGACTAACGCGTTGCGACTAACGCGTTGCGACCGTTGTTGTGGCCATTTTTAATACCTTAAAAGACTTAAAACGCGTAGATTTAATCGATAGACCTGATAATGAGATTAGTACGATTGTATAATCAATTAAACTTACTATAAAAGCGCGTTAATACTATTATTTTGATGATGTTGTTTTGATGATCTCGTTAATGTTGTTGTTTTAAAACGTTAGACGTATAATTTTGGTGTGCGGGGTCCCAGACCTGCCTTAGACCACAGATTCGAGATTGTTTTGGGGGGTTGTTCCGGGGTTTGATTGGTTAAAAAAGAGTGTGGCTAGGGGAGGTACAACCTCACGAACGATCTCGAATTTGTGGTCTGAGTTTACTGAGATAAATCCGGCATCTAAATTGCCAAAGTTCTCTCTTCCTACCCCGCCCAACACTTAGGTACCTAGCTTATCTAAGCTCTATCAGTGGAGCCATGATTGTTGTCCCAGCAACAAGGTGTACATTCTAGGTTAACGTATTGATATTTTTAGTGGTCCTCTCAACAACATTAGCGGAAAGCACAGACTTCGCAGAATACAACATCGTGTCGCGTCTCTCTTCCTTGCACAATTATTGACCAAACCCAACTTCTACATATGTACAAACCCTATACGTCCCACCGTACACCTTATCCTCCTACTAAGCTGAAGATCTTATTCTGTCACACAAGTTCTATTTCGCTAGCAAATTAGTCAATTCTTCAATATCCCCCATGAGCTATCCTCTTCTCTTGTCTAATTCCCTACCTCGCCTTGCTCTGCGTTAACGCACCTCAACCTTATTTGTTAGCTTAAAGTACCAGCTTATATCCAATATCCCACTAAATCAAATTACGACAGACAGCCGCGATGCAGGGCCGCTCTTATAGGAGCGAAAGGCCCCCTACGGCTTCTAGCACCCGCCCTGGTACCTCTGCTTCTGCTTCTGCCCGTTCTGGTACTTCTGCTTCTGCTGCCCGCTCCGGTATTCGACCACCTACGAATAGAACTCCGTCACTTCGAAACCAGGCTCTTCATCATCATGCTGCCGTTGCTGGAAGAATTCCCAGGAATGCAGCACCTTCGCCAGCCGACTCGCTATCGTCTGCTGCCACCTTAGGTGCTAAACGTAAGGAGCGCGATTACGAGATAGAGGCAGGCGCAGAGACAAATATCGATGTCGTTGTTAGATGCCGAGGACGTAACGACCGAGAAGTACGAGAGAACAGTGCCGTCGTGGTCTCAACCGAGGGCGTGAAGGGTAAATTGGTCGAATTATCTATGGGTCCAAGTGCCTTGAGCAATAAGACCTACAATTTTGATCGTGTCTTCTCCCAAGCCGCCGATCAGAGCGTGTTATACGATGATGTCGTCAAGCCCATACTCGAAGAGGTATTTTATGTGAACTGATAATCTGTTCAAATACCCAGCTAACTCGTACCCAGATGCTTGGCGGATACAATTGCACTATATTTGCCTATGGCCAAACCGGTACTGGCAAAACATACACCATGTCTGGAGACATGAACACTACCTTAGGCCTCCTTTCCGACGATGCCGGAATTATTCCGCGAGTCTTACACTCGCTCTTCCACAAATTAGATGCGGAGAATACCGATAGCTTCGTCAAATGCTCCTTTATCGAGCTATACAACGAGGAACTTCGGGACTTGATCTCTGTCGAAGAAACTGCTAAACTAAAAATATTCGACGACGCGTCTCGAAGAGGTCACGCCACTACAGTTGTCCAGGGCATGCAGGAGACACACATCAAGAACGCTGCAGAAGGTATCAAACTCTTGCAAGATGGCAGTCTAAAGCGACAGGTAGCAGCCACTAAATGCAACGACCTGAGTAGTCGAAGCCATACAGTGTTTACCATTACAGCATGTGTCAAAGAAACTGAAGATGGTGCCGAGTACGTCAGTGCTGGAAAGTTGAATCTCGTGGATCTTGCCGGTAGCGAGAATATTCAGCGTTCCGGGGCCGAGAATAAGAGAGCTGCGGAGGCTGGTTTAATCAACAAAAGTTTGCTTACTCTCGGGCGCGTTATCAACGCGCTGGTTGACCACAGTTCACATATCCCCTATCGAGAATCCAAATTGACCAGACTACTACAAGACTCTCTAGGTGGCCGTACGAAGACCTGCATCATCGCCACTATCTCACCAGCAAAGAGCAACCTTGAAGAGACCATATCCACTCTCGACTATGCCTTCAGAGCGAAGAACATTCGAAATAAGCCCCAGACTAATCAGAGAATCAACAAAGAAACCCTTCTTAAAGAATTTACAAATGAGATTGAGCGACTACGAAGCGAGTTGATCGTGACCCGTCAACGAAATGGTGTCTATTTATCCAATGAGAATTACGAAGGAATGACTGCCGAGAGCGAATCTCGTAGAATCCGAAATGAGGAACAGGCCGCCAAGATTGAAACCCTCGAATCCAACCTACGAAATAAGGTCCAGGAGCTCCTCTCCTTGACTTCCAGTTTCATGGGCTTGAAGAAGGATCACGATGCTACTAAAGCCCAACTTGAAGAGACGAAGGGTGTTCTCGATCAAACCGAGTTGGTGCTGGAGGCAGCCCGCAAGAGTCTTGCCGAAGAAGCCCACCTACGTAAGGCACATCAGAAGACCGAAGAGCAGATGCAGATGATCGGTGGAGAGCTTATCACTACGATTCATAAGACTGTCAAAGACGTGGGTAGTCTACATGCCAAGAATAAAAGAAAATCGGATCTCCAATCTTTAAACCGGATGAATTGGAGGACAGCTCAAGGCGAAGTATCGGACGTGACTTCATTAGTAGAAGGTCGCGTGGAGGAATTTCGTAATGAGCAACAGCAACATATATCGAGTATTTCGGAGCGGATGCATTCGTTCGTACAGGGTGAACTACAAAAATTGTCCACCACACAATCATTCCTTGATCAGAACCTAGAGCTCTTCGCCCAATCTAAGAGAGAATTGATTGAACAGAAGGAAAAGTCTAAAGAAGAGATGGATGAAATACTCGAAGAGATCAAAGTAGTCCGGGACCACATCAAAGAAAAGGTGGGCGAGAGCCTTCAGGCTATCGCGACAGCAGCCGAACGAATATCCCAGGATGTCCTCAGCGAATTGGGTATTTTCCATAATCAGCTGCACACATCATATTCTTCGCTTGGTAAGGACTTTAAGTCAATATTCGAAGAGTTATTGAAACACATCACTTCCCAAAAGAATGAGTCCGACAGTCTCCGGGAGCAACTTCACCAGGCGAGCAACACGATCGTTCAGACGAACACTTCTATCTCGACGCAGCTACAAGAAGTCATCAACGAAGAGCGGAGACAAGCGGCTGAGGAACGACAGAATCTCCTAGCGCAGATCACAAACCTCATCAATTCCCAAGCTGAGATTCAGGAATCGCGTCTGGCAAACAAGGCTGTTTCTATTCAGCAGAGTGTGCAAGGCAATAGTACTGCGCTAGAAAGCAGCATGGCGCAATTTTCGCAGGGGATGGATAATTGGAACGAGAAAGAAACCAGACTTCTTGATGAAGTTGCCAATTCTCGGGAAACCTTGAAAACTAAGCTCAAGGACGATTGGACAGTAAGGCACCCCTTCAAGTTCTTCTACCTTCAACATTACTAACAGTATAACAGATTGCAAACATGCATAGCACTTCAATACAGGATACAACCAAATCAGTACATGCCGAGACGGTGCGAGTTGTCGACGAACAAATGAAAGATCTTCATGAGCAGATGACGTCCCTAGACGACTTCGTTTCTCGTGCCCGTTCGCAAAATGCCCTACATCACGATGATCACGCCGACTCAGTGGAGAGCTTATCTGGCACTGTCGAAAGTTCATACGGAAATATCGCCAACCATTTCAAGAGTACCTATTCCAGGGTCCAAACCCTTGGCTCAGAGATGGAGATTGATGTTATCAACGCGCAAAACTCTATGGAACCTCTTTCGGAAAGTCTTTGCCAGCCTCTGTCTGATCTTCGGGAAGACATAAACAGCACAGTACTCCAAGAATACCAACCGACTGGAGATACACCCCGGAAGACGACTTACGAATACCCTTCAGAGCTTCCATATACTAAGCCGCACGAAGCACTACTTCGAGAGTTAAATGGTGAGCCGTCACCCAGTAAAGCTAAGGTCTTTTCCGACTCGGACCCGAGTTTGTCAGAAAACCGATCTCCATCCAGACCTTTCTCGGATACCACGTTCCCACTGTCGGAACGCGATCAGAACCCTTTATCAATGAGTTTACGAGAGGTGCACCCAAATCTAAACCTTAACGCGACAGGCGCGATCAGTCTTGATGCCCGCGCCAACGCCTCAGTCCATAGGTTCGGAGCTAACGTCGGCCCAGGGGTGATGGACACGGTCGCGAACGCAGACGGAGATTTTACGATGCCCGTATTTAAGAAGAGCAGGACGACACGATCATCAAAAGTGAGTAAGCAGTCGATGCCTGCCGAAGGGCGCGAAAATATACCTCTCCTCTCATCAGTGGTGCCTGGAGGTGGTAGAGAGATCTTCGCGCAGAGTATCTCAAGAAGGAAGAGCCCAAGGCTGAACTAGAGAGCATGATTAGTAGGTGCTCTTGGGATTTAATCATTGGGTGGCGGATGGTCATTGCAAAAATTGCCGCGTCAATTTGGAAGTGACAGGCATTTGAATTATAGGAGTTAGGTGGCAGCAGCGAAGTGGGCGTGCGCATTTGTTTTCTGCGTTGCGGAAAGGGTCATGGCTTGATATATTCTCCTTGGAGCTTTCTCTCCTGTCTTGGTTCATCAACACGACTAGTATACTAGATACCCCTGACTCTTGATTGCCCCTATTTGAAATAGGAACAAGAATTATATGGTTTTTTTTTTCAACTACCTTAGGTGCTATACTCTTGTCTCACCTATGACTATTCCATTGACGTTAAAGTTTTCGCTACGCCCGACTATTCGTAAGACTATTCTTCGCCATGGCCTCGATCCATCTCGGCTTTTAAGAAGACGTCTTAGCACATTTAAAATTCTATCATCTCGTAGTTAAGATTCATCAGACTACTAATGACAGACTAATCATGAAGTCTAATAGATCCGACCAGTACTCTTGTTAATTCTTGCTGTCACTGTCGTCTCCTAAACCTAGGCACCTACTTACTCATAACTACCTCCTACTAAGGCAAAAACACGACCAATGTTCAAACTATTTTCAGAGTTTAGTCTCTCCTATCTCCGTACCCTTTCCCTCCAAATAAAAGTCGCCTTACCGTCCCTTTTTTCCCTCCCTCTAAAAATCGTCACACTTCTATCACCCTACCTCATTATCTATAGGACCATAATTATCCCTATATATAAACAGTATCCTCCAACAACTACCTTAGGCACCTAAGGTATTAATACAAAAATACCCATATTAATCCTGATCTCAGATCAAGTTCCTGACATCGCGTAACAATTCACAATCATACTGCGGCTAAGAGTCCAGACTTGATCGAAACATTTACGCTTCATTTCTCATCCATACCTTTCTACCACACGATACAACGCAAACGACGCGATTATCTTAGGCGACTCCTCCAGCAGCAATGGCCTCCATCCCACCGGTGGCTAACATGCCGAATCTACACTGGATTCCCCCTGTAACCTTTCCTCCTCGCTATCCGGACCCAGAGATAGCAAATCCCGGCTGTAATGAGATCGTAGTCTGTGTTGTATGCGGTGTTATATGCACCCCGACGGTAAGTCGCCTTAAATCCCAGTCAAAACATACAACAAGCACACCCTCATAAAACCACTTTGGTGTCATATCAAATGTTAACAATCTAAATATATTTCCTTTCACGAAAAAAAAGAAGGATTCTCTAATGTGGTTCTCTAGGTCCCAAGTGCGCTTTCCGAAGATTACGCACGACGTTGGATGCACCCGTGGCTCGTCAAGGCGAAACCGGGCTTTTTGGAACGGCGTGCAGATCCTCAAAACGCGAGAGAGTCTCGTTTTCAAGAGGTAAACCCGATCAGACTTCTTCAAGTTGTGAAATTCAGCGGCGGCGCGAGTGGTTTCGGTCTCAAAGGAGGAAAGTCGGTTGCAATCAACACCAACGACCCGGAGATGTATATCCCTATTCATTCCGTCTGCTTTGAACTAACTGAGATATTTTGCGAATTTCGGTCCAGCTGCGACTTCAACTTCAGAAAGTTCTCCCGGGGCAGAAATGAATATGGGATCCCCTGTCGCATGGATCTGTTCTACGAAATCTGGATGCAGCGCGCTCGGAGGGTCCGCCAGGAGAATAACGGGGTCCTCGAGCTCCCCATTAGCGAGCAAACAGACTACCTTGGTATTCTATACACGAGTCGTCTAGAAATATATAACGATTACATCAACCATTGCTGGCCGGCGATGCCCGTTCAACAAGCTGATCCCTCACCCAATGAAATGGCAACGACACTAGTCATCCTAAAGCGCTTGGTACTCCTCCATGAGCACTCTAGCAAGCCGGACCCGGCGTATCAAGCTATACGGCACGGGATGGAAAACCGTCTGCCCATCGAGCTTACTGATATGATCATCGAGAAATTAAGGCCATTCTACAACCTCACTCCTGAACAACTCACCTGCACGCGCGCGTTGTCGCCCTCGTGGTGGAAGAAAGAGCTGCTAAGCGGCAAACTGATCCCGTGGCTGTTCGATATCGACGAAAAATATATGTTCATAGTAAAGTGGAGGTTCAAAGTTGAAAGGCCTGGCGAGCCCCTCGACATAAACAAGGACTTGGACTGGGAGCTGCTTTGCCGCCAGCTGGGCCAGAAAAACTTATTCGAGCCGGGCGGCATCCTGTTCGGAGAGAAAAAGCTCGAGAACCGCTGGCGTATCTGGCGTCTTCTCGACGGCGCACGCCTTGAACCCGATCGCCCGGAGGAACTTCATTCATAACGCGGACTCGTCTCGTACACCAATTCCATCATCACATGAGCGGATTTATTTTTATCGATTGATTAGAGATCAACGTCCGCGTTACGATACCCCTCGACCCACGCCATCGATTATAGCACTCTCCAGCATGAATTCATTTTTTGGTTATATCTCTAGCTATCTACTCGACAAGACTATACTATCATCGAGCAAAAGATCTATCGCACTCAACCGGTCTAGCAATACCCTCATACATCTAGCAAGGCTGCCTCTACAGCAAGTTGGCGCTGATGCTCGATTTCCTCATCACCTTATTATTTACTACACTCTAGACATGTCGCAGATCCTTTTTCGTGCCGTTCCTTCTGGCAATACATCGACAGCACAATTCATATATCCTCACCTCGTTGTTCGGCCCCCTTTTTCATCACCTTGGCCCGCGGCCACCGAAAAATTCATTATATCGGCCATGCCGATGATAAGACAAATAAGTCATTGTTTGAATTATACTCGATAAACATATAATTAGCATCACCACTATTTCTCCGGACTTGGAACAACGGAGAGATGCAATAGTCGCTTATTTCCTAATTGGTAAGTTTATATAGCACAATTCATTCTCCTTTTCCTTCCCCATACTGACCTCATTGTAGTATTCATCTCAACTACTTGCGAGATTCGGGCTACCGCCCTTCATATTTTATCCAAGCTGCTATTATATCTTGTCTTCTACATTTTTGCATGGATTTTGACTTCTGGAGAAATAGGAGGCGATCAATGATCATCATCGCTAGTCGATACTCATAGTTGTGTTTTATCTTTTGTTCAAGTGGTTTATCTGTAGAGGGTCCTAGCTGCCGATTATCGTGGAATTGCAACAGGATCTTGTTAAGTTAGGCTCTTTAGTCAATAATTGTTAATGAAAAAAAAGGGGGGGGGGGGGAGATCCAGATTCTCCAGTATACTCTCCCCCTTTGTTGCATTTGTATTGATAGGCACTTGCTCTTGCATATTATTGGAGGACTTTTCTGAGAAGCCATCTAGAGAAAGTGGCTTCAACCACGTTAGAGGTAGTTTCTTAGTTCTTTTCATAGTAATGTACCTGCCATGCCACAATTATTTGTTCGCATACAAGACATGCACCCAGTGAAAATGGAATTATACTCCGTATAAGTTGTTGAAACCCCAATCTTCTTTCGAGGAATTGGCCAATAGCGACCGATAACGAGGGAATTAGGGTCGTATGCACAGATCATATCATCGCTACAATCACACCACTCACGGACTAATATAACATTAGCGATCAACATAATAGCAGGAGATCCAGGTTATTTACAGGATCTTTTCCAGTATTCATCATAAGGTGTTCTTGTAACGATCTGGTCAGTTAGGTTTCCAGGAGGAGTTGGAAGCATGCTTTGCGTTTTTGAAGCCATAGAAAGTATGAAAGTGACTGACGATAAGCCCAGATTGTATTTGATGCTAAAGACATCAGAGTAGGAAGTTTTCCCCAGGGGGTAACATTACAAAGGAAATATTTAAAGGGGGGTAAGTCGAGGCAATATATTAGGTAACGATAGAGTATTGATAAAATCTAGGAACCTTGTATCAGCCAGTAATATATGTAAATTGAGTTAGGTAACTCGACATACAGCTTCGCCACTCTGCTCTCTATGATCTCTAAAGCTACATTGGATAAGAAAGCCACATCATCGTCAAAGGGTTACACAGCTAGAGAGATGGGGCCTATAAGGCAAGCTACACTTGAGATCTTTATCTATTAATAGCGTACAGTTAATTTACAGTATACTAACTCGCCACCACATCCTCACACCGCCCGCATAGGCTATCCTCTTTTGGTGAAACATACCGCCAGCATCGGGGACACTTGGCGTGTTTTGGGGGCAGTACCACCACTGCCCCCTTAATTCCACCAACCTCGAACTCCCGGGTATAGGTCCATTCTGTCTCTAATGGGGGCTTGGTATTAATTGCGGCCGATGAAACAACAAACATACTCTCCAGTTCATCTGCGTAGGATTCCAGCACCTTCTGTGTCTGGATATCGGGAACCTGAACAAAAACATTGCTCTGCAGAGACGAACCCAGCATCTTGTCGCTCCTGGCAGCTTCGAGGGTTGACTTGACAGCGGCATGGACCGACATAAGCACCGGGATATCTTTTCGCAGGGTGGTTAAGTCGCGGGTGAGGCGGCTAGGTTCAATAACGGGATTGCTGTAGAGTTGGTGGAACGGATGAGTCAAAGACCTATATATTTTACTATTAGCATGGTGCGTGTGCGAGGAATCTAGCCAGACTTACGAGTCTTCCTTCATCCAGTCTGGGCGGTGATCCCACGCTTCTTCAACGAGAAGTGGTGTCACCGGTGTCAGCATCCTCAGAAGTCCGGTGAGTAAAGGCTCAATAACACCTCCACCGTCTCCGCAGTATAGCCGGTCTTTCAGGGCTTCGAGATAGAAGGCGGAGAGATCTTTTGTTACCCACTTGTTCAACGCGGCGAATCCCCTATAAAATTCATAATTGTCAAATGCCTTGCCCACTTCTTGCATCGTGTCCTGTAGTTGCAGGATGGCAATATGATCTGTTGCGGTTAGAGGTGCCGTTCGAGCAGATTTGTGCACGGAGCCGAGGAGCATCTTTACGATGGTGCGGTATTTGATCAGCGTAGTATGGATGGTACTTAGCACGGGGGTTCCGATAGCAACATCATGCGTATAGTCACTACTCGCAACCCACAATCTCAAAGCATCAGGACCCATAGCGTCGTAGGCGAGTTGCCCTTGAGGTGCCGTATTTCCCTTTTTCCGTTTGATTGGCGGCAACAGGGTACCATCCATAACTTGTTGAGGTTCAATTATATTCCCGAGCGACTTGGACATCTTTTTTCCAGCTTGGTCGAGCGTAAATCCATGAGTGATTAACTGTTTAAAAGGAGCGCCTTTCTCAAAGTTGATGTCTACCTGGGTTCCTGCGGCAATTCGTGTAAGGAGGCTAGACTGGAACCAACCGCGATGTTGGTCAGACCCTTCGAGATAAACATCTGCGCGACCTGGCATCATCGTCCAACTACTTCCACTATCAAACCATACGTCCATGGTATCAGTCCCGCGTCGGTATTTCCCTTTCCCCTTTAGAGAGGACGGGATCCAAACTTCGTCGTCAGGGGCATCTGACCACCAGGCCTGAGTTCCTCGTTGATGAATAACCGATATAATGTGTTCGACCACTTCCTCATTCATCACAGCCGAACCCGTTTCGTCATACAAAGACGGGATTGGAACACCCCAGGCTCGTTGTCGTGATATACACCACTCACTTCGGCCTTGGACAAAGCTCTCAAGACGTTTTCTACCAGACTCTGGGATAAATCGAACGTCATTCAGAGCTGCAAGGGCTTCTTTTTTAATAGATCCAACGTCGGCAAACCATTGCTCTGTAGCCCGAATAATTACTGGTTTCTTCGTCCTCCAGTCATATGGATACTTATGTTGGTGCCTTTCTACCCGCAAAACGTCCCCGTGAGGCTTAAGAAGATCGAGAACGTTTCGGCCCCCGCCCTCATTTACAGAAGGGGCAGACTGAAGTAGTTCAGGAGAGTCAGGGAAAGCATCTGAAGTAAATCTTCCTTGGTCGTCAATTGGAGCTGCCACGTCTATATCGAGTTTCCGACAGACTTCGTAATCATCGAACCCATGACCGGGTGCAAGATGTACGAGTCCCGATCCCGAGTCTGCTGATACGAAATCTGCGTGTATAAGAGGTTGAAGAGGAGCGTTCTTTCCACGAAGTCGATTAGTATACTTTAAGGCTGTCAATTGCGCGCCTTCGAAGGTCCCAAGTACTTTGATATCCTCGGCGCCAATCTTAGACGCAAGAGTATCAAGACGACTCTTAGCGACCAGCAGAGCATCATTCCCATAGCGAACAATACAATATTCTAGTTTGTCCTCTATAGCGATAGCTCTGTTTGCGGGTAATGTCCATGGAGTAGTGGTCCATATTACGGCGTACAGCTGTCCCGGAACGTTGTCCCGCACACTTTCAAATTGCGAAAGCTTCTTCCAATCTTCCGTTATAGGGAATCTAACCCAAGCCGCATGCGAAATATGGTCGTCGCGGTACTCTAACTCTGCCTCGGCAAGGGCAGTCCCCGAAGAGGGCGACCAGTAGACTGGTTTGAATCTGCGGTAAATCAATCCCTTCTTAACCATCTGCTGGAATAGGCGGAGTTGCCGGATCTCGAACGTCGCATCCATCGTAGTCCATCTTTGGTCCCAATCGCCCATAACCCCGTAGGATCTAAAGCTCTTCATTTGCTTTAGAACCGTATTAGATGCTAGGTTTCGAGCAGACTTCCGAACCTCAACGGGCCCAAGCTCCGACCCCTGAGATCTCTCGAGGGCTTTCAGCTCGATAGGGAGTCCATGACAATCCCATCCTGGAGTATATTCCACTCTTCGGCCTATATATACCCTAAGTTAAGTTCCACGTTACTTAAAAGTATGGTATACGTTGTGCCCATCCTCTTGCTGACCTTGTTGTATTTTGACCCTTAGAATCATATCCTTGAGGATCTTATTTAAGGCGTGGCCAACATGGAGATCACCATTAGCATAGGGGGGGCCATCATGAATTACAAAGGTATTATCAGAAGGGCGATTAAGCCTCTGCCATTCATATAGGCCATCGGCGCATCGTTGAATATACAACTCCCGTAATCTGGGGAGAGGTCTCGGACTGGCCCACGGTCAGCTCGAGCATGAGAATTCCAGAACAATTAACATACGGGAACTTAGAGTTCGGCAATCTCAGGGTTGTAGACCATGATTTCTGCATGGTAATATCAAGTTCATTGTCTTAGTTTAAAAAACTAAGAGTGATATATTAACAATACATGAGCATATCGTATCATAAAATTTAATGCATTAAACTACGGTTTCTTAGGAACTTTCCCAAGAATTATTGGTCAAACACTTATCGATATCGATAAAGCTTAAGCCACTAATTTATCAAACAAGGCTGAACACAGCTTTATCCAATTAAATCATGTATATTATTTGAGCCTCAGCCACATATGCAAGGCTACCAATATCTATATCTAGATCATTATCGATAAAGGGAGTGATCTCATAACCACTGCGTCTTACAATTTGATTATGTTTAGCTAATAATCCTCCCAAGGCACGAATTCATATCGCGAAATGCGTCACGATCCATCCCGCCATGGCGCCCATTCGCCGATATCTCCGCATAACCAAATACTCAGTCCTTGAATGTCGCATATACCTTGATAATCCCGCACTCGTCCACACTTGGCTCCTTAACCCGAGGAGTCCCGTACTGCCAAGAGTCATCGAGAGCGTGCGACCGCTTGTTTTACCTAAATTACGTGAGGAGCGAGAACGAAGTCGAAAGCGAAGTACCAAGAAGAAGGGGATCAAGGATGTAGTGGTCGAAGGTGAGTAGCATACATGAATATTTAGGTATTCTATGTCATCACTACAAACTCGCAGACGTGTAGAATACTGTACTTCATCCCTTGCGACACTCCGCAGTCCTTCTACGTCTAAAGATATACCACATTCCCGCAGTTTGTAACACATTACAGATGATTTCGAGGTATCCATATTCCTCACCGAGACAGCTACCCGCCACGCGCTCCTCACAAAACATAAGCATTTCCATGACACCACGCAAACAAAGCTTACATCGAACTCGGGTCGTCTGATTGGTGAGGCGAACGAGGTACCTGTCGACGTCGATGCTACAACAGAATTTGGTCCACTCATTAGACATGAGGAGAGCGATGATGAAGATGCTGCTGCTACCTTGGCCACGATTCCGGCGGTAGACGAAACCGCAACGGGTACTAGCAGCGGCAGGCGACCCAAGCGCGGCCGTAGGAATACAGGAACAGAAACAGACGCAGATCGCGACGTAAATGATCAGCAAATCAATGATGTGGAGATTATATCTGATAGCCATGATAGCCAAGACGGTGAGGACGACAGCCTATTCGTCAATGATGAACCAAATGACGACGCTAGCACGCGGCCGCCACCAGCCAAGAGACGCAGAGGGGGAGCAGCAGCGCCGGAGGGTGACAATGCCGAAGACGACGATGATAAGAAAAAACTGGCTATGGACATCTCGTACGATGGATTTTCTATTTACGGACGCGTGCTGTGCCTCGTCGTCAAGCGCCGCGAAGGTAACATCGGCGCCGGCCCCCAACCTGCGGGACGCGGCAGGACGTCGGGTACGGGCGGAAGCCATGCGACGAAACATGGGGGCGGAGGCCAGGCCATGATGGAGAACTTCATCATATCCACCCAAGTACCGGCGGGCGCAGACATGTCGTGAACGGTGCCCGCAACGGATTCGCGGCTGTCGCGGTAGCATTCATGCACGTCACCCTACACCCTAATCCCAAAACTTGACCACGTGGGTTATAGGATCCAGTCGACCGCTGTAGTTTTAATGAATATCTGCCAACACATATACGCAGTGGCTTACTAATGCATACGGTCGCATGTAGTTCCAGAGCGATCTATTCGATACCTATATAATGTCATCTTGGAGATGGCAGATCGCTCGATGCGGTGTGTATGTGGGCTTGAAACAGAGGCTGTGGAAATCATCCATTGATTGCCGGTCCTCAGAAAAAAACAAACTCAGATCCTTCTGCAGTGCAACACGAGCAAGGCATGCACAATGTATTCTACCATGGTATCCGCAAGGTGGTATTCATCATCTTAGGTCTCTAGAAAGAAGCATGAAGACCTCATAGATTTCACACGTTGCCTCTATGTAAATACCTCTTTCTGCCACGTAGTATATGCAAGACTACACCAGCCCCTTTTATAAGATAGACTAAGCAATCAAGACGCCGATTTGAGAACTACGCAGTTTGATGCAGAATAGTATGCAGATAGCTTATAATGCTAAACCACACCGCCTATCTAGCCCCCAACCCCTATATGCCGTGATTTGAGGGTTTCCCCTGTTTCATTGACTAGGAACTGCCATTGAGAGACAATATCGTTGAATTCGATTGGCTCGGCTTTACTGTAGTACGTAAAAGATAGGTTCTGTAGGTCTCATACTCTTGAAGGTGGCGAAAGTTCATAGCCCTATGATTTGTTCATGGAAAAGGAAAGAGAGTCATCGTGATCTAGTTATTTAGTTCCCGGCATTTGAAAAGGGGATTATTTTTAGATTGTTGTACTCTACATAATAAGAAAGTTGTAAAGTTAAGTCTGGAATAGACTTAATTAGTCTACGGGTTTTCGAGAAGCATAAGGTTCCTAGTGGCCGAACCATAACTCCGGATCCAGTTCATACCCTTAACTTCAAATCGGAGTTGATGGCATATAGGAGAAGCTCCCGCTTTCCACACCTGCAAGTAGAGTTCGATTCTACGTAGCCTCGGGCCCGCGGAGAAGCACTGTACAAGATATCATAGTTGAAGATTCAATATTCTTTGGGTAGGTTAGGATATATCCCGAATTGGAACTAGAAGCTAAAAACAAAGACTATTGAATATACTATTGTAAAGAATCCTTGACACTATGTACCGTAAGTTACTCATTTAATTTGTATACATCGAAAAGAAACTAACTGTAAAAGTCTGAATAATCTACGTGAACTTGTAGATAAAAAAACAACTCCTTAGCTTTACACTGTTTCCTTATTTCCGCAACTCCGGAGCGTTAATTAACTAAAGTGATTACATTGTTCGGTGTTTGATTTTGATTTCAAATGCCACGCCGAACTAAACTCGCGAAAATAAGGGTAACTAGTGTAAAATCTACCATAAGAGAATTAAGTTTGTTCATTTTTAGAACTTACTAAGACCTTTATCCATACTTACATCCTATTCGCCAATGGCTTAAAGGGGGGCTGTTGTGGTAATATAAGCGATGCATTGCAGGCCTGCACCAACGCACATACGGTGAAGAATAATCTGGATCCGTACATTAAAGTACATTGAATTCAAGTTTAAACATACTCGGGGAGAGAGAACTAGACGAATTAATCTTGCTAATAATAAATACCCAAGTTAATATATACAAAATGATGGTTTGATTTTATGGCTTCAAATAAACAATATTATAGGGGAGTGTGAATAATGTACGCGCGGAATCAAGGCTTTTTTTCAAAATGATATTATTTCTTAACATCTTAATGTGGAAACTACAATATGCAGGACTATGTATGCGACGTATCGATTTACGAACAACTATTTTAAGCTTCTTAATCTAGCGCTGGGTATGTACGCATATGAACGCCCAAATTGTGACGTGGTTAGCAAATACATACCTACTTACATGAGGTAGAGTTAGGTAGGTACAGGTAAATATGGAGGCAGACAGCAAACAGGGCGGTCGCCTTTACGGCCTACAGCCCCATCCGGTCTCCACGATATCCCCGCAGTCCGGCCGTCTCGGCGGCCGATGTTTGTTTGTCTCGTGCCTCAGGTTTCCGTGTTTGTCCGGAGAACACAGGCTAGGAGTTGTTCGTGAGAGGGTAACCTATCTGCGGGATCAGACCTGCAGTCTAAGTTGGGGAGGAGAAGGGAGGAGAAGGGGGGGCTGCTGCATCGCATTGTTCGTATCCAGCGCCAAACAAATCCCTCGCCGCAGCCCCAAAACCCCGGACGGACCTGGTCCTAGGCTCCCGTGAATCGGATACGCGTATCCCGGTTGCGGCGGAGTGCATACGGAAGGCGGCTACTGGAGATATTTCTAAGTCACCCCCCCCTACCTCGTAAGCGCTCATCTACTCTGAGTTAGTAGGTGTAAACGGAGTCAGCAAACAACAACTTGGTGAAGATTGTACCTGGTTGCGCGCGTTAATATGCTCGGTTCTCCGTCACTCCGCTATCCCCGTCCAGAGGCGACTACAGAACAAACGCGCGTAAGCCATATTGTTTATGCGCATTGCATTTTATGATGTTGTAAGCTGTTAGTATAGGCGTGGCGTTTAGATGCTTACGGGGCGAGCTGGGCTGGACCAGCACCACAGTGTGTTCGTATGTATGTCGGTAGGTACATTCAAACAGATCAAAACAACTGATTCGTCAGCCTTCTTCGTTTGTGTGCGGCAAACCCCCTGGGGTTCTACTCAGCCTGTCTGCAATGCTACGTAAGATGTCTGTATGTACAGTACATAATTTTTTTTCCTTTTCTTTTTCTCGCCCAAGTTGTTGCTAGGATCAAGTCCGCCGAGTTAGGGATTACTCGGGACGCACGGGGATTTTCTCTTTTTCTTTTTCTTTTCTGACGACATAATATTCTCATTATTATGTATATTATTACCCAGCTACCGTATCGGATATTGCAGCCGGGGTTTGCATTAGCAGGACAGGGTCTAATAACACCGATGCTACGAGGTGGTGTTCGTCAGCTGACGATAGGGAAATTTATCCAAGGGAACTTCGGCTCCGTCGGTGTTTCACTAGCTGAGTTGCGCAATCCCCAGTAGGTTATACTCCGCGTGTATGGATATGAGAGGTAGGTAAGGGAAGAGAAGGAAAGTGGAGGGAAGTGGAGGTATCACCACATTCAGTCTCAACGGTGCCGTGCCCTACCGTCTTTTACCCACCCTCTTCTACGCAGAGTCTTACAATTATCATCATCTTGCCCCTCTGCCCTGACTGATGTGACACACATCAGTGTGGGTAGCGCGGGAGAGATGTTCCTTGGGAGAGCTTGCTATTGGAGGATCGGGGGGTAGATCGAGACACGGGATTGGTCGAGGGAGGGTATCGAGCCCTCTCCGTCATTACGGCTGATATCCCCTCATCAAGCTTATCTGCCTGCATTTCAGGTCCAGCCTGCCCAGCTACTGCCCAGCCTGCCCAGCCCAAGTCGCATACCATTGGGACTGTGCCGCCAGGGACACGTGTGTCGCGAGATTGCAGATCAAGACGCTTGGCAACCCAGAGCGTCGGATTCCCTCGGCAGGCTTCGCCTTTCGGGCTCCTTATTCCCTCCCCCTCTAGGTACTTCCCTCACCACAGACCATGGTGCGATCCCACATCGGCCTTGCGTTCCCGTCCGTGTCGTATGATAACGAGACTTGGGGTCCGCGCCGATCATGTACCCGGATAGTATTTGTTATTGATCTTTTAAATACGACGGTGGCTTGTTCAGCCACTTAGCATCTCGCAAACTGCTATTATTACTCCGTAACGCATGTGTGACTGCGTATGTATTGCACTACATACACTACATATTGCTAGACAGCCCCCACTGCTACTGTTATGTTTCCTTTGATGCGATAATAGAGTGCTGCCCACCACTTCAGATTTGTGATGGAGGGGTTCGACGAGGAGTCGATCATCGTTGACCTAGTTCGTACCTGTCAGACCGACTCTTGTTAATAGAGTTGATGGACTAAAACTCCCGCCTATCCGTCTTTGGTCAGTTTTAGTGGCCGCGTGACAAGAACAGAAGGGGTTGGCGCATAGCCAAGCTTGGAATGGGTAATTTCGTGCGAGAAAACGGTATGACTGGTCTTTGTTTAGAGCTTTGTTTAATGCTAATATCGTTAGAGATCTTATGGTCCGTGCTAGCAAGGGCTAACGATTGTGGTTCGAGTCCTTGTACCTGTCAGACGTGATAGAAATTCCCAGCGAAGTTGACGCCACACTAAGACAAGTCGATACCTCGCATATCCCCCACAATCCTGGCCCTATACGGTAATGTCATGGGCAGATCAATGGTTTCGCGGTAGGTACACCAGCTCCGAGACATTGGAAAAGAGGGTGTGCTCGGATTACCTCTTCTTTCGTTTCTCGAGCCTGGTAGTAGCTGGCAGCCATAAGACCTGGACAATGGCTTAAGGACGCGCATGCCTTTCTATCTGTTACGCGGGAGCATTTCTGGAAGGAGACTAGTAGTTTCATGGATAAATTCGATAATTACTAACTACCTATCAGTACAATTATAGGTGAGCAATAACATCATCGCGGGCGACGACGGGGTTGCAGATGCACCAGGGTCACGCACAAACAATTATTAAGCCTCCTTGCGACAGTTAAAGTGTAAGAGACAGACCAGCTTTGTACATATGTAGTTACGTAGTATGCCCAGCTTCGTATGAGGGCAGGTTCGGCAATGCACGGTTGTATCGACTTCCTGTGTCGAAGAAGGCTGGCTTGCTCACTTGTCCGTATGTGTGATATGTGGTAAGCATGCACTTGTACGATTCCCATCGTGACTGATGATCAGACCACCTCGTTCGTCGCCATTTACGCATCTTGCCCATATGCTCGGACCATCTATTGGATGGGGAAATATGAATGTTCAGGGGAGATATCTCACAGCCCCCTGTCTCCCACGTGGGAGATGAGTGATATCGCGGGGGAAGATGTCTGCATGGTGGTCTGTTCTCAGGTCTAAGTAAATCACGTATCTGATGAGCTGTCGATGTTTCGGAGCCGGGTGATCAACACTACTCTATTGGCCGATCAGTAAACCCGGGCTTAAGTGGTTCAGCTGGTTATGTGTAAGTACATGTCTACAGATCCGCAATGGCAAATCCTATCTCGTTACGCTCTTCTTCTTCTTAATGGCTATGAATACCGACGGTCACTGCCAAGTAGCTGATTCCCCTCAGCCTAATATCTGGTGACCTTCGGCGTTTATGATTGTAGCGGTGAGAATAAGCTGAGCCTCAGAATGACGAAATGTATCAACTATCGATTGTCTCTATACATACGCTGGAGTGACCTTGCAACTGTGTTACCAACTGAGGGGATACGACACTAGGGAATTTGCGAGTAAGAGATACGATAGCCTGGAATCACTGATGATGAGAGCTTGTGCTCAGACCCCCAAAGAGGAACAGGCAGCTGCAGCTAGAATCGGCATGCATGTCTGCAACACACCTACATCTACGGTGCATGAAAGACGGCTAACCTCCATCTCAGCCTTGGTGATATTTGCT